AGCCCTGGTAAGACACTTCTGACGTTGTTTGTTGTTCAGGAGCGGCTTGACAAGTGGAATAAGACATCTGAAGCCCATGTCCAGGATCTGCCTGTGTGTGGTGGCTTTTGATGCACCGACTCCAGCCTCAGTCCACTCCTTGTGAATGTCCCCAACACATTTGAATGTGCCTTTTCCTGACAATCCTCTCCAGGCTGCGGTCATCCCTGCTGCTTGTGCACTTTTCCCTTCCACATAACTTTCTATTAATGTGCTTTGATACAGCACTTTAGGAACATCCAACTTCCTTCGCAATTACCTTTTGAGGCTTTCCCTCCTATGGAGAGTGTTAACGATGGTTTTCTGCACAACTGTCAGGTCAGCAGTCTTCCCCATGATTGTGATTCTTACTGAACCAGACAGAGACCATGTAAAGGCTCAGAAACCCTTTACAGGTGTTATGGCTTACTTAGCTGATTAAAGTGGGACACTGTGAGCCTAGAATATTGCACCTTTTCACAATATTCTAATTTACTGATATTGTGGATTTGGGAGTTTCATGTGCTGTAAGCCATAATCATCTCACTTATGACAAATCACAGCTTGAACTATTTTGCTTTGCATGTAATGCGTATATCTCCTATATTAGTTTCCCCTTTCACATTGCATTACTGAAATAAATGAACTTTTGCTCGATATTCTAATTTTTCAAGTATCACTTGTATAAGTGCCAAGAAGTGTTTATTCTTCTCACTTAAAACACTGTACAGTAACTTACAGAAATCTATATCTGGTGAACACCATTTATTCCAGTTTTTCCATCAGGGTAATGTCATAAGTGGCAGAGCTCTCTAATTTGTGACACTTTGTTGTGGGTAGCATAAGTGTTTAAAGGCACACTGTAGTAACTATAACCTGCCTTTAATATCCTGTCCCTCCATTCAGTGTTAAACCATTTTCAAGCAGTTTAACACTGAATGAGGGTCCCTGGCCACCCACAGCCTGGCCGGACCCTACTAAAGTTATGGCTGAGAAAGATATTACACACTTCCTTGTAGTCATATCCAGTCATTCCAGCAATGAGAGCTCTGATGGGGTAGACGCACTCAGCTGACACGCTCAGCCAATCACAGTTGACCATTGCTGCTCAGGTTCATATTTAAATCACTAGCCAAAGCAGCACAGAGGGAATAGGCTGTCAGGGATTCTATAGCCATTAAAACATTAAAACTGTTTAATGCTGAACGAAAGGAAGGCACCAGGGGACTCCAGATACTGAATCCGGTACAATGGGATAAAGTAGATACCTTGCTTGCCCTGACCCTTTAAACACTTGAGGATTGTTAATATATACTCTCAATGTTTTTCTACTGCTACACAGGTTCTAGTGCACCCCAATTTCTGCCTTGCTTTTTCTTATTACTTGAATTTAAAAAAAAAAATTCACTTTTTTTTTTTGCAGTGCTGGCTAGTGTTGGTGGCCTATACACGTCAGTGGTTGTGAAATACACGGACAACATCATGAAGGGCTTTTCTGCTGCAGCAGCAATTGTCTTGTCAACCATTGCATCCGTTATGCTGTTTGGCCTTCAGATAAGTAAGTTGTCTGAGTAATCTTATTGAAAGTAGATGTACTTTACATTTAATGCCATTTATAGTTTTATTTATAGATATTTCCTACTGGCAGTTCACCCGCTTACCTTAACATCAACATCCTAGGCATGTACATTAGTGTCACTTCAGATTTTTCAGATATAATTTTGATAGATTGATCTGTTGGGCCTATCTCATTTTGGGGAACTGTAGCTATTTGACTGTTCAAATTACAAAATAAATGCATGCCATTTGCAAAAGGTGACACAAAGGGTATATCATTTGGTATTTTGGGAGCCTTATTGTACAGCCAATTTTGCACCAGTTACTTTCAAAGTTTATGGTATTTTATTTTTGTGGTTTATTTTGTAAACTTGATGTATGCTGCTATAATAAAAGAAAACATTTTAATCACTAAATTGTGCTCAGCTATATCTCCTGAGTACAGGATGATCACCTTTGCATTCCTATATCGACCTACTGTCCTCCCCGGGGTGGGGTGACCTAAATGTCCTCCCCCCGGTCCCCACTCCTGAGCGGCAGGTGGGGGCCCTAAATAAGAATGTCTGAGAGGGACCTATTTCTATGGGGGTCATATTGACCCCCATAGAGTGAGGGAGGATATGGGGGGGCTTAGGAAGTGCCGCTTCTATCTTTACATTTTACAAGGAGGGAGCTGCGCGCCGGTAGCTCCCTCCTTGTAATAAACTGAACGAACACTGATATACAGTGTTTGTTCATCTGACATTTCTAATTATTCATTCGTCTTTCTGACGAATGACTGAATGGATGAAATTCCCGTTCGCATGCCCAAGTGTTTAACAGGGCATGTGTGGAAATTTCACAGTGCTCTCTAGTGTCGGCAGATGACGTGTCCCACAGGGACTTCCTCAACCCACACAAAGATGGTGGCGCCCTGAATATAGATCAGGGCAGAAAATAAAGATCAAAATAAAATCGGTAATATGAGGGGCTTAGGGGTGACTAGGGGGACAGTTAGATGTAGTGGAGTCGGGAGGGGGGGTTAAAAAAAAAAAAAAACGGGACGGCCATGACAGTGCCACTTTAAGTGAAAATATAGGGCTTAAAGGGACTCTCCAGTTCCAGGAAAACAAACAGTTTTCCTGGCACTGCAGGTTCCCTCTCCCTCCCCATCAGTAACTTACCTGTATCCAGCGCCGATGTACCTCCGCGGGGGAGACCTAATGCGCCTTCGCAGCAATGCTGTGCGTGCGCATTAGACCTCCCCATAGGAAAGCATTGAGAAATGCTTTCCTATGGGGATTTTAGCGACGCTGGAAGTCCTCACATAGTTTTCATGTGCTATAAACACCGAAGTGCCCTCTAGTGGCTGTCTTGTAGACGGCCACTAGAGGAGGAGTTAACCCTGCAAGGTAAATATTGCAGTTTATGAAAACTGCAATAATTACACTTGCAGGGTTAAGGGTAGTGGGAGTTGGCACCCAGACCACTCCAATGAGCAGAAGCGGTCTGGGTGCCTGGAGTGTCCCTTTAATATAAGCTGCCAAGTGCTGTAAAACTTTTTTTTCAAAAATGAAGATGGGTCCATGTATCAATTTGTGTCATTTAGTTGCTTACACATTTAAATTACTCCATAAATGCATACATTTTGCAAATATGAACAAAAATACAAAAACCTTATTTAGCAATGTTTAGGTGATAAGACCCAACACCTAATACTTTTAGTGTCAGTGCAGCGCTAAATGAATGAATTGAACACTTACCCCTCAAATGTTTTGGGGGTTGATGTGGGACATAAAAAATTGAAGAGAAATGATACACATTTGTGTTATACTGCCTTAATTTGTATGTACTTTAAATACGCACATGTATTAGTCTTTTAACAAAATAGGCTCTAAACATCAATGCTTGTGTGTTCTTGAAGTGACAACTAGACCTTTCCTTGGTAGCCTCTCCAAGATGTATGCTCAGCAGAGAAAAAATAATCTGCGTGCAATACCAACAATTCTGAATCAATTTTAAAAAAGCCACTTTTAAGCAACCAGAGGTATGCTCTCCTTATTTGGAATCTATAGGTAACTGGCTCTTGGTTGTCAGATATAGTGTCATTTAGAGGTGGCACCCACCACAGGAACCAGGAACAAGATGTGGAGGAGATGAGGTAGTTGAAAATCTAAGCAATTTATTATATCACTATCATTCAAAATCTAAAATAAATGTATATAGCTGCTCTGTAAAACACCCCCTTGCCAAGAAGCGCTTTGCATAGATTGGCTTTTTCTAGCAGATAGATGTTTTATCACCTAAACATTGATTTTGAATTTTTTTGTGTTTAAGTTTGTGGATTTTTAGGGGGGTATCCATGGAGTATATTATCAGCTCATGTTTATCACCACTACTCACTAAGCACCCCTTTGTCACATTTGTTTTATTGGTATTGTTATGTGGCATGATAATAATAATGCTCTTGGTTTTTCTTGTAGCCCTCACATTCTCTGCTGGTGCCCTCCTTGTGTGTGTCTCAATATACATCTATGGACTACCAAGAAAAGATACAACCAAGATAGACACTAAGGAAAGCAGCAAGAATGAAAGATTGATCAGCGTGTGAGGTTAATCAACAAGATACCACTTAGACAATTCTAAGGATTATCACGGGAAGAAAATGTAAAGAATCTAACTACATTACTTTCCTCTGTTACTTAATTTCAAAGGATAGTCCTTTACATTAATGGACTATGTCTGAGCAGGACAATGCACATATCTAAATGAATGTTTTGCAGTACTATTTTTACTTGGACAATCAAACCATCGCAGTCTGGTTATGTTTATAACGATATTACAGTGGTCACCACAAACTATCCAATAAATTAAATGGCAGCAGCCATGTCAGAGGCACATGGAAGCAGTTCAGCAAGACATGCTAGAGAACTGGAAAAGTGATAAATGCAGCAGTTCCCCGTTATAAAGTGCTCAGTACACACTGGTACTTAAGAATCTGAGGTGGAAGTATCCGTTCATGAACAATGCAAAAGGGAACCTTAAATTCAGATATTGCTCACAGTCAAGTTCCAGTTATCAGTTGCTCTCAGATCATATATATACACTGAGCAGACATTGTTTCCCCGTGTTTTTTTGTTTTTTTTTAAAAACATCTGCATTTTCTTTGTGGAGAATGCAGAAGTATTAAGAAACCTGGAAAGCACTGGTGAATAATTCTTGCACTTTTATTGATTATTATTTTTATTTTATTTTTAATTTTGTTGGTAAATGACACTTTTTTTTTTAATAAAACATTTTAAATGAATTAATGGTTTGTCTTCAATTTAATCAGATTAAAGAAAATGCCTAACCAGATAAATATTACTGAACATTTTTCTCGGAAAGAATAAGAATTTAGAAGTTGATCAGCAAAGGCATCATTTTGTTATACATTTGTGTTAACTATAAAAATGTGAAGGTTTTTGGATATGTTTAATGAAATGTAAAAATGGAAAGTCTGGAATGTTCTGTCTTTTGCATTTTTCATCCATACTGCAAAAGAAAACCGCATTCTACTGCACACATTGATTTCAGGACTGTAATAGGTGGAATACAGTCCCTAAAATAAGTATCGGAGTTTAATTTTAGATTCCAATCTGTCCATTTAATTTAAAGCTCAAATTTAACTAGAAGCATGCATATCTGTCTAGTAAGGCTTGTAAACATGACCTTTGTAAGCTGCTGCTGAAAGTAAAAAATAGGTGTGTAGAAGTGTATTAATGGATAATGCTGATAAAATCTACAACCCAGTGCAACACAAAAAGCCACCCTAGTGTAATGTCACTCCTATTACACTAATACTTAGACATGAAACACAAAAAAAGGTGATGGTACAAACAATGGTTGAGTTACCTCCAGGTAATTAAACTTTACTGTATAGTACTGGTTATAGTCTGAATAACACACAAATATAAGAACATCATGGTGTAGTATATTATCGCATTTAAATTTGTTTTAAACCTATAAGTTGGCTCTAAACTGTAGCAGCATTTCACCAAACTGTGTAAACAGCTTGTTACTTGAATGGCTCATCTGGTTCAGTAGTTATTCAAGGTGTCTTCAGGAAAATAACCAGGAGCACTATAATGGCATAAACTGAACTTTCAGGCACTTTCAGTGCCTCTTGGAGGCACTTACCTTTAAGAGGTTAAACTATTCTCCAAACTGTTTAACCACAAAGTTGCCTTCTGCGGCGATATCCACTCCTACCCTCCCCCCTCCAGGTGGCATTTGGTGCCCATTGGTACTCCATGCTTCCAAAACTGAAATATCAGAAGCTGGATGCCATCTGGTGAGGAGTAGACAACACCACTTGAGGCAACTTTCTGGTTAAACTCTTGCGGTAAGAGTGTCTCCGGGGTTCTCCCGGCACCATAACTTAATTTAGATGCTGTGGTTTTAGTGCTTTGAGTGTCCCTTAAAACAAGTCAGCTAACTAAAAACAAAGATGCAAACGCTTTAGATCAAAATTAAGTTTACTAAGAAATAAAAAGCAGCATTGACATACCATGAATAGTTTAAGTTACATATTAGTCACTGGTGTAATACCGAGAAGTTTCATCGTATTGGCAAGTACCATCTGTACATTGTTGAAAAAGAGAAGGCGAGCCTGTAGAGAGATGTTAAAGCATTACTAGGAAAGTTTCTAAACTTGTTGCTCATGAAAGTGGGCAAGCAGAAATCAGTGCAAATATTCTTGCTGATTCCATTGTTTTCTGTGGTGACTGATCAACATATAGAACTTTACACCACTTTTGTATTAGAGACACTTTAAAAAAAAATAAGATCTCAACTAGTATTTTTAGAAGATTGGTGGTGAACCACAAAAGAGAATATATGCACATTAAAGCTCATCACATAGTATATTTGTTAGTATTTGTGCTTAATGGCACTACTTTAAATTTCTGAATGGGTTTTTGATACAATCCACATTCAGACTCCAGGCACCATGACCACCACTTAAATCACTGAAATGGTCATAGTGCTTGAAGTAACTCTTTAATGTCCCCATAAGTAATTATCCACATTAGGTTTGGGAGAACTGTATCAACCAATCCATTAAAGTGACTATTGGATGAGAGTGGTAGGAGTTAGAGTCTACAGCTTTTTTAGTGTCCATTTGAGTGCAGGAGTGGACACCTGAACCACTGCGCTCCAAAGCCAGAATGATACGGCATGGACCATTATGGGTTTCTATAAAGTCATGTTGAAATGAATCACAAACATGTACAGGCAATATACTGAGATCTACACCAAATGACATAGTTGGCAAAATCACACCATTAGTATTCATAAGCTCATCAATATCTTTTTTAATGAATGTAATTTAAGAGTTGGAACTGACCATCCTTGGAGAGGAGGTTTGGTCCTATCATTGGTTGTATATGGTAGTACCATGCATATTCCAAGGCTTTATAAGATATGCATAGTTCAGCAGTTGAGAGTTTTACTCATTAAAGAAAGGGGGGAATAACTTAGACACACAATATGAATGAAATGACTTGGCATGCTGATAGCTGTGTCACAGCTGCCATTGGCTTGCTGGGTTTCAGCATTCTTAAAGGGACACTATAGTCACCAAAACAACTAGCTCAATGAAGCAGTTTTGGTGTGCAGATCATGCTGCTGCAGTCTCACTGCTCAATTTTCTGCCATTTGGGAGTTAAATCACTTTGTTTATGCAGCCCTAGTCACACCTCCCTGCATATGACTTACACAGCCTTCCAACACTTCCTGAAAAGAGTCCTCTAATGTTTACACTTCCTGTATTGAAAATAATGTTTAATTTAAAATTTCATATTTCCTGCTCTGTTAATATCTTTCTAGACCCTGCAGAAGCCTCTTGTATGTAATTAAAGTACACTGCTCAAAAAAAATAAAGGGAACACAAAAATAACACATTCTAGATCTGAATGAATTAAATATTCTTCTGAAATACTTTGTTCTTTACATAGTTGAATGTGCTGACAACAAAATCACAAATTAAAAAATGGAAATCACATTTTTCAACCGATGGAGGTCTGGATTTGGAGTCACACTCAAAATTAAAGTGGAAAAACACACTACAGGCTGATCCAACTTTGATGTAATGTCCTTAAAACAAGTCACAATGAGGCTCAGTAGTGTGTGTGGCCTCCACATGCCTGTATGACCTCCCTACAACGCCTGTACATGCTCCTGATGAGGTGACGGATGGTCTCCTGAGGGATCTTCTCCCAGACCTGGACTAAAGCATCTGCCAAATCCTGGACAGTCTGTGGTGCAACGTGACGGTGCATGGAGTGAAACATGATGTCCCAGATGTGCTCAATTGGATTCAGGTCTGGGGAACGGGCGGGCCAGTCCATAGCATCAATGCCTTCGTCTTGTAGGAACTGCTGACGCACTCCAGCCACATGAGGTCTTGCATTAGGAGGAACCCAGGGCCAACTGCACTAGCATATGGTCTCACAAGGAGTCTGAGGATCTCATCTCGGTACCTAATGGCAGTCAGGCTACCTCTGGCGAGCACATGCAGGGCTGAGCGGCCCCCCCAAAGAAATGCCACCCCACACCATTACTGACCCACTGCCAAACTGGTCATGCTGGAGGATGTTGCAGGCAGCAGGATGTTCTCCACGGCGTCTCCAGACTCACATCTGTCACACGTGCTCAGTGGGAACCTGCTTTCATCTGTGAAGAGCACAGGGTGCCAGTGGCGAATTTGCCAATCTTGGTGTTCTCTGGCAAATGCCAAACGTCCTGCACGGTGTTGGGCTGTAAGCACAACCCCCACCTGTGGACGTCGGGCCCTCATACCACCCTCATGGAGTCTGTTTCTGACCGTTTGAGCAGATACATGCACATTTGTGGCCTGCTGGAGGTAATTTTGCAGGGCTCTGGCAGTGCTCCTCCTGTTCCTCCTTGCACAAAGGCGGAGGTAGCGGTCCTGCTGCTGGGTTGTTGCCCTCCTACGGCCTCCTCCACGTCTCCTGATGTACCTGCCTGTCTCCTGTAGCGCCTCCATGCTCTGTACACTACGCTGACAGACACAGCAAACCTTCTTGCCACAGCTCGCATTGATGTGCCATCCTGGATGAGCTGCACTACCTGAGCCACTTGTGTGGGTTGTAGACTCCGTCTCATGCTACACTAGAGTGAAAGCACCGCCACCATTCAAACATGACCAAAACATCAGCCAGGAAGCATAGGAACTGAGAAGTGTCCTGTGGTCACCACCTGCAGAACAACTCCTTTATTGGGGGTGTCTTGCTAATTGCCTATAATTTCCACCTGTTGTCTATCCCACTTGCACAACAGCATGTGAAATTGATTGTCACTCAGTGTTGCTTCCTAAGTGGACAGTTTGATTTCACAGAAGTGTGATTGACTTGGAGTTACATTTTGTAGTTTAAGTGTTCACCCTATTTTGAGCAGTGTATAATTTACAGAGCAGGAAATAAAAGCTTTTAAAGTAAATTACATCTGATTGAAAGTGAAACCATTTCTTTTCATGCAGGCTATGTGAGTCACAGTCAGTGGAGGTGTGGCTACGCCTGCAGAAACAGAAACAAAAGTGATTTAACTGGTGGTGGAGAATTGAGTGGTGAGACTTCAGGGGCATGATCTACACACCATAACTGCTTCATTAAGCTTAAGTTGTTTTGATGACTATAGTGTCCCTTTAACTGTAGCTACTCAGCTGCAGAAACTGCCAATAATTCACAGATTTCTTTGAGAAGTAGAAAAAACATAAATGTTACCTGTGCAATCAAATAAAATAAACATTTTTCACTCAGTTCAAATCAGGTTCACTCAGAAATAAACTGTTCATTCAGGTAAAAGTGTTCAAATTGACTTTACAGTACAAAACAAAATGATATATTAAACTAATTCTCTCAAGTTAAATTCCTTACCTGAGCAACCTCTGATGTGCTTCCTTTGACTGGGAGTGCACGATGAGCTACATTTGCTAGATGGCTGAAAGATACCACCAAACATACAATGTAAGACAGACAGCAAGAAATCTACATTTTCAGTATGAGACTTAAAGGAACTAAGTATTACGATTTCTGCAAAACTGTATGGACCATGACATCATCATTGGCCAGCAGAATATCATGTCTGCCAATGGCTCGTAATACGTAAACACAGGTTTTTCCAGAAAGTCAAAGGAGTGCTGCACACAAGTAAGTTTATGTAGGAGCTCTGTGGAGAGGGGTCCGCAGCCCACCAGGAACAACAAGAAATAGAGTTCCACAGGCGTCACAATGTAGGGTGAAGGGAAAAAATTATTTTTTGGAGATCAAAGAGGACAAAAAAAAGATACAATGTTTCGGCCTAAAGGCCTTACATACATAACTAAGGCCTCTAAGGCAGAAACATTATATCTTTTATTTGTCCTTTTTGCCTTTACCCTACATTCTTACGCCTGTGGAACTCTATTACAGGTTCTTCCAGAGTGAGATTCGTAAAGGAACTCTGCTTGTATATCATTATGTCTCCAACATATTTGTTGTTTGAGCTCTGGATATCTAAGGTGATACTCAGGAAATGCTTTTCATATGGTATCTATCACAGTTTATCAAATCCTAAACAGTTCTGCATAATATTTATATAGAAGTATGACAGAATAACTATGTTCTATAGATGTTTGAGAAGACCCCAAAAGAAAGATTCTTTTCCCCTCCATGCCAACTTGGCATTATCTTTCTAGATAATACTTAATATAATATAATTATTTCATACTCATGTTTTTAAAGTGGATCAGTCTTTGCATAGACACCTAAAGGTGTCATCTATGGTTAGGGTCCGGTATCCATGGGGTGCAGTCACTTATCTGCAGCTGTCTTTTACAGCCACCGTTGATTTAATCCAGGGGACCCTCTTCAGCTCCTGGCTCTTCACATCTCACTATGAGCTAAATGATGTCTGAATCCCACAGCCATCACATGTGATGGCTGCTGGGTTTGGATAAAAGTTGAAGGTTGAGCTCTGTCTTTTGTTTACCTTCTATTCTTTATGGAATCTTTGGATTGCGTTGGAATTTAAATTAAAATCTAAGACAGTCAGCATTAGTATTTTATAAATCTTTACGAAATACTAAGGAGTGACAGAGCTTCTTTAATTTTACAGGTTCGTAGTGATTTGGTGCCATCTTGTGGCCATTCGGTGTAAGTCTTTTTCGAGTAGCTTTTGACCATTTCGATTATCCACTAAAGGGAGAATTTAAAGTTAATAAAAGTCGAAATATGCAAATTGCAGGAATTCTTTCTGTTTGGCTGTTCTGGCCTTAGATTTTAAATTCACTTTGAGTAAACACTTTACTAAATAATCCTGAAAAGCTCAAGGGTCTCCCAGGAGTATCTAGCAGTATTAATTTAGCTCTGTATATACACAAGGTAGGAAAGACAGACAGGAACACATACCACATTACAGAAACTCCCTTTTACACAGTTGTTATTCTCTCTGGACCACATGACATGTTATCACGGACTCCTTTCCTATGCTGCCTAATGCCAGAACCTACCATTATATAAGGTGTTATACAGGAGAGTGCTGTAATGTACCCTTAATACAGGGGCGTATGCATGCCTAGATTGTACCCTTATTATAACGGTTATTCATTAAACTATATAGATATATAAGGGTTTATACGTGTCAGACCTCCAGGATGTTTTCTCTGTGTAATGCTCCTTGGCCTTTTTGTTCCTTGTTCCTGTGTTCAAGGAGTGATAATTGACATGACCTCAGACTAGTTTTCTTTCACACTTACCAATTACTAATATTACACTTACCCTAGGCCCATGAGATAATTAACGAGGTATCTTGGCTGATAGTCATCAAGACACTGGAGTATTACTTCATCATATCTATGAGGGGAGAGATGTGATTTTGCAATAATCAGAACTGACTAGAACTGAAGTACAGATTTCAACCAGAGTTATAACAAGCAATCGATAAAATTGCTAATAATTGGTTATGAGAATTGTTGTCAACGAATATCATTATTGATTAGTTGTGTGTTCGACCAAGAAATCCCAACACATGCGCACTGCTCGATTAAGAGTGTCTGTTGGCTGCTGTGGGAGTGCACGTGCATTGTGTTTATTGCTAGGAGAGCAATGTGTGAGTGAGTGGTACAGTGAGATAGCCAGGTGGGAGTGGGCTGTCACAGACTGTGTGCAGCGTTAGGAATCCCCGGGTGACAGAAACTCAAACCTAATTAACCCCAAATCCACTGGACACTGATCTGCAATGAGACAAGGTGTAGGTGATCTCACACTGTGTACATTGCATCAGCACCGAACCACATTGCCCTTACTGTACCACGCTGAATCCACACTGCATTCACATGGCATCGACTGCACTTGATCTACACTTTGCTAACCGATGTACACTGCATCCAGATTTCATTACTTGAACTGCACTGTAACAATCATTCAATGGCCTATGCTACAGGTACCCACACTATTAGCTCTGAACTAAGCTGCACTAACTGACACACTGCATCCACACTCCACTCATTGAGCAATACTGTATGGTACCCACACTACACTCAGTAACCTATACTGTGTCCACAAAGCACAATAATTGATTAAATTAAAAAATAACTGGCTGATTAGTATGAAAATAGTTGTTAGTTGCAGCCCGAAGTTCAACATCTTTGACTCTAAGTCCTGGGATTTGGAACTTCCAGAAGAGAATTACAGCCCTTGTGATTGTGGCTAGTAGCTCGGTTGCCCGGCACAGACAGAGGGGGGCCAGCGAGGGAGCTACGCTCTTTAACCTCTCTTCTGGTATAGCTCCCTCGTGTGCCCCGCAGTGGTGCCTGGGCCAGAATGTGACGTCCTAGGACCTCTACAGGGCGCGCGAGGGAGCTGTACAGCCACAGGAAATGCTGGTACACAGCGGAGCGCTCTCACAGGAGCGCAGCCCAAGCTCATTGGACCCCAGGATCCACTTCAGTTCTTAAGAAGGTAGGGAGACTTAGTGGAGTGTGTATATGTTTTCTCAACACCCACTCCCCCTAATACTGCCCCTTTCTCCCCCACAATGCTGCCCTAACGACACAAAATACTGCCCCAGCCCTCCAATACTGTCTCTAACAAAATAATGCGCCTATCCCCTACACTGTCCCTACCAAAATACTGCCCCTTCCCCCAACACTGTCTCTACCAAAATACTGCCCCTGCGCCCCAATGCTGTCTACCAAAATACTGCCCCTGCCCCCCAATGCTGTCTACCAAAATACTGCCCCTGCCCCCCAATGCTGTCTACCACTGTCTACTACCAAAAATACTGCCCCTGCCCCCCAATGCTGTCTACCAAAATACTGTCTACCAAAATACTGCCCCTGCCCCCCAATGCGGTCTACCAAAATACTGCCCCAGCCCTCCAATACTGTCTCTAACAAAATAATGCGCCTATCCCCTACACTGTCCCTACAAAAATACTGCCCCTGCCCCCCAATGCTGTCTACCAAAATACTGCCCCTGCTCCCCAATGCTGTCTACCAAAATACTGCCCCTTCCCCCACCAAGATCCTGCTCCTGCCCCAATACTGACCCTATCCCACTGGCTTAGACAAGAAAGCTATAAAGAGTTACCTGAGAAGATGCTGCAATGTGGAAATTACAGAGGGTTCCTGCAAACAGGATATGTTGAAGTCGGTTAGATCCTTTGTTTCCCAAAGACCTTGCAGGCTATTTAAAAACAACAGATAACATCAGACACTTTGCTACGCAGATAAAGAAATGCTGCAAACATCACTTTACTCATAGCAACATCACTTTTTAATGTTTGGTTTATGATTATTATCTGCAAGTAGCCTTGAAAGATGTTGAATTGTACATTTGTGTATGTTCACTGGGCAGTTGGTGAACACCAGATAGTAACATAGTATTTTGGAGTTTTCTTACCCTGCTTTAAAGAGTTAGACCTATATGTTTATTTTTCAAGATTTTATTGTGTCCTGCGAAGCATTACTTAGTAAAGACAAAAAGGGAATTGGGGGCACACCATGCATTTCTCAGCAATGGTGCTGCCATAGAGACCAGAACTGATACTGTATGTTTGCATGTGTGCTGTTCCTTAGTCTGTATTCTGTGCAGCATGTGCCCCGACATGATATTCAACAATCTATGCAATGCCATTTGCTGTACTAATTGTTAGTATTTGGACACTGTATCCCTTTTACCAAGATTTGAGTAAAACATGCTTTATAACAAAATTCACCAGGCTTAACCTATAATAATTTTCCTCTGATGCTGCTAACACAATTTGCAATTTACCATAAACTAAATAAAATTTTTTTAAAAGCATTTTTTTCACACTTTATTTATTCCCTGTCATTCTCTTTTTTCTCAACAATGTTTTGTGTTTACAAAAGTGAGGAACATAGTCAAAGAGGGATTTTTATACTCAACAAAGTGACGTTTTATTACCAAAAATTCATCAATCTAATATATTAAAGCAAATGAATCCTCATCTGCAAACAGAGCTCTCACCTGTGCAGTCGTGCATGCGTGTACTGCAAAAACACACCAGTGTCTCCGAAACTCTGCAATGCCCGATCCCAGTCAAAGTGGTAATCTGACATGAGAGGCCCTTTAAAATCCTGAAATGAAAAGAAACATCAGGAATATTCCACCAGTGACAGAAAAAAGGAAATTAAGCTTTATTTATTAAATATCTAGCATTATTATTATTATTATTATTATAAGGAGGCCATGTAATTAGTGTCAAGTTATTACATTAATTTAGATTGCAAGGGATGCCCTACATCAGTCAAAATATGAACTCCAGATGTTGTCATTTGCAGAGTAAACATGAAAAATCAAAGACCATAACAGGTAGAATGTCATGTTTAGCATGAATAATATTTTAAATTAGTTAATATGAGATGGGTCATAGAATCTCAATGCAGCCAAGTATGTTTATCATCATCTTGGTCTAAATCATATTTAATGAATCACTTTAGGAGTAGTTAAAATCGGTGTGTATTTGTACATCAAATTAAAATAACGGACATACTGTGTTATTGAAATCTGTTAGTTTAGTTAATAGTTCTAAATCTAAAAACAGTTCTAAAAAAAAAAAAAAAAAGCGGCTTCCATTCATGGTTGTAATACTTGATTAATTGGTTACATGTTGCATAGTTTTATAGTAGAGGGTAGCCATCAGTTAAACTACATATAGTGAATTGTGAAATAAAGGAGGAGGGCTCGAGATGTGTTGGCTATTTAAAAGTCTACTGGGATTTTGCTGGGCCTTCAAGAAAAAAAACAAAACAAAAAATAGAATTATTTACTAAAGTGAGAATTCAAAGGAGGTTTAAATTCAAGACCAGAGAAGCTGAACTGAAAGCACAGATGTTTAAGATAAATTTTTCAGTTCAGTTAGTTTTACCTTAAATATGAAAATGTACTTTGAATACACCTTGTTACTTTAACCCTGCCATAACATACAAAACTGCCCTTTTATCTGCACAATAATAGCTTAACGTTGAACATTGTCTAGAAGAATAAAAAAACACCATAACATCTATACAAAATGATATTACTAAACAAAGAATAAAATAGAACAAAAGGGGTTCATCAATTTGGCCAAGCATTCATATTTCTGAATCATTTCAATATTTGAAAATACAACGTCCTGGAGAAAAGGGAATGACATGCTAGAGACAACAACCTTTTTCAGATTTCTTTTTTAATACCAATTTAATGGACAGTAATTAGGAGGTGGTCGAGAGCAGCAATAAAATAATGGAGAAAGTGTGCTGTGATTTGACGTTGCTTTCTGATACATGAAACGTTAAGTGTTTTTTTCATAGTCTTTCATTGCAAACACTAATTACCTGCACAATCAGAGCTGCAGCCCCAATTTTCTCTGCTGTTCTGGCTGGGTCTTCAAGGTGTTTACTTGCTATAAAGAAATACAGTGTGAATTACAATCACTCCTCAAACGCAATGGGCATGCTGGATTCTCTGATGAAATAACAGTTTTTAAAGTTATTATTACTATATGTTATTTATAAAGCACCAAACTTAGAATAAGAGAAAAAATAGCCAGTGAAAGACCAGGGCGAGTCCGGGAAGACTCACTGAAAGAAACTCTACCCCTCAATTTGACAATGTTGTGTCATGTTTGTGTCTATTTGATAAAATTGTGTCATGTTTGATCCTTACCTCATGTGTCACTTTACCGCACTTCCCCTAGAATAATCAGGGCCCTTAACACCCTCTGTTTTTGTGCATCCAACTTGTCTTGTTGCAAATTCTTGTCTGTTAATCTACCTATATTACAGTACTGTGGTATTTGTTGGCACTTTATAAATAATAATAATAATACCGGACATCTGATATTTTTGCCATAGTATGTCTGTGTCTGATACCTAACACCCGACTCCCATTACCTGAGATAGGACGGAATTAGCAAGGAGGGAGTATGGCGTTTCAGTGGATAACCGATTGAGAGGATGAAAGGGCATGATGGTTTAGTGGAAAAAAAGAGGAAGTATGTCCAAAAAATGTATACTGTACCCCTGAGTGCCAAATGAAAATCAGCCTCACCTCCGGTAAAGGCTAACAATTTTTTCCACACTGTATCAATATTCTATTTGCTACTTTTAGATTGATGATCTTCCCTAACATTGAACCTGCATGGCATTCAATGTGCACTTTAAGTTTACAATATGGAATAAGATTCTACATTTAAGTAAATTTTTGTACCTGGTTTATCGGCAAGTTTCCATGAAAGAAACACATTTTAGCTAGTGCTACATAATGCATACCATTCAGGTCCTATGAACAGTCTGATAGTTAAACAGTTTCTGATCTTTCAGATACAAGACAGAGAAAGTCTTACTGCTGGTAGCGGCCATATTTTGCAGCATCCTTGTGCGAGCTTCATCCAAGACATCTTCAAGAAAAATGACATCTCCTTTTCGAGTCTTCATCCCCTGTACTCGACCAAATGGAACATGATGACATCTAAAATTAAAAAAACTGAATGTTTCAATGCACAGCTCTTAATATTTTAGCAGTGATCAATAACTAATTTTTGATATTAAATATAAATCCTATTATTCAGCACCTTTGGTGTCCAAGCAGTTAAAGAATGTTCTCAATATTTCATACATACATGTACATTGCATGGGAAAAATATCCATTATATAACATATCTGAAATGTAGTCTGCACTAATACTTAATTTGTAACACTTTTATTTCACAGGTACACGACAGATTATGTGAAATAATAAAAATATTCTCTGACATATTAGATAAACCGCACCGATTAATCTTTTTAAAAATAAAAACATGCACAATTAAGCAACTGGCTCAGCTATGTAATAGAGTAAGATGGTTCAAATTGAGTGAATATTAAAGAATAAGAAGAAAAGAAAGAAAAACTCTTTATGTTCACCATGTGTAGAAAAATTACATGTCAAAAGATACTCACCGAATTGAATGCTTTTCCCCAAGGATCTGCAAAATCTTGAACAGGTGCTGAAAATGTGTTTGCTGGCTTTTGTCTGTCTTCAAATAAAAATATATTTAATTCCAGTCTCTGGTTGTTTTTTCACCTAATTACTTTAGTATCGCTTAGCTAAAGGTCGTGCACAGATCACATCTTTTCTTCATAATAGTTGAAATAACTCAGGGATCGGATCAACTTGGCATTCATTTTTTAAAGTAGTTCTGGTTCCTCCAGGGCCTCTTTCTCGGTGCCGCCATATTAAAGAATCTAAGATGGCAGCACCCGGAAATAATACCTTCCTTTCTTTCTTGAGTGTGAAATCATGCACGTGCCCAGGGGACCCTGTGGCATCCTCTAACCTCAGCATTAACTCATGGTTATAGTAGGGAGGTAGATACAGAAGAATGACAAAGTTGACGAAGGCTGTGGAGCTTGACTAAAGTTGTCTTTTGTCAACTTTAGTCAACCTTCAGGTTATACATAAAGAAAAGTAGTCCATATGTATAACTGAAAATATGCATAGTTTAAAAAAAAAAAAAGTGACATACGCTTTAAGACCCAAGTTTTGTTTATAGTGAAATGAGAATCAAATTTAAAAATTTAGCCAAGAAAAAACAAGCTGTAACTATGATTGATTTGAATTTTTTTCCAAATAGCTATTTTTGCCATTTTATTTTTAATGCACTATAATTTTGTGTTTAGTCAATAATTATCATGGTAAATTTTTTAATAATCATATTTGCCTACGCACAAATTTTTAAACAATGCAGATTCTCCCCTTCCCCTCCCCCACTATCAACACAAAACCTTTATACAAATAAAGAGGTGTTAGCAAGCCAGAAACCAGTGTATTGCTGCAGAAAACGTGTAAACCAAAATAACCAACAAATTGATGACAGATCTGTTTTGAGTGGACCGCTTACACTTTATAGCTCTCTTCTGTCTGCTTGACAAACTGATTAAACAAAAAGGGAGCAGCGATAGTACCTTAGCACCATAACCACTTCAATAAGCTAGTTTGAGCAGGGTCATCTTCAACCTATCGTTCCTGTAAGTGTTCTTGTAATTGTCCTATTTATAGTTAAATCCCCCCCCTCATAATATTGTAAAGCGCTACGGAATCTGTTGGCGACATATAAATGGCAATAATAATTGCTGTTTAAACGGTATAATGCCTAAAAATAGAAATAATTTCATATATTTGGCTTATTCACTACACAATGTAGACAACTGCACTCTAATTGTTATAACCTAGGTTAAAAAAAAAAAAAAGAAGAAAATGCCAAGATGGGACTACTGCAGTGCTGGAGAATCTATTTTGACCTAAATGGTTTTCAAATCACTTTAATTTGGTGTTTTGTGAAAAAGCCCCACAGGGTTTTTATTTTCAACTAAATGCTGCTTCAATAAATTCTCTGGATAGCAGATTTTAGGACAAATTGTAAGTGTTTCAACATAAATTTTTTAGGATACATTTAAAAAAACTTGATATTTTTTTTTTAGCAGTTCTCACTAGTTTTTTTTGTAGTTGGGGACCAGGAAGAGAAGACTGCAGTCACTGCAGCCAAAAAAAAAAAAACTGAACCGGCAGGTTGCAACATTCCCAGCACAGTGAAAAAAACAGCAGCTAACCAGTGCTCCAAACAAAAAGGCTCTAACCATCACCTCTCCCAGAGTGTATTGATTATTACACAATTAAAGTCAAATGAAAATAAATGGCGTACAAGACTATACTAATCTTTAGCAGCAGTGCAATTATCTCTCACCGCTTGAATGAGATTACATACCACATAGATCATTTCATCAAAGTCATATTTCTCTATTCGATCAATTGCAGCTGCCACGTCTCTGGAAAGAAATAAACATTTTACAATAAATAAATAAACAACAACTAAATAAAGTACATATATTTTACGTAAATGTATGGAACAGGCATTGACTCTCTGTCACTGGCATAGAAAAACATTACTCTTTTTTTTTTTGCATGAAATATACCAGACAAATACAAGTCAAGCAGAAACAATATAAGCATTAAGCATTACAGCGAAAGACATTTCACTCTTAGATAGAGGTTATGCAATCAATATGAACAACAATCATAACAGAACATTGTCAGAAGAACCATGCACAGTCCAGGATAGAGCACACCATCGGACATTGCACTAAAACACGGGCTGAGCCCAATGTAAAAAAAGAGAGGAGTACAACGCCATGAGTGAGGGGAGAGAGTCCAGGGTTCTAGAGGGAAATGACAAGGTTACTAGAGCCTCTCTAGGGCTGAATTAGAGAGTGGCAATGCTATTGAGATTAGCTCTCACAGGGAATATGCATATACTTGGGAAAGCCAGTCTCCAGTGACCAAAATTATATTCTCTTTAACACCTTTCTCTATCAAATTCTATTCTTTACTCTTTTTTTAGCATACATTATTTGAAACAGGATAATAGAGCATTTAACCAGGAAAGGTACTTTTAGTTTTCATTAGTTTTTAAATTAGCCCTGTGGATTAAATATTATCACCCAAATGAAAAGTATGCAATGTATCAATGTTGGATGATGGAAAGGCTGAGAAAATGCTTACAGAAATCAAAGCTACGAATCTTTCAGTGGGTTGTGCTCATTCTGTACACTTACCAGCATAAATACACAATTGTATACTATTTCTTCATTCTTTAATAGAAATATATACAGAAATGAACAACTTGCTGACAACTGATTTTAGACATGGCATATGAAAAATATAATTTTTGTGATATACAGGAGTGATGCAAACAGATACATAAAAATGATAACATATCTATATAATACAGGACACAGCAGGTTGGCCTTCACTGTAGTCACTTTGCACCATATCTCATAAAATTTCAGTGCAGAAACAACTTTAACTACACATTGTGACTTTTTCTGAGCCTACCAACACTCCTTGTTCCATACTGAGGTCAGTAAGTGTTGCATTGCTTGGTGCCTTCGCTAACACAAAATAATTCAACCTCCAACTAAGCAAAACAAAAATGTCAGTAGAGGTCTGTCACACATGGCAAACCTTTGATAAAGCAAGATGTTGTACCTGGTTATATACAGCGATGTTCCATCACTCCGGACCACAGTTTTGTAAGTTGACAGTCCTTCGGAGAGGTCTACCACCCCAGTGCCATTCCTACAATACACACATCAAAATGATATTAGCAAATGCCATTCAAGTACTTGCATGGGCTAGGAAATCATAGATTCCCCAATAAAGTATATGAGACAGTGTGCTAAATGTGTTTAACTTGTCACATTTAACTACAACTCTCATCTTCCTTGGAGGTCATCAAAGATAATGGGAGCTGTAGTCTAAACATTTAAGCACTGCAATTGCACAGCTGTATTTTAATGACAAAAGTCTTATGTATAAGGACCTGGAGGTCTAAAATGCGTTGGGTATTTCCCCAATATTAGTTTGGTTTCTTGCTGTGTCATTAGCTGTGACATTTGTCCAACTTTTTTGCATTGTATTTTAAAGTCATATCGACTTTGGCACCTATTCTTTTCCATAACCTACAAATAATTCTGAAAACATTATTAATATTAACAGATCACTTTACATTATTACATTTCCTCACTCTGAAAGTGACTAAATCAATAATAATAAAAAAAGTAAACAAAATGGAAATGCTAACACAACTTACTCCATTTCCTTTAGAACTCCTCGGTTTCTGAGCATTTGCAGGACATGCTGGGATTTTTCTCTGTAAAATGACTCACCAGAATATTCTTCAAAATGAATGCCAAGCCTCTGAAAAGAGCAGCCTGAAATTATCACTCTAAGCATCATCAGCTCTACTTAATAGTCATCCGATAGCTGTTACTAGGTGACAAGTAACAACACGGTGTATAAAGTCACCCTACCATTAAAGCAGGTTAATCTGAAGAAAGAATGTCCAACACAAAAGATGATGCATTAGAAAAATAATAGAATTTAAAAAAATAAGAACTGATAGAATCAAAACAAATGTGACCAAAGTGGAGACAGCACATTTAAGCAAACGTACAGACAGGGCTCTTATATATAGGTTAAGCTTCTAAATGAACAGTGGAATACAAACCGAGCTTATAATGCACAGTACACACCTTATATATTTTAGCATATTCCTGTATGCTTAGCTCTCTAAAGTGAGTCCACAAAGACACAGCCTGCGCTTCTCCTCCCTCTAGCCTCTTCAGGAACTCCATAGCAGACGATCTCAGATTTTCATCCTGTTCTGCTGCCTCGTTGATCTTCACATACACCTGCCAATGATATATTTCTGTAAAGCACTACGTTACCCACTATGCGCTACTAACCAAATCTATCGGCTCATTTCCTTTGTTTTTAAACTCAAATACATTAAACCTCAATGAAAGTATGAGATATATTTAATAAGCACAGCCATTGTATAATATAATACAACAGTGTATAAATAGATTATCCCCTTGCACTGAACATATTTTGAGTATTTCATTATTATTCTTTTAACTAGCAGGACAATGCATGGGTTTTATTACAGGCATTCATTTCAATATGTCAAAAAAAAAGGGCCCAGACATCTTGTTTGTGATGGTAAACAATATAATGTTAGATAGCGCTGTCCTACAAAATGTGTGACATATGGTGTTATCATCTGTCTGATCATTTCATATTATAGCTGGATTAACTTTTATCTGTAAACTTTTGACAGTTACTGATTTTTTCTTTTTGACTTTTTTTTGGAAGATACTTTTTTTTTTTTTTGTTCCTTAAAAATACTTTATTGATGTGATACACAGAACAGCTCATTCTGTTGGAGTTCTGTTCATTCCTTGTCCATTAAATAAATGTTTTTAGTGTTATACATGGTGCTCTGAACAACTCATGTTACATAATTCTTGTAAAACCACGAGGCACATGTCCCTTGCTCATTTAATTAAATTTTTCTTGCTTTTTTATTCTATTCTTTTTAGTTTTTCATGTGATCTTAATAATGAAAGATTCACAAAAAAACAAAACAAAACTAAAACTTGTTCTCATTTTGTTTGTTTCTTTTTAATACAACTCACATTAAACAGGTGTTCTAGAGGGTTATCACGAAGTTCCTTTTCACTGCCAAACTTACTGAATCCAGTACCCAAAAGACCTAATAAACAAAATTGCAATAAGAGGAAAATATTATTTTGTCTTATGCTGGAGGAACCCAATCATACAAGGACAATAAAACATAAATCATGTGAATGACAATCGCAGGGCTCACAATTTCCACCCGACACTAGCTAGAGGAAATTTACCTCTGGTGTGTACGCTATGGCTTGCAGTGGAAATTAACATTTAAGGCTAGTTAAATAGAACTATTCATCTAAATATTGCTTCCTGAAGACTTCCTGCACAAATTGTCCTTCAAGACATGGCCCGGAGAGGGTAGTGCAAGCAACTGTCCCTTGCAAATAATGTGAACATATCTCACAATTCTTGCAAAACTGCATCCCCAGAATGGCAAATTACAAAATAACTTTTCACCTGAACATGTGCTGGCATTTGGGCTTGCACAATGTATAGATTACACTCTTAAAAGTGACACCGACTCTTGTTAGTCATGACAGGTACACTTCAATGTTCACATTCTACCAGCAGTGAATAAAACCTACCAAACTGCAGACCCCAGTCTCCAAGGTAGTTTATCCTAATGACTTCATTTCCAATGGCTTCCTTCAAGTTAGCAATATAGTTTCCTGGCACAGAAAGCAAAGGTGAAATATGTTTAGCTTACGTATCAATCCTACGTGCATCATGAAATCTTTCACACTTAAGCATTTATAAATAAAAATATTTAGGACACATTATATTATCCCTCTTTGGTGAAAGACTGAAAGTCCACTCATTTATTCAATGGTCAACAAGGAAACACAGGTTAACTCCTTAAAAAAATATCAATCACATGAGCTGACACTTTAAAGGAAGCTGTATTCCTGGCACTACCACTCCCCCTGCCTCCCCTCTCCTTTGGGTCCCCCCTTCCCGGTAAATAAAGGGTTAAAAAAAATTTACTTACCTTTTTTGAGCATTGATGTCCCTCAGCGCTGGGTCGACGCTCCACCCCCTCCGATGCCCCGCCACAAGCGGGGTCTAATGCGTACGTGAGGGAAATGCTGCACGCACATTAGACCTCCCCATAGGAAAGCATTGAATTAGTTGAGCTGAAGTGGTCTGGGTGTCTACAGTGTCCCTTTAATAATGCATTGATGTTACATCAGATACAGGGCTTAACAAATCAGTACTGAACAGCAGAACTAAGGCCTGGCGAGCATGGGTTAAATATTCTGAGAGCTATTCAGAAACAGCAGTTTCATTTTCATTGTGGACAGATACTACACGTGGCAGGTGATGGTCTGTTTTTAAAGGGGCACTTTCTAATTTCTGAAAGCTCCAGGGAACATAGGAGAGCACACACACTACAGTTGCACCTCTGCTTGAACTAATCAGTACAATTCTCTTAGTTTGCAAAAAAATAAAAATACATAAAAACCTACAACAGGGACACTATAGTCACCAAAACAACTCAAAATAAAATCAATAAAATTAATACTAAAATGGGAAAGGGGGGGGGGGTTGTGACAAAACCACTATTTTTGCCTTCCCAGGGACTATTCTCATACACAGTTCAGGAATCCGCCTAAACTTTGCTTTATACTTTTTCCTCATTCGGTACTTTAAATTGCCGAACACCGACCACCCCTCTAGCTCATTAAGCACAAAGAAAACCGCAAGAAGTGCTCTTTGTGTGTGGCCACCATTCGTATAACCGAACGACGCATGGTGGAGAAAATGGAGACATTTTGTCGCACGAAAGCAGGCAACGGGACTTGGTCGTCGAGTGTCTGGAACTCTGAAGCGGACACTCAACAGCGCGGTAAAACTATGTGAACGCCTCGTACGGACCTCAAGAACAAACGCTACCACTGAGCCAGGGGAACAGTTCACCCTTTCGTGTGTTTTGGAACTCCCGAACATGACCGACCGCTACCTCTAAAACTGTGGAACTATTTTGGACAAGAGCCTCGTGAGCGGTCGGTCAAAACTTCACCCCTGTGACGATTCAGCTGTGTTTGTGGGATCTGAGCTCTATTTGGACAGCTTGGGCGCTCAGATCCAGGCTATCCTGGGATGTATAGACTATGGGGGTTCCATTATGTTAAATATGTATTTGGGGTGTTTTCTGTAAATTGTCATTTTTGGTTAGTCATGGTGACATGGCATTTTGTGGGTGTGTTTACGGAAGTGTAAGTGGCGTGTTTTCAGAGTCCTTGAACTGTATATAAGCAGGCCATTGTGCCTGGATTAAACAGATTTGTTTTACCCTCCATGAAGTCAAAGCTCGTGTTTGGGGACTTGGGAACTATAATCACTACTGCACTTGGGACTTGGGAGATTCTGCAAGGATATACTCAGCTGGAGTATAAGGGATCCATTACAGGGGTAATACATAAATAAATATAAGCACTGCACACCAATACAAAATGTAACTAAAACTAGTGAGAACTGCAGCTAAAATTGAATACTCACCAATTATTGTGGAGCGTAAATGTCCAACATGAAACTTTTTGGCAATGTTGGGGGAACTACAAAGGAATTTGGTAAAATGAAGGCAATTAATAACTTAATTTCACTTGTCAAGGGTTATTTACTAAAATGAGAATTCTAAAGGATTTTGTATGGTCTTAAAATGTTATTTCACTTTGAATTCTTGACAATTAACACCTTTGTGAAGTAACACTACACTTACAATCGGATATTCTATTAATTTATTCTAAAATATAACATGATACATACCAGGGGTATATTGTCTCTTATTTTCTTAATATTTATTGCATGTATAAGGTCATGGAATGTGCAACAGAGGGTCTGTTCAGTACAGAATTATCAGAAATTGAATTTTTTCTTTTCCTGGGGAGACCCATTAAGTCTGACAGGGGCCCAAGTATGGTTCCCTATGAGTGCTGTGGGAAAACTCTCTTTGACACAGGAAGTTCGGCTAACTTAAAGTAACACTCCACTGTCTAAATACAAAATAAATAAAAATCACTGTTTAGTAGATATGCCGAATGGTTCTTATCTGTCGTCACATTCTATGTTTCTATGTTTCTATATGCCCCAAATTACTGCATCCATGCTTTTAATTATGTATTATTTACATCGGGGGGGCATTTAGAATCCTCTTGCAAAATCTGCATTTCTGTTGTCTGCAGCTTTCGCAAACCCTCCACTACTTACCCCGCCCAGACTTTCTGTGGCTATCCAATAACAAACTTCCCAATATAGCTCAATAAGATGTCTTTGCAAGGCAGGTTTGCTGGACAGTTGCCGCCTCTTGAGTTCCACTCTCCTGACCTTAACAACCAGGAAGTAACATTACCTGCTGTCTCCTTGGATGTCAGGGGGGTGTTACCAGGCTAATTTATAAAAGTGTCAATTTCTACTGAAAAAGAGGGCACACCTAAATAGGGCATTGTCACCCTACATTTAACAATATACGTACAAACTTGTGGAGCCAGTCATTTATGGGCTCCAAAGAAAAGTGAGGATACTATTTTGGAGCTTATTATCTGCTATCTGTTTTTCAAACATACTGCACCAAATTGCTCTCTTATTTTTCTCATTTTAATTATTTACACGATCCATCCCTTAAGCATATTTATGATACCACTGTACAAGAAAGTAGAGTTGCCGCCCTAAGGGCACAGAGGTCTACACATTTAGAGCCTCTTATTCCTACAAAAGGCTAATCTAAAAGTGAGTGTAAATCATACAAAGTTGCACTATTATTGTTTTCTTTGTTTCCTTACATATATATGCTGACCTAGTGTGTGTACTAAGGGGTAAGTGATTGTATTATCATTTTGGCACTGCACTTGCACTTTGTGTTTTTGGTGGGGCATATCACCTAAACACTAAGTAATATTTTATTTTCTAATAGTTGTAATAGTTTATTTGATTGAGTACAGATGTAACAGTACATGTTGCTTCCAGCAATGACGGAGAACAGTAAAGACAAGTAGTTGCCTAGTAGTTGATGAGCTTGTAGCTAGACTAGGAATAGGTAACCTTCGGCACTCCAGGGTAGACAGCTCTCATTATCTTTGATGACCTCTGAGGAAGGTGAAAGTTGAGAGGTGCCAGTTCTCCTACAGGGGTAGGCAACCTCCAGCACTCCAGATGTTGTAAACTACATATCCCGTAATGCATTGCTAGCATTATGACTGTAAAATCATTTTGGGAGGTGCAGTCCACAACATCTGGAGTGCCACAGGTTGCCTACCCCCTAAACTAGACTGTAGAGCATTTTATTTTGAGACTTGGACCCAGGAGACATTTGGTTTCTCACCTAAATTCCACAATAGTCTTTCCTTTTGGTATCCTTGATAGTAAATCAGTATTAAGACCAAACCTGGGGCCATCTTGGGTTATTTTATGCAGCACAGTCTGAAAAACAATGATTAATTATTTATTAATCTACTCATCATATGTAACACATGGAGGTCTTTATTACCACCAGTAGGAATAATGACAGGACCAATGCACAGAAATAAGCCTCTTTACTTTGATGAAAATGTACATGTTTCACATCCCATTTAAGTCTATTTTTAAAGGGATACTATAGGTATCAAAACTACTTTAGCTTAAACAAATTAGGTGTATATATCATGCCCCATACAGTCTCATTGCTCAATTATCTGCCATTTAGGAGTTAAACCACTTTCTGTCCATGCATTCCAAACCACACCTCCCCTGGCTGTGACTCATTAAAGTAAAAAGGGTTTCATTTTCAATCAGACGTTAACTTACTTTAGAAGTTTTGTATCTATTGCTCTGTAAATTGAACTTTAATCACAAACATGAGGCTCCTGTAGGCACTAGATGGCTATTAGCATAGCAAGAGATAAGAAATTCTAGATTAAACAAACCCATGCTGAGAAAGCACCCAGAGTGGTGCAAAACGCATCCAGGGCTTCTCTAATCTTTCTTTCGGGTCGGCTTCTTTGCTGGTCTCCCCCATGTACAGCAGCTGCGGGTGGTCCTATGCTCAGCTTTTGGACTTTTTATACTTTGTTCACTCACAACCTTATTTTTCATTTTCACATGCTTGGACCAATACAACATACATAAGGACTACTGTTCTGGTATCTTGCCATATGTATTTTCATTTTTGACTTCAATAAATATGCATTTTTGGGAATTCCCTATGAGTGAGGATTAACAAACCTGTCCTGTGTGCAATAAAGGAACCTATAATATCTAAGTAACTTTTTAGAAATTGTTTAGGAAGGCTGTGCAAGTCACATGCAGGGATCTGTGGCTAGGGTGTTATAAACAAAGTGATTTAACCCCTAAATGGCAGAGAAATTATCTATACAGAAAAACTGCTCCAATAACCTAAAGTTGTTTTGGGCTCTATAGTGTCCCTCTCATAGTTTTTTTATCATCAATTTTCACATAACAATGACGCAGAAGAACAAACATCCAGTTCACAGATATACAAATGTTGCTCAAGCATGTCACTGTTTGTAGAAAGTGTGAGGATAGTCACTATCAATTAATTAGTGGTAACAGTTTGAATCCACATAAAAGAATATTAGAAACATAAGAAGAGCATAATTCACCTTGATTAATAAATCCCGGTGTACTTTAAAAGTCACTGAACCCCGATCAGCACCAATCTCACTTATTACCGTGTCACAGTTTAGCTGTAATACAAAAAGAAAAATGATAGTTCTGTTTGTAAAAATATGGTTAGAGATGTGAATAAAAAATATTTACATGGTAGGGGGTGAGATAGTGACTATTTTATGCCATTTTCTTCACCTTTAATCATTCACTGCAAGTTATTTGTGTTTGTTTTTTCACTTCACAGTATAGGTGTATATTGTTTGTATTTATTTATATGATCCATACACACCACACAGAAAGTACATTTCCCATGATCCACTATTATAGTACCATCAAAACATACACTGTGTGGTTTATTCACTAAACAATGAATTGTAAAACAATGTATACTGAAATACAAAAATTTGGTGAAAATGGCAAAGCTCTAACCACAGCAGAGATAGATATTTTTCAAATTCACTACATTTGCCTAGATTCTGCAATTCAGCTTACAATTTACTACATTTCGAGTGCAATAAAACTAAACAACTCTGCTTTTGAAACATAGAACTTGCAAAAAATCCAAGAGTTACATTTCGGACTCTACAGGTCTCAGTTAGCATGTTAAATGTTAAAGTTCATGACAGTACAATTAGAAAAAGACTGAACAGGTACGGTTTGTTTGGAAGGGTTGCCAGGAGAAAGCCTATTCTTTCTAAAACGAACATGGCAGTACGGTTTAGGTTTGCAAAGTTGTATCTGAACAAACCGAAAGACTTCTGGAAAATGTCCTTTGGACCAACAAGACCAAAGTGGAGATGTTTGACAATAATACATAGCTCCATTTTTGGCAAAAAACAAACAGCATTTCAGCACAAACACCTCATACCAACTGTCAAGCACAGTGGTGGTGGGGATGATTGCTTGGACTTGTTTTGCAGCCACATGACCTTGGAACTTTGCAGTCATTGGGCTGACCATAAATTCCTCTGTATATCAAAGTATTCTAGAGTCAAATGTGAGGCCATCTGTCTGACAGCTAAAGTTTGGCTGAAATTGGGTCATGCAACAGGACAATGATCCCAAGCACACCAGCAAATCTACCACAGAATGGCTGAAAAAGAAAAGAATCAATGTGTTGCAATGGCCCTGTCAAAGTTCAGACCTCAACCGATTGAAATGCTGTGGCTGGATCTTAAGAGAGCATAAACAAATGCCAGCAAACCTCAATGAGTGTTCTACAGGCACACCTTATTGAATCATAAGGTGTATTTAATTTTTCACACATGGCTTCCCCATTTTCGCTTTATATTTGTTAAAGATAAATGATAACACAATATAATATGTCGTTTTGTTCATCTGAGGTTATATTTACCTAATTTTATGACCTGCTAAGGAACAGATGATTGTTATTATGCCCTGATATGTAAAACTATAGAATTCAAAGAGTGTATACTTTTTTTCCCCCCATGACTATATATAAAACGTGTTTACTTTATAATAATGTATGCCCCATAGCACATGTAGTTCAGGTGTACACACAATGAGGTTAGAGGCCGCCAGACATCATTACCTTTGATGCAAGTTTCTGTGCTTTTTCCTGTACTGTGAAATTTGCATCAGCATGGATGTCATCAAGCAAGGAATTAACAAACAGCTGAAAATCTGGTGATTCACTAGGGTTAAACACACAAAGTTAAAAAAAATATTAAAAACAAAGCAGCAACAACTACAATTTTAATGGTGAAATTGGAATTTTGTAGTATATTCCCTACTTATTCCCTACATATACATTTTAAGGACTTTACGAATACAGGTCTTAACATGCTAAACAAATAGCATGGAGAATTCTAACATGATTTACTAAAGTGAGAATTCAAAGTTAATTTCACGTTTAAGGCCAAAATAGCCCTACTTGAATCATGCACTAAACCAGTTATGCCTTAAGTTCAGCAACTTTGGCCTTTAATGTTCACTTTGAATTGTTGCTCTTGAAAATAACCCTGAGATATGCTAATTCACTGTAAAGCAAGGACACACACAGTTTCAACAACTGGAAAAAAATAACCAATTTTTTCCCCCTTTCAACAAAACAGCTCTTTCAAATTTTACTATTTTTGATCAACTCACTGTTTACTACGTAAACAAATGAACATATTTAAGCATTACATCTCCTCTTCTGTAGATAAAGGGTTTGGGAACAAAGATGGAAGGACTAATTCTGGTTGGATGTGAAATTATGTAACTGCTTTTGAAATTTCAGACTGCTCTGTAATGGTAAAAATTATATACGGTTCTTCCAAAGATATAGCCTACAGTTTACAGACTCTTCTGACTGAAGTCATGTGTACTAGTGTCATCAATGTCAGAATGAAAGGGACACTACAGTCACCCGACCACCATCTCAATGAAGTGGTCTGTGTGCAGTGTCCCTGGCATTTTGCTTCCCTAATGCAAAACATAGCGGTCTTAGAGATATGGCAATGTTTATACTATGGACTAAACACCTCTAGTGGTTGTTAAACTGACAGACACAAGCTGGTGCTTCTTACACTATGAATACAGACTCAGACTCTGTTCTTCACGTTCGACATCTTTGTATTAGGACATTGATCATTCAATCAATACGTCTCATAGAGAAGCACTGGATTTAATGCTTCTATGTGAGAAGCTTTAGATTGGAGGAACACAGCACTTCTCGTCCATTCAAATGCTTTTCATAGAGAAGCATTGTGGACGACAAGTGAATGTGCTCGAAGAGGTCAAAGAGGACTCTGCAGGCATAATACAAGATAGAAGGTGAAAAAGAGTTGGAAGAATTGTTGGGGTTATTTAACAAAAAAAAAAAAAAAAAAAAGGTGAAACAAAATAGCTGGGACTGGGGCCACAATGATTCAAAGAAAATATTATGTACAAAAATGTATACATAAATGATTAAAGCTGCAGTTTCTCTTGATGTCCCCACTATATTCAACAGTTCAGTTGGAACTAAAGAAAGCTTTCAAGAAAAGTAATAGATCCCAAAAAGTAAATGAGGTTCCAGACAAGAGATCTGTTCAAGAAATGGATAATCAATGAATCACAGGCCCATCTTCTGCTGGTTAAGATCGAGATAGCAGAAACCTGAACTGTCAGGGTACTGAGAATTAGACTCTTTTCCTTACCTCCCTGTGGAACTTCAAGACACTAGCTAATGAAGGCTTCAAAAAGTTGATATTACTAGGTAATACCATGAGTGAAAAACTTCCTAAACTCTATGGGAACTATCAGAATTCGATCTCTTTTTAGTCTTAAATATAGTTTCTGTATCAAAAGCAGATAATCCCTTCAGGCTCCCAATTTAAATAACTGTAGGCCAAGATGTATAAACTGCAGGAACAAATCTCTGTTGATATTCCTGTATGCATGAGTGGCCAAGAGTATTTCCTTCCCCAGAAAAGAAACTGCTTTCAGTTTTTTATCATATGCTTCCAGACCTAGAATAAGTTGCATCTCTTAAAAGGAGTCTCCTACCCCTGTTCCCATTTGACAACTGATGTAGGAGGCAATCCTTTTTATCCACCTTTAACAGGACTCACTGGCCCAAGTGAGAAGCCATGGTCTGTAGAGCCTTTAATAAGGTTCTCATCTATGGGATGTTGGAAGGGGGAATTCAACCAGAAAAGGCCACTGAACCTGGGATCAGGCTCTTCTACTGGATTCCCCGTGCCCCAGCACTGACATCAGTGGCTACGATCTGCCAATCAGGTTCTTTAAGGTAATGACCTCTGTCTAGGTTTTTTGCCGGTAGTTACCACCTCCAAGTTCCTGTGTAATGTAAACCCATCGAAGCTGGCTCTATTTGGATACACTGGACTAGACTTACAGAAGGCATCCTATCACACTCATATAATTCCAAGTTGACATTTTTCTTCTTATGATTAGGTCTCTGATTTGACACCAGTTGAAGTTTTTTGTTACTTTAAGAACAGCTTCCAAATATTTATGTTAGTTCATACAAAAACAGGCATTTTACTGGAGACAGTGTACTCTTCTCTAACTAAGCAATCCAGTTGTAAGGGGACAGGAATTGATATTTTTGTCACTCGATGGTTGTGGTCTATAATCAGGATATTGTTAAGATGAATGTGCATCCCTTGATTCCTCAACGCTGATACAACAGCAATCTTAATGTTAGCATATGAGTATTTTGGAAAACATCCCTGGTGCTAGGGTCAGGTCAAACAGGAGACCTAAAACTGGTAGTGTTTCCTTTAGACAAAGAAGCATGGGAAATTGCAGAGGCGTTAAGTTATTGGAGCCAATTATACCTGTGGACTGCTTGTTAAATCACTCCTACTGATTTCATTGTAAAGGACATCTCCTTGCAATGTAAATTTATCTTCCTCAGATCGAGTATAAAGCCTCCACTTTGGAGATAAAATGACTGTAAAGTAAAAATCTTAGATGTCCCAAAAGTTTCTGTGAGAGATTCTGTGGTGACTCCTTGATGCAACAGCTTCTCTATGAATTAAGTCTGTTCAACATACTAATTCTGCTAGGTAATCTTGAAATAATAGCTTCTAACCACTTTATAGAAACAGTGTTGGCCCAGACAGGAAAAAATATATTTAGTCAAACGTCTACAATATCTGTCTGGGTCTGCACATCATTCTCTAGATTATTAACTCATATTTTCACTGTTCTTGAAACTTACATTTAGTCGACCACTGAGTGAAAGTCTGAGCCAATGCCTACATATGCTTTAAAGGGATACTATAAGTGCCAGGAATACAAGGCTGTGTTCCTGGCACTATAGCTCCCTCTGTCTCCCCCCACCCTCCCAAAGTGGTCAATAAAGGGTTAAAAACCGCTTATTTTCTTTACCCCAGCACCGATTTCTCTCGGAGCTGGGTTGTGGCCCCGCCTCCTCCAACATCCTACAAACTCCCTATAGGAAATCAAAGCTTTTCTATGGGAAAAAATCTGACGCTGGATGTCCTCATGCAGAGCGTGAGGACGTCCAGCGTCAGATACCGGACCAAAGGTCTGTTTGGATGCAAGAAGCGCTTCCAGTGGCTAACTGGGAGACTGCCACTGGAGGCAGACTTAGTGCTGCAATGTAAACATTGCAGTTTCTCTGGAACTGCAATGTTTGACATTGCAGCACTAAGTGCAATAGGGACACTGTACCCATGCCACTTTAGCTGAATTTAACTAGTTGAGAATCCAACCTTTTCTCCATTGGCTGAGTGATACCATACTATCGATAGGCAATGTAGTTTGTTGGAAAGCCTGATGACAGTTGCACCAATCTTAGGAAATGTTGTCCACATTTTACATTCTCTTGGATAAATCAAACAGACCCTAATAACCTTCCATTGATGCATAAAAATATATATTTTCTCTATATTTATCTATATATTATTGTAGGGCAGAAGATGTTTTAAAGGCTCTCGGATCTTCAAAGAATATATCCGATGTTGCTACTTCCAACTTTTCCTCAGGGATTTTCAGTATATCTCAAACTAAAACAATTGACTGATCTAATATCGTTAGACTTGCCTCATGGTTACACAGTCTCCTCCTCAAACCAATATTCCTGCATTGGGTTTAGATCCAAGCTAGACTCCAAGGAGTAGGAAGAGGTTGTTGGTGTTTTGGATGACATCTTCTTCACCATGGCTAACTAAAAACCTCTTGGCAATAGCCTGTAAAATCGACTTCTGCGGGTCAGCTCTGCTTTGACATTCTGACACTTCCTTAATGCTGGAGTAACACAGGTTCTTTCCCTATGGGGCATTTGAACCACAGCCCATACAGCAGTGAAACGTCTGTAGATACTTCTTCAGTAAGACATCCTGCTGATGTCTACGAATGAAGTGATGGGGCCATATGAATGTCATGCATTGATTTTAATCCTGCTTTTAAAAAAAATTACAAATCTTTATACTTAATATCTCTTGAAACCCTATGGTCAATCAATAGAAATTAGTAAAAATATATAAGCTATATATCAGCTTACCTAATAGCCAAATGAGAAGGCTAGACTGCACACAGAATTTCAAAATCATGGCGTACTTTTTTAATTTCCTGGACAAAGAATGAGACACACTGCCCCTAAAAATCTTTCCAGCCTCAGTGTATACCCAGACAGGCCAAAACTCTTTTAGATGCATGACTTGCCAAGAAAAGCAGTGAGGTGATAAAAAAAAAATGCTGGGTAATGGCATTTTTGATTGCAACAAACTACTGCTAATCTTATCAAGCTCAGGTAAATCTGGAACACAGCTCCAGGGGCCGACTGAGCACTCGGGCAAATCGGTCATGGACCGAAGGCCCGGGGCTCTGGGGGGCCCGTCTGTGGTGCAGTGCAGTAATTGCTTAGATAGGGAGTTTAGCAGGTTCTGCAGCCAGCCTGCACGCAGCAAGTGGCTGCACAGCCTTCCGCTAGCCCCTGCTGCTACAAATCTTCTCCCCCTTGCTGGGCACACCGAGATATAGCTAAGGGGCCATCCCAAAGACCCCACTAGGCTGCCCCTCAGTGTGCCTGTCTTAGTGACCACAGCCACACAGAGCATACAGGCTGCCTGTAACACTGCTCTGGGGAGCTCCCTTTTTTTTATTTTATTTTTTTATCAAAGATATTTTAATTTTATAAACTCCTCCACATCCCCTTTACACCCCAAACCCCCATAGCTTTACACTTACTACAATTCATATTATACACCGGTACCCTCTACAGCTCCTACACCCTCTATAGCCCCTACCCCTATGCACCCTCTAAAGCCCCAACTCCCATGCACCCTCTGCAGCCCCTACTCCCATGCACCCTCTGCAGCCCATACTCCCATGCACCCTCTGCAGCCCATACTCCCATGCACCCTCTGCAGCCCCTCTGCATACTCCCATGCACCCTCTGCAGCCCATACTCCCATGCACCCTCTGCAGCCCCTACTCCCATGCACCCTCTGCAGCCCATACTCCCATGCACCCTCTGCAGCCCATACTCCCATGCACCCTCTGCAGCCCCTACTCCCATGCACCCTCTGCAGCCCCTACTCCCATGCACCCTCTGCAGCCCCTACCCCCATGCACCCTCTGCAGCTCCTACACCCATGCACCCTCTACAGCCTCTACCACCTGGTACACTTAACAACCTCTTCCCCCTGCCACTCCAGCACCCTCTGCAGCCCCTTCCCCCCAGCACCCTTTGCAGCCCCATACCTACCGGCACCCTCTGCAACCCCTACCCTCTGGCACTTCCTACAGCCCCTATTACCTTCTGCACACACTACTTTGCATGCACAATAGCATTCCAATGCTTTCCTATGGTAAAGCATTGGATTGGCTGAGATTATCTAAACTGAGGCAGAGCAGGGGCTGGGCCAGGCACTATTTTGTTCAGTGCTGAAAAAAAAGTGAGTAAATCACCTTTGTAAGGGGGGACTATAAACCTATAGTGTCAGGAATGCACATTTGTATGTAGTAGTCCTTTAAGGTGGCTAGTAAAGTTCAATACCTGGTTTGTAATTCAAGGCAAACAATTTGGGGGCAATTTTGAGTAATGAATTAATCCTGCCCTAACAACTATGGAGAAGCTAAGCTGTAATGGATATAAAATACATTGTTTTTCTTGAAATCTTTTGTGATTTTATTAGTGCGCGACAATATAAGGAGAACAAAGACAATATCATGGAATGCAACGCTCATTACAAAATTGGTAAAAGATACAAAAAATTATAATATTTACTGCTTTCTGTGAACTGGAACTGCTCGAATAGACTGGGCAACAGTTTCTGACGGCAACCCCACAATTCGGGAAACCTGTAAAGAAACAGCGGAAACAATGTTACATTAAGATTGACTGCATCATTAAGTGACCTGTGAAACAGAACTACTGCTAACAAATAAAATATAACATGTCCTGGCCAATCAGAGTGATCACATGTGCTGCAGGGGCTCCTAATCCACCTCCCTTAACCTCCTTGTGCAGTGTGAAGTGGAGAGAGACGGATTAGTGCTGATTTGTTTCTGCCTATAAAAAAACCCCACAACAACAAAAAACATATTAGGTTAAAATCACAACCCCCTTATACTAGATTAATAAAAAATTAACCCTTCCCCTGCAAATCATTTAGTGTCTGCAGTGATCAAAATACAGATCTCACTATTTTATTGTGATCTGATTTCCTATGCTAAATTATCCTATGCAATGGTTCAAAATATGCCTTTTCAAATATCCTGGGGTTTCTTCTTTATGGAATGGTATGCCTTTGTAGGGTAGTTGGTATAAGCTACCTGTTATATAACTCCAAAATGGGACATGGACCCAGCGTAAAAAAAAATTCAAAGTATGAATAAAACTGAAACGGCTGTGTCTTAAAGGGACACTATAGCCACCTGAACAACTTTAGCTTAATGAAGCAGTTTTGGTGTATAGAACATGCCACTGCAGCCTCACTGCGCAATCCTCTGCTATTTAGGAGTTAAATCCCTTTGTTTATGAACCCTAGTCACACCTCCATGCATGTGACTTGCACAGCCTTCCATAAACACTTCCTGTAAAGAGAGCCTTATTTAGGCTTTCTTTATTGCAAGTTCTGTTTAATTAAGATTTTCTTATCCCCTGCTATGTTAATAGCTTGCTAGACCCTGTAAGAGCCTCCTGTATGTGATTAAAGTTCAATTTAGAGATTGAGATACAATTATTTAAGGTAAATTACATCTGTTTGAAAGTGAAACCAGTTTTTTTTTTCCATGCAGGCTCTGTCAATCATAGCCAGGGGAGGTGTGGCTACGGCTCCATAAACAGAAACAAAGTGATTTAACTCCTAAATGACAGTGAATTGAGCAGTGAAATTGCAGGGGAATGATCTATACACTAAAACTGCTTTATTTAGAAAAAGTAATTTAGGTGACTATAGTGTTCCTTTAATTGTGCCCCTTCAATGTCCACATATACTTGGCAAAGGTACATATGGAGTACTTCTGTACTTAGACTGAGCGGCATATGAAGTATTTGACTGCGATAGCACAGATAAGGTTGGCAAAATATACAGTAAAAACTCACTATGAGTGTCAAAAAGTAATAAAAAAAAATGCTAATTACCACTATACTGGCGGTACAAGCTAGTGAAAATATTATCGCACACTAAGGTTCAAAATATGCCTTTTGAAATAACCTGGGGTGTCTTCTTTAAGAAATGGTATGCCATTATGGGGTAGTTTGAATAAGTAACCTGATAAAATGCTCCAAAATGGAACACGGACCCATCAAAACCATGAAAATTCATACTTAAAAAACCTGAAATTGTCACATTTTTTTTTTTCCATTTAAAAAAAAATAATAAATGAGAATTTATATATGTATATGTCACATCAAATTAAAGCCCCTTTGGTCCTTTAAAAAAACCAGTATATAATATGTACAAACGTAGAAACTAAGTGATAAAAAAAAAAAAAAAACCCTCACCACTAGTTGCAAATGTGGAGCGCTAGTAAAATATACACTTACCCCTAAGGATTAAAACAGCAGTGAAATGGTGTAAAAGAATATTAATATTATTGGTATTTATATAGTCCGCCCCATATGTCTTCCCCCCTCGAACCCATCCACGCACCTCATCCTCCTAAGCCCCTCTACGCATCACATTGTATTTTGTAGGGGTTGAAAGTTCCTGCATTTGTGTGGTAGCTGCTACAATATTATGTTACCTGCACTTGATAGTGTTTGAAACGCCTTATAACGCACTTTGGATTTTGGAATCCAGTATATAATATGTGTTGGTGCAATAAATAAGAAATATGCAAATTGCAATTGAACACAAAACAGCATAAAATACAAAAAATGCTTATGTCTTTAAAAGGAACACTATAGGCTCAGGACCATAAATATGTATTCTTGACCATACAGTGTTAAAATCACCATCTAGCCCCTGCCTCATTAAATATAGTAAAATAATTTATTCCAGTGTGCAGCTGCTGCAGCTGCCACTGAGCTGCCTGACATCATCAGAAGTGATTCTGTGAGCCAATCACAATGCTTTTCCACAGGATTGGCAAAGACTGTCAAGGAGGCAGATCAGGGGCAGAGCCAGCACAAGTCAAACACAGCCTGGCCAATCAGCATCTCCTCATAGAGATCCATTGAATCAATGCATTTCTTTCAGGCAAGTTCAGTGTCTGCAAGTAAAGGGAGGAGATGCTGAATGGTAGTACTGCACAGTGTGCAGCACTGCCCCAGGAAATACCTCTAGTAGCCATCCGAGGAGTGGCCGGTGAAGTTATCCCTAGGCTGTAATGTAAACACTGCATTTTCTCTGAAACAGCAGTGTTTACTGCAAAAAGCCTTAAGGGAATGATTCTACTCACCAGAACAAATACAATAAGCTGTAGGTGTTCCGTTGACTATAGTGTCCCTTTAAGTGTATGTCCAGCTTCTGAAGCTGCATCCTTAAGGCGTTAAGCTAAAGTTGTTTTGGTGCTTTGAGTACTAACTTGAATTAATGGAGTAAAGACGTTTTTCAACATTTTAACCTTAACATTCTATTGACAGCACCAGTTTGTCTGCTCAATCCCTCAGCCTGTATGATGAATTGATTTCATGATTTTAAATATATCTATAATTCTTAATTACAAATTGAATTACATTTTATAACAATTTCTGTTTACATTGTAAAACATTTTTTATTCCCAAACATGCATTTTTGAGCAGATGTTTTCTGCATAAAGGAAAAATACATTAAAATTGGAAATTCTAACCACTGAACTTCTAATAAAGGTAATTTATTCACTAAATATTGAAGCGTCATCAACTGAAAATAGAATTTCAAATCAAAGTAAAAATACCAAGCAGAGACTAAAACAGAAATGGAGTTAATAGCTGACAATGTTATAGTTTCATTTTCAATTCAATAGAATTTTGTGTTTAGTGAATAAACTATAAAATCCAGGAACTCGATTGTTAGTGTCCTCCAGAAAAGTTACTAAACAGAACAATGATAAAGTGACTGACAACATGATCATTTTATTTATGGATTATTTTAAACGAAGCAGACCTGTAATGTACATTGTCCAATGAAATGTAAGCTGTAGAATGTAATCCACAAGAAGGTCAAGGGCACCATCTATGGAGGTTATTTTTGTAACGGTACTTGTATTCAGCTGACATAGTAAATAAAACCCTTTATTATTTATTGACTTCAATTGTTGTGCATTCTCTTTCACTGATTTGAAATGACACCTGCATTATTGAATAAGTGCATGACACTGACAGCAGACATGTCACTAGCTGGCTCTGAGCGGGGCTGGGGACGGGTATGAGGGGAGGGTAGAACCCGGTACCTGCTCAGCTATTGCCCTCCGAAAGAGACAGGCCATGTGCCAGTCAGTAGGGCACACAGGGCACCCGCAGCTTTACGTAGAAGGATACAGACAGGAAGCAGCCTGTCTATGGAACACGTGGGTTTCCAGTCACTCGCAGAGCCCGCCCCCGGAACATCCTCTCCACCAATCAGGGCTCGGCGGGTTTCTGCGTGTTCTACAAGCAGAAGTATCAGGTAAGTGCTATATGGAACGTACAGTAATACATGTGTCAGTCTTCACCTGAGTACACCATACAGTCACTGTTTAACTTAACCCCCTACTATCCCTGCATTAGTTGTGTCATGGGAAAATGACAACGGTTAACCCCTTAAGGACACATGACGTGTGACATGTCATAATTCCCTTTTATTCCAGAACTTTGGTTCTTAAAGGACCACTATAGTGCCAGGAAAACATACTCGTTTTCCTGGCACTATAGTGCCCTGAGGGTGCCCCCACCCTCAGGGACCCCCTCCCGCCAGGCTCTGGAAGGGGGAAAGGGTTAAAAACTTACCTTTTTCCAGCGCTGGGCGGGGAGCTCTCTGCCTCCTCTCCTCCTCCGATCCTCCTTCTGGGCTGAATGCACACGCACGGCAAGAGCTGCGCGCGCATTCAGCCCGTCGCATAGGAAAGCATTTACAATGCTTTCCTATGGACGCTTGCGTGCTCTCACTGTGAAAATCACAGTGAGAAGCACGCAAGCGCCTCTAGTGGCTGTCAATGAGACAGCCACTAGAGGATTAGGGGGAAGGCTTAACCCATTCATAAACATAGCAAAGCTCTCCGAAAACTGCTATGTTTATAAAAATGGGTTAGTTCCTGAGGATTTGGCACCCAGACCACTTCATTAAGCTGAAGTGGTCTGGGTGCCTAGAGAGTGGTCCTTAACTCCTCTATGACCGAGACACCCAGACCGCCATCGCATTTTTTGCCTTCTTGCCGACCGATGACGGTCCTGAACCGTCCTAACGGTCTGAGCTACTTACCTGATCGCCGTCGTTCCCCCGGCGGCGATCAGCGTGGTTCCGGTTGTGGGGAGACTGCCTGCAGCCCAGATAGTCTCCCCACACTGATTTAGGACCCCTGTGGCCATGTGATCGCTTAACACAGCGATCACATGGTCACAATGGGTGTCCATGTGTCTGCCTGCAGGGGGACTGCCTGTGCTGACAGGCAGTCTCCCTGCTAGTGTAAAATCAAAAAATAAAATAAAGTTAGTGTTAATTAAAAAAATAATAATAATTATATATGTGTATATATGATATATAGACATATATTATATCTGTATAATATATGTCTATATATCATATGTATAATGCCATACTAAGTGTATTTTTATATTAATATGTACTTCTATTAATATAAAAATACACTTATAATTAAATTACACACGTATATATATATAATATATATAACTATATATATTGTATATATATATTATTATAAAATATAAATAATAAGTAATTTAAATTAAATAATTTTTTAAAAATACACAAAATGTAAAAAATTATATAGCTATATGAAATTTTTATTCTAACTGTATTTTAAAATATACATATATATTTATATCAAAATATACTTAGAATAAATTTGTATATATATATATATATCTATGTATATAAAAATAAATAAAAATAAGAAATATACATACGTCCATATACAAAATTAAATAAATAATTATATAAATATACACGTAGACTTCAAATATATAAATATGCATATATATTTAAATTCTACGTGCGTATTTATGTAATATTTTTACATAATTCAGTAATTTTATTGATTGCAATTTGAGGGACCTGCCTGCCAACCCAGGCCGAAATTCCAGAGAATTTTAATTTGTTAGCACTGTATTTTACCCTTGTAATGTTTCTATTTAGACACTTCTAGGCCTCATATAGTATATTTGGAGACTTCGCTGAACACAAATATTAGTGATTCACAACAGTAAAACATATCAAAGCGATGATATTGTCAGTGAAAGTTACTTTTTTTGCATTTTTCACACACAAACAGCACTTTTACTGATGATATAATTGTTGTGATACGTTTTCCAGTTTTTTAAACACTAATATTTGTGTTCAGCGATGTCTCCCGAGTAAAACAGTACCCCCCATGTACAGGTTTTATAGTATTTTTGAAAGTTACAGGGTCAAATATATGGGTCAAATATTTTTACATTGAAAATGGCCAGGTTGGTTACGCTGTTCTCTTTGAGAGTTTATGGTAAAGCCCAGGAATGAGAATAATTACTCCCCATGATGGCATACCATTTGTAAAGAAGATAACCCAGCAGTAGTTAGAATAGAGGTTCAGTCTTTTAGTAACCACTTGAAATACAAAACACTGGCCAAAATTAGCGTTCAATTTAGTTTTTTTACTTTTTCACACACAAACAAATATGAATGCTTACTTTGGCCAGTGTTTTCGACTAAGTGGCTACTAAAAAGACTGGACATACCCCATATTGAATACCCTGGGTTGTCTACTTTAAAAAAAAATATGTACATGTGGGGTGTTATTCAGAGATTTATGACAGATAATAGCGTTACAATGTCACTATTGATAAATTTTAAAAATGTATGTTTTGAAACCGCAATATCCTACTTGTACCTATAGCCCTATAACATGCAAAAAAAAGCAAAAAAGCACGTAAACACTAGGTATTTTTAAACTCAGGACAAAATTTTTAATCTATTTAGCAGTTTTTTCATTCGCTTTTGTAGATGAGTAAAAGATTTTTCAAGTAAAAGTCAAAAAACATGTATTTTTTCAATTTTTCATCAGATTTTTGTATTTTTTTAAAATTAAAATACATGAGATTATATAAATAATGGTATGTAAAGAAAGCCCCTTTTTGTCCTGAAAAAAACAATATATAATTTGTATGGGAACAGTAAATGAGAAAGCGGAAAATTACAGCCAAACACAAACACCACAAAAGTGTAAAAATATTCCTGGTCGCAAATGTACAACATCGCAAAAACAGTCCAGTCCTTAAGGGGTTAAGGGGTTAAAGACACTGCAAAGTGAGGGCCGGGCAGCATGTGAGCTGTGAATGCGTTGTGTATAAGACATGTCTGATTACCTGTCACCCCACAAGTAATCCTGGCTTAGTATACCTCAGAGAGGCTGTACGCTATCTTCCAGAGAGTGCAGAGCTTCCTGTAAGGCTGTCTTTGTTGTTGTTATGGTTATTTGGTAAAGTAGGGATTGTCGGGAATTGAGATTAAATCTCAAATTTGAGGCCAATATAGCTGAGCTGAAATCACAACTCACTTGGAGAATTCTTTCCAAATTTGCCATTTTGGCCTAAAATCTGAAATCCACTATGAACTTACTTTGAATTCCTGATTTTATAAACATTAGTGAATAACCCCGTGTGCCTTATATAGTGGAGATCTGAATAGACATGCACCAAGGGGGTGTCAAAATATTTCCCAGTAGCAGATAGAGTCTAAGACACACACAGAGTTATTAATTATAGTGTGAAATGTCAGGGATTCCGAGTTCATTTTAAATTAAAGGAAAAATGTTCTAAGTCAGCAATAATGGTTTCACTTTAGCTGATTGGCCAAAAGTTTGCCATTGGGATTTTAGTTCACTAAAATTTGAAGTTTTGTGAATGACCCTTTTAAAAAAAATCTCCAAATCTGCTATGTTCCCAACAACATATATACTGTAATCAGTTTTGCCATTTTTACTTAAATGTGCAGTGTCCTTGTCATTTCTCCACAATTTCATTAAAGGAACACTATAGTCACCTAAACAACTTTAGCTTAAACAGTTTTAGTGTATAGATCATGCCTCTCAGGTTTCACTGCCCAATTCACTGCCATTTAGGAGTTAAATCACGTTGTTTCTGTTTATGCAGCCCTTGTCACACCTCCCCTGGCTATAATTGACACAGCCTGCATGAACAAAACTGGTTTCACTTTCAATCAGATATAATTTATCTTGCTCTTTAAATTGAACTTTAATCACATACAAGAGGCTCTTGCAGGGTCTAGCAAGCTATTAACATAGCAGTGGATAAGAAAATATAAATTAAACAGAACTTGGAATAAATCAAGGATAAACATTAGATGACTCTTTACAGGAAGTGTTTTGGAAGGCTGTGCAAGTCACATGCAGGGAGGTGTGACTAGGGTTCATAAACAAAGTGATTTAACTCCTAAATGGCTGAGAACTGAGCAGTGAGACTGTAGGGGCATGATCTATACACCAAAACTGCTTCATTAAGCTAAAGTTGTTTTGGTGACTATAGTGTCCCTTTAAAGTGTGAATTATTTGGAATAAAAGTGAATTCAAATTTTAGCTATAGCATCTCCACTATAGCTGAATGGGAGATACAGATGAGTTGGAAATGTTTTCGAATCAACTGTTTTTTATTTTGCAAATTATAATTTTAGCTCACAATTCCTGGGTTACCTTCCTGTATGTATACTTTTACATACCCTTCTATTCAATTCATTACACATATTTCATCCTCATATTCCACCTCGGTGCCTTACATACCCAGGTTTTGCTGATTCCCTTTATTGTTGACCTGCCCAAGGTTGTTGGCCCACAATTTTCGAACAGTTTGACAAAAGAGAGTGCTCTTGTAAGTACCTCTCTGCAGCGCTCAGACAATGTCGAAGTTATTATGAGTGGCTCTGGAATAATTGGGTTTTGGTGACAGCCCAGTATTTATCTGTCTTAAAAACAACTCCATTTGAAACCAATGGGCATCAGATCTCATTGGACCATAAGCTATAAAATGTGCTGTAGTGGTTATGTTTTATAGAGTGTTCTATTTAAAGAAGCTTAAAAATCTAAACATGATTTTCAAAATTGATACTTGTTCTCTTCATTTAATTGATGTCTCATGAAGAAAGCAGACCAGAGGGATTATATGTACAGATGTAACTGCCTGTTCACCACTTGTATGGGAATTATAAACTAAAAGTTCAGTTTCAAATTCCCTCAGTTGTGTCAGTTTCGCCTATACATTGGTGAGGTTGTGTGGATGGTAATTACTGTTGTGTTACTAAAAATATAACAATCCTGTGGTCATGCCAAAGTTAATTTCTTGTGTCATTCCTTTTCAGGAGTCCATTGCCATGGCAACATCTTCATTTTCAAAGGTAGTGTTTTACTGAATTTAGTTATCACATTTGTTATCCATGAAAACATATGGTTTAAAATTGTGGCATACAGTTGTGCTTCAAAGTTTGCATACCCTTTGAGAATTGGTAATATATGTATCATTTTTAAAGAAAACATGATTGTATTGTATTTCTTATGAGAGATAGATATATATTCAACTGTAGGTTATAAGAGAATGGCACAATCATAATCCAAAACATGGCAACAAAGAAAAAAAAAAAAATTACCCCTGTTCAAAAGTCTGCATACCCTTAGTTTTTAATACTGTGCATTGCCCCCTTTAGCATCAATGATGGCATGCAGTCTTTTGTAATAGTTGTCTATGAGGCCCCAAATTCTTGCAGGTGGTATAGCTGCCTATTTGTCTTGGGAAAATGCCTCCAGGTCATGCCAAGTCTTCGGTCGTCTTGCATGAACCACACGTTTGAGATTTTCCCAGAGTGGCTCGATGTTATTAAGGTCAGGAGACTGTGATGGCCACTCCAGAACCTTCACCTTTTTCTGCTGTAACCACTGGAGGATCAACTTAGCCTTGTGCTTGGGGTCATTGTCATGCTGGAAAGTCCAAGAGCGTCCCATGCACAGCCTTCATGCAGAAGAATGCAAATATTCTGCCAGTATTTTCCGATAACATGCTGCATTCTTCTTTCCATAAATTTTCACAAGATTCCCCATGCCTTTGGAGCTCACCCCCCACCCCCCGCAAAACATCAGTGAGCCACCACCATGCTTCACAGTGGGGATGGTATTCTTTTCACTATAGGCCTTGTTGACCCCTCACCAAACATAGTTATTGGTTTTGACCATAAAGCTCTGTTTTGGTCTTGTTGTTCCAAATTACAGTGTGCCAGAAGTTATGAGGCGTCTCAAGGTGTTGTCGGGCATATTGTATCCGGGCTTTTTTGTGGCATTGGCGCAGTAAATGCTTATTTCTGGCAACTCAACCATGCAGCTCATTTTTGTTCAAGTATCGTCGTATTGTGCTACTTGAAACAACCACACAATCTTTTTCCAGAGCAGACTGTATTTCTCTTGAGGTTACCTGTGGATTTTTCTTTGTATCCCGAACAATTCTTCTGGCACTTGTAGCTGAAATCTTTCTTGGTCTACCTGACCTTGGCTTGGTATCAATAGATCCCCGAATTTTCCACTTAAGTGATTGAACAGTACTAAATGGCATTTTCAAAGCTTTGGATATCGTTTTCTATCCTTTTCCATCTTTACAAAGTTCCATTATCTTGTTACGCAGGTCTTTTGATAGTTCTTTACTGCTCCCCATGGTTCAGTATGTAGCCTGCTCAGTGCATCCACGTGAGAGCTAACAAACTCATTGGCTCATTTATACACAGGCACTAATTACAATTGAAAAAGCTACAGATGTGGGAAATTAACCTTTCATTGCCATTGTAACCTGTGTGTGTCACCTTGTGTGTCTGTAACAAGACCAAACATTCAAGGGTATGTAAACTTTTGATCAAGCCATTTGGGTGATTTCTGTTATCATTATGATTTCAAAAGGAGCCAAACTTTTTTTGTGTGATCAGTCACATTTTCAAAATCAATGCCAAAATGTCACAATTTCTGCTAAGGTATGCAAACTTTTGAGCACCACTGTAGGTCCAGCTATACAGCCATACAATATTTTAGGTTTATCAGCTAAGCCTGTATTGGGCACATTTGATTATAAATCTTGTCTTGTTTACTCACTCACGCATTTGCCATGAAGCAGAAGAGGGAACAGGCTGTAGGCACTCAATGAACTTTGTTTTTTGTCAGATTGCTCAAACAAGGTTCTACACAATATTTAAAAATGACGCCCAGATGTTCTTTATCCTATAACCAATGTAATGATCGATAGTCATTGTGCTTAGAATGTACCTTTAAATAGTTAGTTCTGAAATGGTAGCTCTGCCTTGCTTTTATTTTATTTTTTTTATATATATTTTTTTTATTTATTTTTTTATTTAGTGGCTTTATTATATTTATTTGTGCTTTTTTAGGGTTGCTTTGTTTTTAAGCCAAGCGCAAAGAAGAAAAAGACTTCCATCACAGCTGGTAAGTGAAATGATTAACGCTGACTCCAGTGAAGCTTTGGGTGTACCATAGTTTAGCAGTAGAACAGGAATACGTTAGACAAAATATCCTTGTGCGTATGTGTAAACCGTTTTAATGGTGCAACAAGAATTCAATTCGTGGTCCATTTTAAATTGTAATATCACTATGTGTGCAAATTATAGCAATCTTTTGTCTTTAAACAACTTGTAATTCCCACATCTAGAAAAATAGCGTATCATTGACTAAGCTCCTATCACTGGTATTATGCCTTTGTCCTATTTCCTATTTTTAAGGCGCAAGTGCATTCTGATATATTTTGTATAATACTTTGATGTACTTGGGAAAACGTTGAAAGTTAGTAGAGAATCAAATGCTATTGAGAATTTAATGTTCCATGTATTAAACCATTGGTTATATTTCAGCTGACTATTTTAATGAAAGTCTTAAGGATTCTGAAGATGGCAAGAAACGATTTGAGAGTTGTCAGTTGCTATGGCAACAGATGAAATCACAGACAGAGGTAAAGACATACTTTTGGGCAATGTATTTGATCTTGTTAAGATTTTTTTATATCAAATTGCTGAAGACATGCTTATTAGAAGTTGAAACGCAAGAAAGTTAAAACACTAGAAGAAAAGTGGAGTGTTCAATGATATTGAGACCCGGACACACAAGAAATGTAGAAATATAACTCACTTGCTGATACTTATAAAGATTTGGCATTTCTTGTCATCATAAATAAATAGAATACTAAGATAGCCAAAACACACATAACAGTGAAAAGTATATTGTCGAGCAGTTTAAGAATTGTCATCTAAATGTTGACTTTACACAAAAAAAGAACCATAATGTGCTGAAAAATTATAAATATGTGTGTTCAGCACGAATATCCAAGAAAACAGTAGAGCACCTATAGATCATATAATAGGCGTGGGAGAGGGGGGATGGCAATACAATGGTAATAAATAAATTTGACATGTTCCATGTGCTGAAAGACATATAGAAACAAAAAAAATTGATACTGGTGGAGTTGCTGGATACAAAAAAAGCTCCCGAGCCAGTGCTGTAACATAGGTTTTTACAAAGGGGACCTAGTAGATCAGAGAGGAAGGAAGTTGTGAATCAAACAAAATGTCCCAATTCAAACATATCAATATATGCAAAATCCTAAAAGTCCCTGATCTGCTTTCGAGGGCACTTCTCTGAACTTGATATAAACATTCAAGGTTGCTAAGCGGTCCCTAATGCTTCTAATGAATGCATATCTTGTATATGCCACAAGATTACAACAAAAGTGGTCCCCTTCAAGAAAAAATAATTGCCTGGTAAATTAAAAGGAGCACACACAGCCCCATGATCTTCCAGCTCTGTCAGTGAATGTGTGTCAAATCAGTGAGTGTGTGTGTCTGTGTCCTCTGCATGTAAATGTGAGTCACTGTCCTCTATGTATGTTTATCAGTGTGAGTGACTGTCAGTGTCCTCTGTGTGTGTGTGTGTATATATATATATATATATATATATATATATATATATATAATGTATATGTGTGTCAGTGTTCTCGGTGTGTAACAATTATCTGTGAATTCTATTTTCATTGTGTGACTTTTATACTTCAGAATTATAGTTCAGACACTTTTTTTTTTTTTCGAAAAATATTCTTAATTACCTAATTAGGTTTGTTCCCCAATATGGAATTAACTTAAAAATTAGTGACTGCACGATTAATTTGGCTTTTAAAACAATAGAAATTGCTTTCTTGAGGCATGGGTAAGTATGATTTTAAAAAATATATTTTAGATCTCCAAGTTGACTTCTCCGTAAAAAAGGTTGAGAAACGCTGTTCTAGGCTGAGAATCATTTTCTTTCAATTACTGCTCTTTATTTACCGCTATTAGCCATTTTTCCCACTAGATGGCACTATAAAATTCAATTTGAAGATTCAAGTTGCTAAATCACATAGGACACTTTGAGGGTTTATACACTAAAGCACACATTCCAGCAAATTGCAGGATATAGGCAAACATAGAAATTCTTCATCTCTGCTATAGGGATAGTTGATGTTTTGTTTTCAGTGCACTCTAATTTATAGTTTATTGTTTATTAACATTGCTTGGTCCAGTACTATAAGACATTGTTTTTTGTTTTGTTTTTTGCTTATTGTATTGAGCAAGATTTGACATTTCATTGGGACATGTGTTAAATGGGACAGAGCCCAATGTGTCAGGCATGGAGTCTAGTGCCCCAGTGGAAATCATCACTTGTATGATTTTTATTTCCCCAGCAACTACAAGATGAACTGAACAGAAAGATCTTTGATAACCTAATATGCTTTTTAAGAAAATCCCACTCAGACTTCCAGGAAAAGAAGGATGCTTGGAGCTCAAGGATGCGATCTAGTGAAATCCCTACAGCCGCACTGGTTCTTGGTGAATACCATCTTTTATTCACATTGTTTCAATACCTTAATTGATTATCTGCATGGTTACCATTAACAAATGTATTACCACATTGTCTGTGCTGTATTTTTACAAAGATAAAGAGAGTACTAAGTAATAAGTTATTTGGCTATTAAAATTAATAAATTGAGCAGCTATTGGTAACGTTTTAAGGGCTATAATTTGTGGCTTTGACATCATCATGTGATGTGAGCAGGATATTGCTTTGCTGCAGAGAGATTTGGATAGATTTGGGGGACTGGGCACTAAAATGGCAGATTAAATTTGAGTGTTTATAGAGAAATGCAAAGTTATAAACTTCGGGGTCAAGAATGCACAATCAAATTACACCCTAAATGGTAGTGAATTATAACTACCTAAACGGTTGTGAATGATAACCACACACGAGAAGGATTTGGGAATTGTTATAGACCACAAATTAGGCAGCAATATGCAATGTCAATTTGCAGTTGCTAAGGCCATTAAAGTTTTGTCATGTATAAATAGGGGCATAAATTCTCGGGATGAAAATATAATTTTGCCTCTTTATAAATCACTGGTAAGACCACACCTTGAATTTTGGGCACATGTTCTAAAGAAGGATATCATGGCACTAGAAAAAGTGCAGAGATGAGCTACAAAATTGATAAAAAGGAATGGAGCCTTTTAGTTACTAAATGAGATGGATTATAGTTTCTCTTGCATCTTTTTTTCTGTTTCTGCAGGAGTTAATGTTACAGATCATGACCTTACTTTTAGCAGCCTGACTGATGTTATCAATGATACTGTCAGTCCATTTGTAGTCCTGTTACAAGCACAGGAATGTCCAGGTATGTGTCCTTTTGTAATATAAAAAAGGAAAATTATTTTTATGTTTTTTTTTTCAGTAAAACTACAAGGAACACTCCAAGCACCATAACTACTACAGTGCAGTGTCGTGGTTATGGTGCCTGGAGTGCCCTGGCGTCAAGCCAAATTTGTAAGAGAGCTCAACAAAAAACTCTGTTTGAGATAGTGGAGGTGGGGAACAGTGCTTATTGGATCCCAGGTAAGAAGTCAAAACATTCTAAAATATTTTTCAACTTACAATGAGGGAGCCACTAGGCACTTTTGACACCATAATCACTACAGCATGCTGTAGTGTTTATGGTGCATGGAGTGTTTCTTTAAAGCAGGCTTGTCCAACCTGTGGCCACCTAGATGTTGCTGGACTACAACTCCCATAATTATTTCAATGAAACAGCCAGGGATTTATGGGAGTTGTAGTTCAGCAACATCTGAAGAGATGGGCGGGGGGAGCTGGTTGGACAGCCCTGCTTTAAAGGCTATAAAATTAATTTAAAAAAAATATTTTTAATGTGTGTTTTAGTTATGTGGTCATAGTGTCTGGAGTACCTTGGCACTGTCCTTCCATTCAGTGTTGAGCCTTTCCTTTTTTTGTTGTTGCTTGGGTGGCAATGATTGGCTAAGAGTGTCAGTTATTTTTTTTAAGCCAATCACAACAGCCATTGCATGTATTAATTGGTATGGTCAGAAAGAAGTGTGTAATCTTTGCCTATGTCATTCATCCAGTGGGGGTAGGGCTGTGGGTAGCCATTCAAAGCTAAACTGCTCGAAAATAGTTTAACATGGAGGATCAGTGCCATGGGACTTCAAGTACTATAAACAATTCAGTGAGATAAAATGGTTATAGACCCCAGAGAAGTGATAGGCAACCTTTGGCACTCCAGATGTTTTGGACTACATCTCCCGTGATGCTTTGCAAGCAGTATGGCTGTAAGAGCATTATGGGAGATGTAGTCCATAACATTTGGAGTGCAAAAGGTTGTCTTTCCACACATTCTTCTCCCAATAAAGCATATGTCCCTTTAATATGATCTGACATTCTTACTCACCTTTATCTTGTTTCAAGGGATAAAGCAGCTGCTACAGAAGCTCCTCTCGCAACTAATGGGATGTAGCGCGGATCTTGATATTGATGATGAGGAACATGTGACCATATCTCAGAGGAAAATGAACTGTTCTATGGCCTCTCTTACTGGCTGGTATCAAAACATTACAAAGGTACATATACAGCCATCCTCAAATCAGTCATCTGTCTTGTAGGAGTGTGCATCAAATAAACCTACAAAATAACTACACTTTAATTAGTATTATTATGTTTGCATGTTTCAGTCTGTGTGTATCATTTTGCATTTATCATTCTGTCATTTTTTTGGGTGTCTGTGTGTATCACTGTTTGCAGGGCCGAATCAAGAATTTGTGGCTAAGGCTGCACAGGTCAAGACATATTTTGCTGCCCCTAAAGGGCATTTTTGCATGTGTTGGCCTATCTGTCTCCTAACCCAACCTTTCACCCCTCTTACCCATTCTTTTACCATTTTTGTGTCTGTTTCCCTCTTTTATAAATTACATCCGCTTTTGTCAGTACTATGTCTGCTTTTGCTTTTTTTCACTCGTTTCCCTCTGCTTGTGTTTCTTATCCCCTATTAAATGTTTCACCTCCCTTTGTGTATATTATTTCTCTTTTTTCCTTTTGTGTCTCTTGCCCCGACCCCAACTACAGTGTCTCTTACACTCTTGTGTCTCTTAACTCCCTCAGGGTTATTTACTAAAGTCTGAATTTCAAATTTCAGGCAAGAGTAGCTGAACTAAAAGCAGAAAATGGGCTTCTATGTCTCTTGCTAATCCCCCCCATACACACATTTGTGGCTATTATGCTCTCTGTAGTCTGTCTTCTCAGACAACATTGGAGGATCATCTGTATCCTAGACCCGATCTGACATGAAGCTGCTCACTAAAAAATTCCTCCATCCTTTCCAGTCACCACGAGCAACTCTATTTCACTCTGGTTAAATTTTAAAGGAGATCCTCTGCCACAGTCAGACTCTGTGCACCACCTGTCCTGGGGACATTGTTTCCTGCAGGCTGGTGTGCCCTTAGGCAGCTGCCTGTGCTGCCTTATGGTAGTGCCAGTCCTCAGTGTTTTACAGATGTGGAACACCAGATGGCAAACTCAGAACGACTGTCCGAACCTGGGACTGTATGATAAGTAAACAATTGATATTGATGACTTTATTATTATAATAAACCGGTTCCAGAGAAGTAAAACTGTTCATAATTCGGTATACACAGGTCAGTAATAGGTGCTTTTTATATATCTCCCACTGCAGAAGCCTAGCACACCAAAGAAAAAGCGCTCCTCATCCTCTGAGCATTGGCAGTCACCACCAGTCATTGTGATCTTCAAGGACCTGGAAAGTTTTCCAGCAAGTGTGCTGCAACAATTTATAGTCATCAGCAGGTACCAGTTTGCACTTGCTTTCTTTTAAGGAGTGATGATCAGTGCATGCCAATTTCTGCTTTTTATAGGATGTTTTTAAAGGATTTTTTTCCCTTTCCCCACATTCTTCTCCCTGAGTAAAGCATATGAACATTGTTTTTCCAGGTAGAAGAACATCTCTGTTTGCTTTAACAAATATAATGATAAAACACTATGATCACTTTGCCATGTTTTCGGGGACACCACTGAGTGGATTGCATTACCCTTGTCTTTGTTTCTTTAAACAAAATACAGTTCTGCAACAGTCACTGGGTTCTGATCTTTTCATATGTTTCAAATTTACAGTTACTGCCTTTAAAGGACATTTCTGCTTTTAAGGGGTCATTTCCAGAAAATTGACAGTTCAACTTTAAAAATCACCAAACATAATAAATGGGCTTTATGCAGAATTGTTCTTTTGTAATTGGGCTGTTGAATTGAACTAAAGGGATACTCCAAGTGCCAAAACAACTTCAGCTCAATGAAGCAGTTTTGGTGTATAAACTAAACTAAACAAAAGAGGAGATAACGTTGCGCCAAAACAGAATAGACAAAGTGTAGTTACAAATATATAAAAAATAAATAACAAGAAGTAGTCCAATAAAAGTCCCAATAAAACTTTGCCAAAAGATATAGCCTCAAATATGTCTGGAATAATTCTTCTAAAACCGTGTCAGACCAGGGTATTCATCCATATGTAAAAACAAAAGGAAAAACTAATAGTGCAATATATCCCAGAGATCGATAATACCAGTATAAAAAAAAGGTCTAATATAGTCCTACTCACATTTTTAAGAGCCTATAACCAGCTCTAGTATGGATAGCGTGCAATGGTACAATTCCCACTTAGGGAAACGTGATGATGTGTTGTTAGGTAGTTGTTTCATCGCTATGTAGACCATGAAAGAAATTTAAAAGAGACAGCAATAGTGCTCCCTGTGTAAAAAAAAAATAAAAAATGCCAGGGAAATGAAATAATAAATGGTTACTCACATTTTGTAGAGCAGACAAACTGCTCACTGTATAGGACATAAGTGGTATAATCCCCACCTTGGATTCTTTAGGAGTAGTCCTCACTGGAACATAAAATGGATGCCAGGTAGAAAATAAAAGAACAAATAAAAAAGTAAAATGGCACACTCACAAATGGAAGTAGCCAAAATACCTTTATTAAAACAATATAAAAATATCTACAATGTGTTTCACCAACAAATAAAAACCATAATACCCGTCAAACTTGTAAAAAATAAAATAAAAAATCTGACGCTAAATAAATTATTCCATTTTCACCCGGCGAGGGCACTGCGCAGACTGAGCTCCGCAGGGCGCGGAAAGGCTTATACAGCCTTCCCACGTCTTGCAGTTAGGCTCAGAGCACTGATGATGGATTAATTTTTTAGTGTTGGGTTTTTTATTTCATTTTTTACAAGTTTGACGGGTATTATGGTTTTTATTTGGCTTCTTTTGGGGATGAAAAATAAAGAATTTAGAAAAAAAGATATCAAATGGTAAGTTTAATTTTTTTTTACTGGCACTTAGTTCTTTTATTCCCCCCTCACTATTCTTAGGGTGAGGGGGGTAGGTAGGGGTTTAATAATTTATTTTTTTTGGGTGGGGGGGGTGACTAGGTGCTTGGGTAAACCAAACAAGTCACCTTGTTGGGGGGGGGGACATTTTCATTTAGAGCCCCCACCCGCTGCTCAGGGGTGGGAGCCGGGGGGAGGACAATAGGTCCCCCCACCTTATTGTTATTTATGGCCCCCACCCACTGCTCAGGGGTGGTGGCCAGGGGGAGGAAAATGGGACCTCCCCCATTCTCAGTTAGGACCCTGGTGCTCAGAGGTGGGGGGAGGACATTATGCCCTCCCCCCCCCCCCTTTGCTATTTAGGGCTCCCACCCAGGGGTGGGGGCCGGACGGGAGGACAAAAGTTCCCCCCCCCCATTGTTATTTAGGGTCCACACCTAACGCTCAGTAGTGAGGGCCGTGGGGGAGGACAATAGGTCCCCCCCTCATTGTTATTTATGCCCCCCTGCCGCTCAGGGGTGGGGGCCGGGGGGGTCTCTAGGTCTTCAGTTTAATAGCCCCCACTCGCACGGTACAGGTGGGGGCTCGGGAGGGGGGACACTATGGGGCTTTTTTTTTACTAGACATGCCCTTACTCGTGGCATAGCGAGTAGGGGCAGAATTTACTAATACTAAGTAACCTTTACTTAGTATTAGTAAATTTGGCTGAAAGACCAATTTAGGTCTTTCAGTTTTTTGGTAAATAACTTCCTAATTCCCATGGTATTAGGGAGCTATCTACTAAGCGGATGCAAGATGCAGCCGCGGCATGAATAGGATCGGAATTTGATTCATTCAAATGAAATTCCGATCCGAACAAAGTCCCGAATTGCGTCCCAACACGAATGGAGAAACTGTTCTCATCCTGTTAGGATGCAATTTGGTAGTTTTGCCGGCGTTCTGTCTAAATGACAGGACGTTCGGGAAAAGTGAAAGGAAGCATCGCGGGAACACGGAGGAAAGGTAAGATTGTGGGAAAATTTCTCTGACCACCAGAAATTAAGCACACTTTGCTCCTCTGCTGGTCAGAGATGGTCAGGCGTAGGAATCCTCCATAAGACAAATAGTCCCTACTTTGTCTTATGTTTTAAAGAAAATTAGAGCAGACAGGAAGAAATGAAGAACAGATCCTAACAGAGGGAGAGAAGAGGAATTGATTAAAGAAAGGTAAGTTCGTCATGACAGTGCCGCTTTAACTGCCTACAAGCTGTGAAAAAGACATCTGTGTTTATTTTTTTGATGACATTATATCATTAGTTAGCACATGTGTCCCTTTCATGCAGAAAAGGAAGAGATCATGTGTCCAGAAAAAAGGACTATAATCCTGTTGGTTAGCTACATCTCTAGTGGCGGCTGCTAGAGGATTATGGGAGTTGTATTTGGTTGACAGCCTACTAGACTATTACATGTGTATGTCTGATCTTTATATTTGAAACATTAAGTGAGCTACCTTAACACTGCCACACATGTTAAGAGAAACTATTACTTCTTTTTAAGCTTTGTATACATTTAATGCATATATTTTTGTCTTCCCAATTTCACCAGTCGGTATATTCACAACCTGCCGCTTGTTTTCCTATTTGGTATTGCCACTTCTCCAGTGGTCATTCATCGTCTTCTTCCACACTCTGTCTCATCACTTCTCTGCATAGAACTTTTCCAGTCACTGTCCTGTACCGAGCATCTGTCTACTGTTGTGAATAAGGTAAAAACAATAAATAAAATAATAATGTTTCAAAAATCACAAGGTATAAAGGCCAATGTTTGGGTTCTACCTATTATCTACATTGTCATTAGTTTGTATCATGTTACTCTCCTTTATTTCTCTTATACAAAGATTTGCTATTGGGAAGGAGTATTCTGGTTTATATGATATTTGCTTGTGATATAGAGATAGAAAGTATTTGATATACAGTTCCAATAATAATAATGCAGCTGAATTAAAATTATTTGTATTTTTAAAAGATACATTTTTACCTAGATGATTCATTTTTATGTAAAGCTTCTCAGAAACTGCTATGTTTACATCAGGCAGGGTTAACCTTAGAGGGACCTGACACCCAGACCACTTCATTGAGCTGAAGTGGTCTGGGTGACTATAGTGTCCTTTTAATTTATTTCTGTATGCTAGCTTGTCTAAAGTCCAGTTAAACTTCCACAGCTATTTAAACAGGTAGTCATGTTATGTGCCCGTTGTTTTACAAACCATCATTTCGTGTCTTGCAAAGCCACAAGTTACTGTATTGCTGCTTTACAAGGTGCTAAGCCTGTTATGTATAAAATAATCAGCTATTCTGCTAAAGACTATCATTACGTAAGTGTTGTGGAGGGCTCAGGAGGCAAAAGTACAGCTAAACACCATGTAGATTTCTACTGGTGAACTGAGTATTGATGTGTTTTTCATGGTTAATTACATTTCCTAAATCGAATCATGAAATTGAACATTTTTTTTTTATTATGTTTTCCTTAATGATTTAACCCCTTAAGGACACATGACATGTCATGATTCCCTTTTATTCCAGAAGTTTGGTCCTTAAGGGGTTAAAGGACCACTAGAGGCACCCAGACCACTTCAGCTTAATGAAGTGGTCTGGATGCCAGGTCCATCTAGGGTTAACCCTGCCTGCTGTAAACATAGCAGTTTCAGAGAGTATGTTTTCCTGACACGATAGTCGTCCTTTAAAAGAAAATAGAGTGGGCCATCTGCATATATCTTTATTAAATACCATAAATCTGTGCAACTGTGCATTTTGCTGTGTATTCTTTTTTTTTCTTTTTTAGGTATGTTGATATGTCAGTGTGATAAAACATTTTAAATAGCTTAAATAGGATTGACAACTAATCAGGCTGACCACTAGATGCACGTAGTTTTCATGGTTCCTTAAGTGCAAACATGATTGGTAGAATTTAAACGATTTGTAGCTTGCTTTATAGGTTTTCCTTATCTTCTCTTAACAAAATACATTAAATAGGCAAAAGTATGAAAAAACTCAGATTTGTTTATTTTACCCACTCCCATAGCTGGCTGGTCTATTAACAAGCAATCTCAGCATTAAAACTTGTCATTCGAATAGCCTGAAGTTCTCATTCTTTAAACAATCATAAGATGCCACCACTCAAAAAGTTCAGTTCATCAGACTTTTGCCCTGTAAGGACTTCTTTCGTTAACAGTAATTGTTTTAGGTGAAAATGGCTTGGAGAAACGGCAATTGAGCCACAAAATAGTAGGAAGAAAAATGCAACAGGAGGAAATTGACTTGTTCTGAATGTACATTACATAATAAACATCTATCCCTGGTTCTACACTCACTGCTGAGTTCCAAATTGTCTCTGGAAGCAACATCAGCACATGGATTGTTGATCAGAATCTCCATGAAATTAGTTTCTGTAGCTCCGCAGCATATGTCTACAAAGATATTGTAAAGTTCACTGCCATTGAACTCTAGATCAGTGGAAAAATATTCGCTGGTGTGATATATTAAAGTATACATATCACTTTCAGGTCTTTGCATATTTTGCAAAGACCCCTGAAAATGACATCTCCGCTTAGTGTGATGTTCGATACAGTTGAAGTTAGATATATTCGCCTAAAGTTTCTCCCCACTGCTGCTGCCTTGTTATGCCCATGGATCTTCAACTTCTGGTATTTCCTCTATTAGGAGCCATGTCGCTGCTCCAATCCTACATATGCTTGAGAGTTCAACAGTGAGGCAAGACCACAGAAACCTCAATGAAGCTTGATGTAAATCTCAGACTTGCCAGTAAGACAAACTATTCCCTACTTTGTCTTATATCTCTGGATTGCATTCAATGAAATTCCAGTGAAGTTAATATTTCGTGAAGATTATATCTTTATGAAGTACTCAGAAGTGACAGAGCCACTTTAAGCATCACCACATGGTCATTTGATAGATGACAGAAGAATGATACCTGCCGGACTGAATAATGTCAATAATGAAGATTGATTTTAAGAGGAATAATGGTCTAGGGCTGGCCCAAATGGTCGGGAGAGGTTACTTCTTTCCAGTGAAGGGTCCATTTGGAAATGTTGTATAGTCATTGGTGTTGAAGAATGAGGGTGACATCAATCACATCAAGCATTTTTTGAAAGGATGAACTGAAATAATTATTACCAGCTAGGGTTAATCAACCAAAACCATTGCACCACACTACTAGTACCCTTGTGGCTCTGTGGGAGCATATTCTCAAATAAATGTTTCAACATGTTATCAGTGGAAAGCATTCACAGGATAGTGTGGCGTGAGGAACCAAGCAATCAAGTCATATTTCTTCTCTAGATCCATGGAATGTGGTATGTAATGAGTAAATGTCCACATTATTGAAGTTATATAATCTACACTGAAAATCTTCATTTATGGGGAAAAAAAAAGTGTGAATCTTTATAGCATGTTGGGTAAATGTACTAAAGTACAATAAGCTACTGAAGTCATGGTCTAGGGAAAATGAAAAGATCTTGTTCCTGGGATATTCTGTGTACTTAATTTAACATTGGGCTACATAAGATAACAGAAACTGGAGAGTTTTGTCACTGATATTTTTTTGACATACAGTCATTGAGCTTGTTCAGTTCAGGCCTCAAGATGGCAAACCAGTATACACACACATGTTAATTGTAAAATCTTTTGGAATTTATTGGACATTATTGTGTCTTCTCCATACTAACTGTAAGTTGTACATTTTGATGGTTATAGCAATAATTTTAAAATACAATTTGTTTCTCCAGCTTCTCCTTTCAAACTATTTCCCCTTCAAACTCAGTGGCAAAGTCTTGCAGGTTCTCATCACAATCTTTTTATATCACGATTTCTCTGTTCAGAATTTCATAAAAGGGCTCCAGGTAAGTGTATTCATTATGATATTGTAAATAAGATAAAGCCTAAATTTACAGGGAGCTTGAGCTTCAGTCTAGCATAGTTTTGTTTCTAGAACAATTTCTTCTTAATCCAGTGGGTGTAAAATGCACCCTTTATGAATATGTTTAAACATGATGTCAGTTGCTTAGTGTGTGTGTGTGTGTGTGTGTGTGTGTATATATTTATACAGGCCACAAAAACCTCAATGAAGCTTGATGTAAATCTCACACACACACAACACAATTCTAAACGCAACACTTTTGTTTTTGCCCCCATTTTTTTCTTCAAATATCTAAGACTTTTTCTATGTACACAAAAGGCCTTTTTCTCTCAAATATTGTTCACAAATCTGTCTAATTCTGTGTTAGTGAGCACTTCTCCTTTGCCGAGATAATCCATACACCTCACACGTGTGGCACATCAAGATGCTGATTAGACAGCATGATTATTGCACTGGTGTGCCTTAGGCTGGCCCCAATAAAAGGCCAATCTAAAATCTAGAGTACTAAAGTACTAGAATAACATAAATGCTGCTCTTCTCTGTCACTGTTTAAAACCTTGCTGTTTGTGAGAAACAGTGCTGCTTATATTTTGAATTTTTCATGCCTCTAGTGGCTTTGATTCAGGCAGCTACTAGGACAGGGTTAGGCAACCTTCGACACTCCAGATGATTTTCACAAGATTATTAAATGAATCTATTTGTTGTCTGGTAGGAGCCTGCAAAGTATGCTGACACCAGATACTGTATATGCATCCAGTGCTTCTTTATGAGAACCCTTGGATTCAATGCTTCTCATAGAGATGCATGTGACTGTGTCCTCCATGGGCGGGATGGAGAACTTACATCAACTGGTAAAGGAACACATGGCACTAAATTAAACATATATAAAAAAAAATGTAACTACTTCTTTATGTCTGTAATATATTTTAATTATACATAATTTTTGTTTATCATTTATTTTAGGACTGCTAAATATTGGGCTAGCATTTATAAACAGGCAATTTCTCTATGAAAAATAAAATGGCGTATTATTGAAATAGTTAATTCTCTCCTTCTGATTTTGCAGCTGTCAGTGATAGAACACTTTTACTCCCAGCCGCTCAGTGTGCTATGCTGCAGTCTTTTTGAAGCTATTAAATATGTGAACAACTTATCACATGCACAATGCGAAAACGTTCGGCATTTGCCTTCTTTTATGAGGTAATGGGGTTTTTCATTGCCATTTTCTGATTCACTTATTTGAAAAACCTCACCCTATTGGGAACAGAATTGAGACAATTGTGCCGTAAATTGGAAGAGCTCAATATTGGGAAATAAGATAGGTGAGGAATGGGTGAAACCAGTAACCACTGAAAGCAATCACTCAAAGATGCTTAGAGAAATGAAGTAAAGCAAACTTGTTCACACTGTTTTGTTGTGTGTGTCTATATATAATTATCATTGTTAACCACAGAATAAAGTGTTCTGCCAATATACGTTTTACAGATATTTTATTTTGGGATTTTTTGAAAAATAAAAAGTGCTATGGAAGCCTTGATGTCTAATTAACATCATATTGATCTGATAAGTAATCCTAATTTTTGTGGTTTACACTGCATACTTTCCCCCCCAGTTTATTAAATTTGCCTTCCAGGATGACATTGGCATTTGTGGTTTCAGCTGCTTCAAGAATTAATTTGAAAGGTACTCCAGAAGTTGAGGTGGAGGGGTTTGGTAAACTGAAAGCAAATTAAAGGCCATTTAGTACCAATGACTAGTTCCCCGTGACCTAGTCATTAACAGTTGTCTTTATACCTTTATGCCAGGGTTGCCCAAATGGTAGATCCCCAGATGTTAAAACTACAGCTTCCATGATGCTTTGTCATTCTAAAGACATGCAAATCATGGGAGTTGTACTTCTACGACATATGGAGATCTACCTTTTAGGCACTCCTGCTCTAGGCCAAATGCAAAGAGATACACCCAAAAAGGTATAGCACTTAAAAAAACTTTTTTTTTTTTTTTTTTTTTTAGCAAATAAGAAGGTGAATATTAATTTAAAAAATTCATAAAATGCAGTGTAGACCTTGTGTTGTAATGTCAAAGATTGATTGTAGATTGGAAGAAAAGATTCCACTTTTGCTGGGTAAATGTGAGGTATGCAAATTTATTAAAATATATATTTAATACTGTTAAAGGTGCTTCAAACCTTAATTTTTGTTATAATTTTGCAATGCTGCAGACAATGTTATAAAGTAAATTAAAGTTTGATTGGTCTTCTTGTTTACTTTCAGTTATGTTGAAACCCAAACACCAGATGTGCAAGTAAAACTTTTGACTAGTGACAGCTATTTAAAGGTACATTCTCGGTTTCAAAGATTTGCTTTTGGATAATGTAAATATCGCTAGTCTCCACAATCTTTTTATTTATTTATTGTTCAATGTACAATTGTACACTTGTGCTACCTGTTCCATGCACCAGGCACTCCAGCTTCAGTTTTTCCCAACTTGCATCATTATGGACTCACTTCTGTGGCCTTGTATCTTCGCCCATGTCCATGCTTTGACTCACTATATCTTTTAACTGGGTTGGAATTTCAATCAAATTACAACACAGCCAATGTTAGTATTTCATAAAGATTCTGTCTTTATGAAATACTCATTTTGGAAATGGGGTGAGAGAGCTGCTTTGAGCCTGGCCACTCTAAGATCCAGTAATATGCCTTACTATCTTTTCTGTCTGTGCCTTTTGTTAGGTGTTGACTTTTATCTTGCAGAGGAAACTAAACGTTCCTAATTAAACATGAATGTTAATGCCTTGAAACGTATAGTTTAGTCACTGAAACTGTTTGTTTACATCATGTGCCTCTCTGTGTAATATACTTCATGTGTTTGGGCCAGAAATAATTTACCTGCAGCCAAATATCTGCTTCCTTCTTTACTGCTTTGTCTTTTACTGAAAAAAATTAAATAAATCTACTTTAAAGGTTTACCAATAAGTACTAAAAGGGGTAAAATTGTATTTATTTTTTATCTCATCTCATCTTTTTGGATACCATAATTACATCTGTTATTTACTAATTACATCCCAAATCTAGGAGTATCTTATTTTCAAATGTCAGTATTGCAAATTATGGGCATAATATATTTGTGATTTTACTTCTTTTTGGAAGTACAAGGTATAATTAAACCCCTTGTGTAACCTAATTGCCGCAACTCCAACAAAAACAGGGGATAACTTATGGAAAATGATGAGCCAATGGTCATAGTTACTCATTGTGTTCCCATTAAGAGAAGGAAGTCGATGCCGGTCCTATGGTTCCGTGTAGACAAATAGGCCATAAAATCTCCGGATACCGCACAAACAACTGTTCCATCCAATATCACAAGAAGTGACCATAAAAGCACAGGTTTATTGCTCAAACATAGTATATAAAGCAACATATAGCAGGCAAAATCACCTCCCAGACCCCACATTGTACTAGGGTATATTCAATAACTTAAAAATAGAATAAAATGGGTGGGGGGGGGAGCCACCAGTGTCTGTATTTGTGAGGGAGGAGGGACCAGAGAAAATGCTTATAAGCTGCATGGAAAGACCCGCTAATGTAATGATGCTTTATCAAAATAATAAATATATTTTTTTTTTTAAATCAGGCTCAAACAGGCAAGTTTATTGAAAATTTACATTCCTATCATGAGACTTTCACCCCAGTACTGAGATGTCTTCATAATTTCACAAGTATACTTCCCAAGTATCCTATGGGAAAACAGGTACAATTGAATGTGTAATTATATACATTTTGTTTTTTAATATTTGTTTGTAAAATAATGTGTTTATTTGGGTATTCAGCTAAAAAATATGCTACTGAGGCAGTGATGGCTACAGATTGCTGTAGGCTGGTAGCCCAACATTATCAGTGTATAGTTGCTTATTGGTGCAAAAAAATGAACAGGCTACTGCAAAAGTGAACTCACATTCACAGATCCACAGTATCTGTGAATGAGAGGGTTTCTTGGGGACTGTGGAAATGTTCATCAAACCACTCAAAATATTTTCCCTTTATTTAGTCCCAAAAAAATGAAATGTTAAAATTAAATTAACAGACTAATAGTTGTAGTTTATTTTTCTGGTATTTGGCAGTATCATTGTTGTTCACTAAACCAGGAAGGGAATTTCAGATTTTACATTAAAATAGCTGAACAAGCTTAGTTATTTTGACTATCAATCTTTAAAGGGACACTATAGCCACCAAAACAACTACAGCTTAATGTAGTTGTTCTGGTGAGTGTGATCATTATATGCAGGCTTTTTTATGCAAACACTGTGTTTTCAGAGAAAAGGCAGTGTTTACATTGCCCCTAGGGACACCTCCAAGTGGCCACTCCTCAGATGGCCACTGGAGGGGCTTCCTGGCAAAGTAGGCAACAGTGCCGTTCAGCGTCTCCACGCTCTGCATGGGGTCGCTGAATTTTCCTCATAGAGATGCTTTGAATTAATGCATCTCTATGAGGAGGTGCTATTTGGCCAAAACGGTGGTTGGCCCCACCTCTGTGCCGATTTCAGCCAATCCAATGCTTTACCCATTGGCACGTCTGATGATGTCACCAATGGGGCGGAGCTAGCGCCGGCGGTCACGCGCAGTGCTGGAATTAAGGTGAATTTTATTAACTTTAAAGGGGACTGGGGGAGGGGGGGGACTCCACAGTCTATTTCTTTGTGTGTCTGTTTATACCTGTTCTAAACATGTTGTATTTTGTCACTAGATAAGAGAACTTTATTGTGCTTGTCTAGAAAGGAACATTTGGGAAAGTGACGACTATGAGGCATCGTTGGCCCTGCTTCGGTGAGTTTATTTCTAGCACATTGGAAGTGTCAACTGTGATTCTGTCAAAATTTTAAATAGGTTTGAGCTGTTTCTCAGAGTCCACAGCCCGGGAAAAATCAGATCAACACCAATGGAAGGGTTTACGGTTGAACATGATGATCTTACTCTGTTGTTCTGTTTAATCCTTCTTTACTAAATTTTGGTATAGCTTTTATTGCTATTATGTTAGAACTCTTTGTCATGGCACGCACAAATGTGTTATTTGCATGTTAGGAGAGCGAGAGAAAAAATAGTTTACAATAACTACATTTAACCTAACATTGCACCTAATGTGTAACAGTTGTTTTGTTATCTGTCTTGCAGTGTCCCTTTAAAGGAGAATTTACACATCCCATAAGTTTATATATTAAGCTTAGTTATACCCTATATTTAATCAATGGGAGTGAGATGAATTAAAGTCCTCTGTTTTAAATAGTGTTGCAAAATGTTCAAGAGTGTGAGTCACCAATGTGTGTGTAGTATCCCTATGTGTAATAAATTGCATTAAAAAGGTAAAAAAACTTTAAAAAAGGTACAAATCCTATAAAAGCACAAATCACCCCCAATATTTCAGTTTCTCCTTCTCCAGCATAAATGTGTGTGCACTGACTATGTTCTCATGGAACTAGTTGTGATAACAGTTGCAAAATCTTTTATATGCGTTTAAAAGAGAACAGAGCATCGTATGAAAAAAATAATTGCCAGAATTTATGGTGGTTTTCAATATTTTATGCACCAATGTAATTTCCAGAGAACTGACCCCTTTTTAAATATAAATTTACAGTTGAAAATGTATTGTCAAAATGCACAGACTTTCAGCTGTTTGAAATGAACAAATCAAACAAAAGCAATAAAAATAGCTCAACAACAAAGGCTTCAAGTGATTTCCCCAAATTCAACTGAAAATGCAACTTACAATATCATCTCCAGTCTCAAAACTATTCAATACTCTGAATATAATCTCACAACAGCACAAATATGCAACACAGGTGTTTTCAAGTGCACCTTATGCAACTAATCAAGTGCTGCATGTTTACATGTTAGAAATATGGCTGAGTCAAAAGAATTGTCCACAAAGTTAAGAGAAGAGATCCTCTTCACAAACAAGGAACAGGATACAATAAGATAACGATCATGAATTTTCCTAGAGACACCATTGGACACATAGTTTACAAGTTCAAAGTTGAAGAAACAGTGGATAAACAACCTGAAGGGGGCAGAAAAAAAAGGAAGCTATCTATGGCTGCAAAAATATTTCTGAGAATGTAGGTTGTGAAAAACCCTTGAGTGACTGCAAAAGACCTGCAGCAAGACTTGGTGGCAACAAGTTTTGCTGCAGGTCAGCGAGCACAGTAACGTACTAAACACGGAAGGTTTCCATGCCAGAACTACAAGACATACACCACTACTGACCTAAAAGCACTAGAAAAGGCGGCCCCAATATCCTCAAAATCATATAAATAAAGGGGCAGGGCCGGCCGCCGAACAGTCGCACAATGGAGTAGCTCTCCAGTTTTGGCACTTAAAAGCTAATTTTATACTCACCCGACGACTGGCAGCTGTGACCCAGTGCGAGAAGCCACCCTGGTCCCGAGGAGAGGCTTGCTGCGAAGTTTTAGTCCCTCGGAGGGGCGATCCCCGTAATCCACAATGGGGACCGCTCGGGCGGTGAGTGGGGTGGACAGCCACTGCCCAGCTATCCTGCCCACCAGTGGCAAGGCAGAAGCACGAGGCTAGGCGGACCTGGCCCTGTTCCCCCCCACCCCCCTTGTGGGCCGGCGGGGGTGATCCCGGCCCCCACCTTGTGGCCCATCGGAGTGCAACAACACCGGCACCCGGAGCAACAACAGGGCGGACATGGAGCACAGAGGCGCTTCCAAAATGGCGGACACCGCATGCCATGCCACCCATGATCGAGGACTGACTGGTGCACCCACCTCTCCTGACTCCACACGGGCGGATTGCCAATGCGGGATAAGCGGGAACAAGCGAGCACAAGCTATAACCCCACAAGCCAAGCTATAGAGGAACAGCACTAAACCGAGCAAGCCAAAGCCACACATTACAGAGTAGGATACCGCCACAGCGCCCTGGCCTTACCTGCCATACCGCCCAGATCACCACATGGGGGCAGAAAAAGAAAGATTGACGACATACAGCCGACACACTGCAACCAACGAACGGCACGACTACAGGGACTTCTCTCCTGCCAAAGACAGGAATCCGACTGAAACGCAGGACAACCACAAAAGGACTACCATCATTATACAATGCCACCCAACAGGACAAGAAATAACATCTCCAGACCTTTTGTCCCTCTTGAAAAATTACAAATCTTCCATGTCTACAGAAGGGTATCAAAATATGCAACCACGGATCACCGCCTTGCTGGCATGGAGTCCAGTTGGGATGGAAAAGCTACAGGGCAATCTTAAATGCTGACGCTTCCTTTGTTTTACTGTGTTTGTCTTCCAACCACTGAATCTCTAGTTAAAGCCTAGCACAACATGCAACTACATATTTTATGCCTAGTCAGACAAGAAGTAAGCTTAGCCACCTCACTAATCAGTCTAACATGTACTTATTATACAGTCTTGCTCATATAATGATTATACTAGTCATGTTTTCCCTCTTTGTCACTCCTCTGAATACTCCTCCCTAACATGACCATAAGCTATACAAGCATGAAGATTCTGTTGTTATACTGTAATTTCTACAAATAAAGGGGGGTGTATCTGACGTAATGTACGCGGCTAGATAATCTTTTCTGATGCCAGTTGCAATGTCTCTGTTAATCTGCTAAAACTTCAAAGCACAAGATAAATAAAGAATTATAAAAAAAAACAAAAAAAACTCATAAATAAGCCACAGACATTTGGGGATTCTGTGCTGTGGATCAATGAAACAAAACTGGAACTTTCATGCCCAATGGATCAGTGGTATGTCTCGACGAAAATAATGAAGCATATGCTGAAAAGAACACTGCCTACAGTTAAGCATGGTGGTGGCTCTGTGATGCTCTGGGGCTGCTTTGCATCCTCTGGCACTGGAAACCTGCAGCGTGTGGACGGCAAGATGGATTAATTGAAGTATCAGGAAATCCTAGGAAAAAACGTCATGCTTTCTGTGAGGAAGCTTGGACGTCATTGGACCTTCCAACAAGACAATGCCAAGCATATCTCAAATTCCATTAAGGCTTGGTTGCTGAAGAAGTCCTGGAAAGTTCATAGAAAATCTCTAGTATTTGAAGAAGGCAATTGTAGAATGCAAACCCCACATGTACACACACACAAAAACTTGTACCCCACCCCCAATCATTGCTCCCTGTCTTGTCAACGCCTAGATGCCAAACTCCAGCGTCTGGTATGATAACCTTGATGGAGCACACTCCTAGATCTTTTTAGTGCATAGAAAGTATTTTTCAAAACTTGAAATGTTGTACAAATTGTGTTATTTTCAATGCACAAAGACCTTCCCAGTTGTTCACATTTTTCTCATTACCTGAGTAAAATCATCTAAATTGTTCATCTCCTAGTGTTCAACATCCTCTGCTAGTGTACCATATGTTATTTTATTATTGAAACCAGATCTATTCACAGACACTTATTTTCATGTAGACCGCAAACATATTATCACTATATTATATATCAGTATCCTTACCATATTAATATAATTAAAATAGTATTCGACAAGCGCAAAGGACGATTTCTTACGTAGGCCGTAGTTAATGTTTGCAATACCACTTTGTTCCATGTGACTAGAAGAGACATAATGGCTCTGAGACATGAAGGTCATATTTAAACAGACTAATAAATGTGCCATTTAAACCTTTGAGGCACTAATAGCATTTTTGAGTTTTTTTCTTCTTCAATGTTCTACCTTATCAAAACACCCAGACGTCTGTGTGATGAATGTTGTCTAAAATGAGTGAACGAATGGGGGTTGTGTCCCCTTATACAAGTAATTAATATTCCTTCACTTAAAATTGTATTTTTAATTATTTCTTCAGTCTGAAAAATTTGCCCTAATGCTGGTAAAGCATTATGGGTCTTGTAATTCTGCAATAGCTTATGGTCTGGCATTTGGCCATCTCTGGATTTATCCTATTTTTACCTATCCAGACTCTTCAAAATAAGTTGGCAGGTTTTGGATTATGCACCATATCAATCCTTAAAGCAATACTGTCAAAGCACAGCATGGATAATAAATTACCCATCACTGTGCCAAATGCATGGAATCTCAGAGTGTGCATGCGCGTGCTGAGCATGCATGATCGCTCCCATAGGATAATTGTATTTTATATTTGACTCTGTTGCCTATTTCATCCCTGTCAATGTTTCAAAAGGAGTGTTTACTGAGGAAGAGACTCCGCAGCTGTCACAAACAGAGAAGTCACCGTTTCACTTTAAAGCACATGAACATTTTATTTATAAAAAATATATATAATTTGTGTCCTCGGTTTTATTTTTTTGTTTTTGTTTTTGTTTTTGCAGGATGTTAGCTAAAGATGAACTTGTAACCACAACTGAGAAATGTTTGAATGTTTTAAAAGAATTTCCTGGAAAACAGCTTTGTGGTGAATTAAAAAAACTGGAAACATTCCTGGATTTATTCCAGAATCTTGAAGGTAAATGTATAGTTTAAAGCCGACTCTAATTTTACAAAATACAAGTTGGCATGTGGCATTTTGTTGCAGTTAATGTTTCCTTTAACCAGTTTCACTGTCAAATATGATGCATGTTCAATAATAATTGCTGCTGTCAATTAATGTATTTTTTGTTATAGATCAAACAGTTAGGAGGTACTACGGAAACAATGTCCATTCCTATAATTAATGGAGAGGTTAAGCACCAGAAGTACTGTTTGCCTCAAAGCTGTTATAACTTAATATTAGCAACCGGTTTACACGGTCCACTTCTGTTCTTAACATAATTATGTATCTCATGTTCGTTTACAAGAATACTGGCAATATGATTAGCTTTTATTGGTTATTACCTTGACTTACGTCAAGAAAATTGCAATTATTCATTATTAATTCATTATTATAGAAACTTCACCAGAACACAATAAAAGGTTTACTCTGTGCTTGTACATTGCAAAATTTCACTTTAGTTTTAAATAACATTATATTGCTATGCAATGTTTTCACAGGTATTCACTGAAAATAAATACATTATAAATAGACTTTAAAGGCCCACTGCAGCGTTAGTAATTCAAATCTGTATTGTGTCCCTCTCCCTAGCTCTACATAGGTGTCGCCCCCGCCCCCCATTTGTCGGCACAAATTAACCACAACTATGGAAACAAGCCCAATGTCTGTCCTAAGAATTTTTACCTGGATCAGTGTCCTAGTTTGAGGTGCTCCATCTTGTGTTCCTCTAGTATTAAAAGAACTCTAATTAAATACTGTGAACAGTCATTCCTATTGTGCGGTAATAAGCCCTGATATGTTCCGCAGCTCTGCACAATGGATTGATGATGAGATGTAGAATTTTTTTTTTTTTTTTTAAATTTTCACATCATTTTAGAGGAGCCAGTATTGGTAGGCCCTTCTCAAACATAAAACAATGCCACATTGAGCTGTGCTCTGAAAATATTTGTAGTGCGTTTCTTTATAACCAATCGATTCCAAGGATTGGTGAAGGTTCATTACGTTTCCCAGTATCCTGTTGACATTTATTCAGGAGTGGTGAGGAATGTTTCTGATACGTGGCTCTGCACCTTTTTGAGCAACTCTAGTTAATAATTTGTTGGCTGCAACCATTATATTCGTATTATGGATTGCGGAGATGAAAATAATAGGGATAACCATTTGTGAGCTGAATGTGGCTAAACAAAAGGGATTATATGATTTCACATGTGCTCAAGCTGTTTTTGTACAAATGGTACATGGTTTATTTTTCTATTTAGCCATAAATATTAAATATCGCTGTATGCATTATATTTTGTATTTTAGATGTCATGGACCATAAGAATCTGCAATCAGCCTACTATTTCCTTCTATAAATATGCCCCTATAATTTTATTTTTTCTGATAGGTGATGGGGACAAAAAATTTATGTACTGACACATTTTTTTCTTACAATTTTGGGAGATACATATATGGTTGTATCTAAAGAGCGACCAATGGAATTCAAGTAACTAAATTTGTTACTTACCGTATTATTATTTAAAACATTTTTAAAGCAAACCATGTTTCTCAGATGATCTAATTATTTATTCCAGATATCCCTTGAGATCTCACTGGTGGAAAGGATCAAAACATACTGATTTCTTTGAACCTCTGCCAAATGTATGGTCTTTGAACTCCTTAGTTTTGGCTTTAGGGTCCAGCTGATACAATGCATTTATTTTAAACTACTCTGATTCCTGTTTATTGTAAACAGAGGGTTAAAGAGAGACACAGTAAATCCTTCAAAACCCAACAGTCACAGCTGTGTCAACAGTATTAATTCAGAAGTTGCCATTGAACACATTTAAAATAACTTTGTGCTGCAGCATCTGGTTTAACTCTTGGCCCACCCATCATTAAAGAGGAACCAGTGTTATTCTGGTGGATGAGAGATTAATGTGAACATCATGCTGTAGATAGCCGTGTTGCTTTTCTACATCTATACAATCGCATATCTGTCTCTGAATAAGAATGCAGAAAATTCAGGTAGCTAAAACATTTAAAGCGAAAACAGTTTTATAAAATTAAGTTTGTTTATGAATTATTATTCATGTACTCCAAAGTTATTTTGCCTGAATCCTTTTCTAAATATTTTAAAATTCCTGTTATATGGAGCTTTATTTAGCCCATTTTAAAACATTCATTGACCTAACTGCTATCTTAGCAAATGCCAATTTGAGTCTTTACTGGAGTGTTTTCAGTCCATCTAGCACAAACTTTCAAATTATTATTATTATTATTTTTTTTATAGCAAATTCATAAAGTGCAATAATGCTTATAGGTATTCTGTTAGTGTCAATGTGTTTTATATCTGTGATGGTGCTAGGTTAATGCTTCATTTCTTTGTTGCCTGGGTTTATTCTAGCACAGACCTGTTGTTCACAGAGCTCCAGCGGTTTTTGTGTTATCTTATTTAATGTCAGAACCTCTGACATAATTCACAATAGAAACTAACTGCAAACTTCACATTAGCACAGCAGTAATAGGGTTCTTGCAATTATGTTTTCCAGGGGAACAAATAGACATCATTGAGGAGGAAGTAATTTCACCCCAGAAAACCCTCCAGAAAAAAACAGACCTTTACCAGCTTCAGAAGGTTAGTCTCTGAGTCCATTACTTATAATACCTTCATTATAGCAATCTTATTTACATTTAAGCAAATATAGTTTAGTGAAAAGTGTTTATAATTATGTGATTCAAAGTACACAGAACATGCCAAACACTTTGACGTGTGTGTGTGTGTGTGTGTGTGTGTGTATATATATATATATATATATATATATATATATATATATATATGTGTATGTGTATATATGTGTATGTATGAGTGTGAACCGGGACCTGCTTGACTGCTGCAGCAGGCTCATGAGAGACGCTACATGGAACCTATGCGAGAACTATGGATAAATAAAAGACCATCCTCTACACTAATACCAAAATCGCTATTTACACAACATTTGATCATAGTCTAGACCAGACTAACATCACAACTGGAATGAGATGTACTACACAAAAGAACATACATGAACCATGAGGGGACTCCCATACCCACACCAATACGTACACAGGGTGATATGAGGGATGATCTTAGAAAAGCTATTAGTTCTTGGCCACCAGATAAGACTACCAAAAATCACTGGTAGGCTAGCAGGGGTTAATGAGGCACTAAAAGCAATACATAAGTTAGTAAGCTAATTAAATTCACAGAGGTGGAGAGATCAAGGATAGATCTTGGCAACTAAGGATATACAAGGGAGGCTCTGGGAATAGCCAAGCAAAAGCTCACAGCACTGGTAATTAGACTGAGCAGATACACCAGAGAAGTAGAGGCTAAGAGAATAAATTCCCTGTTTACTAAATAACCATCCAAGGTGTATGTAGAGTGCAGTGAACAACATATCCACCCAAAGCTGAGACTGGACAGTTCTGGAACATCTGAGATGCAATGCTTACCTCTATACAAGGTCAACAAGATACTAAGACATAACGTAAATGAGGTTCAGGCACTCCAAGGTTCAGAAACGGCAGTTCATTGAAGCCCAATATCACACAACGTTTCAACCTACATGCTAGACACAGACTTTCTAGGTCGAAACGTTGTGTGATATTGAGCGTCAATAAATTGCCGTTTCTGAACATTGGAGTGCCTGAACCTCTTTTACTTCATGCATATTGTATTTGGGACCTGGTGCTGAGTCCTGGTTTGGCTGCACCCTGGCCCAGAGATGGAATTGAGTTGGAATTGGATGAAACACAGAGCATCCACAAGGACATCCATCCCAAAGATAAATTGCTAAGGGAATGCCTGAGTTAACAGATTTAGGATGCAGATATGGAGGAGATTCCATGGCAAGACAGACCACATCAGCAGATAGTGGTTGTGGCTCACAATATGAAATCATTCCAGTAGTTGGAAATACTAAAACTGAAATAATTCAGCACTAGATTAATAGAAACTGGCGTCTACCACACCAGACAGGACCCAAGGTGTAGAGGACTCAGACAATCCTGCACATGTTAGCTGGGTGAAAGATAAACATCATACACTGCGAGGCATAACCAAGTTGACAGGATTGTATACCAAGATATCTGCACAAAATATTGGCTGGCCCTGCCTATGTCCAGATTGTGTGTGCCAGAGAGGAATGACAGGGCAAGGATCATGTGGGACATCCAGATCCAGAAAGACAAGCAGGCACTGGGCAAACAACCAACCAACCAGGTGGTCATAGTGGTAGACAAGGAACAGAAGACTGAGATGGTTGTGGAAGTGGCAATACCCAGTGACCTTAACACCATGAAGAAGGAACATGAGAAGGTGGACAAATACCAAGGACTGAAAGAGGAGATAGAAAGTAAAGACCGTAATAGTCCCAGGTGTAATAGGTGCACTTGGGGCTGCTTTGTTCTACCAACATTCTGGTGAGAAGAGCATTATTTAAAGAAGCAACCAAGCAGCCACTGATAACAAACTGGAAAGATCTACAGCTGAGATGGGGAAACTGTCCACAGAACAATGGGAAGCTGGATGTAAAGCTCGGAAGCATAGCAAGTCAGTCATATAAAGTGTGACGAACTGAACCTCGTCACGGGTTCTTGGAGGGGCCTGCTTGCCAACCTCCTGCCTCAGGACTATGGCCCTGTTAGACCTGGCTAAAAATACTTTAAAAAGTCTCTGTTTGTGCAATTGGGATTATATGGTTTGGTTCCCGAACAACCACACGAACCAGAGACCACCCAGGAGCTTGTTAAGCCTAACTGACAGTTTGTAACACTTTCCACTGCAGTGTTCTAAGTGTTCGTCTGGGTGGCGGCTGTTCGCATGAATGACCACGAGGTGGCGGCCATCTTGTTCCCAAGAACGCAGACAGCGGTGTTTGGTCATCGAGTTCATGGAACTGTTTTCGGATAATGAAACTCCCGAACACCACTGGACTTCCAGGATCACCTGCGTTCGGTTCTACACAACTTAGAAGGGAACTGTTTGGTGGAAACGTTCCCACGAACAAGGTGAACAAGCTCCAGGGTAAGAACATTGATTATTTTCGGTAGTTTGTTCGGTTTTTAAACTACCGAACTAGACCGACCGCAAGCCCTGATTCTCTGGAACTGTTTTGGGCATGGGACCGTGCGTGCGTGCATGCAGTCGGTCAAATTATGATTTCCAGGAAATTCCTGAACCGATCTGGGTGATTTTTGGATATGTTGGTCACCCAGATCGGGCCTATCAGGGGATGTAACTGCTGTGTGGATTTTGTGTGTTTAAAGGTATTTTGAGGGTTTTGTAAAAATGTATGTTTTGTGTGCCTGGAGATAATTGAGTTTATTATAGTGCTGACTCTGTTATCTCCCAGGCACAGGGGAGGGATTGACCTATTTTGTATGGGAGTGTCCTGGACCGGAGAGCCAATGTAATCGTATGTATGTTTTTACTGTAGACTACTCTCAGGTGCCCCCTGAATGGAGACCTGCATATAAGGCCAGTTGTGGCTGCCATTAAACAGATTTGTTTTATCCGTTATGAAGTCTAGGCTCATGTTTGGGGGATTGGAGAGCTGTATTCACTCTGGGGATTGCTATAATCACTATATTCCTTTGGCTTACAATGATTGCTCTTGTAAGAGCAGCCTGCTTTGCTTATGGTACTCCAGGATTACTAGGAAGCAGCGATTGACAGAGGTACCCGGTCGGGGTGCCAGGCGGTCCGTCACATAAAAATAGCATGCTAACCCATTGTCAGACTAGTTGTAGTCACGATCATGTATTTCAACAAACTGTTAAGATCATCCACAAGGTATATAAATAGATAACTAGATCAATATATTGGGAAACCTAACAAAAAATGTAGAAAATGTTCTTATGTATGAAACCAATATTGCACTGCTCATCATTCTGAGAACGGTTACAAACATATGTTTCTAAGACATTACTAGCAAGGGGCATCCACTTATAGCCTTAGAGTGTTTGTTTTAGCCCATCACAAGCGTCCACTGCAAAATCTTCCTTAGTAGTGCAGGGGCCGGAGGAGGAGACAGAGGAGCAGGGCAGACAGGCACTGGGAGGACAGTATGGAGTAAACCATTAAAATAAATTTGGTCTCTTATGGAAAGATGGTACAGAGAACCTCCTGCCCCCCATAATAACTGAATTTAGATTGTTTTTAAAGGGGATGAGGTGCTCTTTTGAATAGATTCTTCCAGGTCCAGGAGCCCACCACCTCAGGTTTTAGCCTCTGGTACGGGAGTGAGTGTAATGGTAATTAATTATATCTGTCAATGTTCAGGCACATTCAGGTAATCTGAAAAAAAAGACCTATTGTAAGTCTCGTTCTTTGAGAGTACATTTATTTTGTCAGTATTTTAGTGTTTTTTTTTAGTTTGGTAATGGGAAAGATTATTGGAAAAACATTTATTGGATATCTTATTACATTTAAGGCTCATTCTAAGTTCACAGAGCTTATTTTTGGACAGTCAAATGAAGAATGCTTGCTAACCCATTCTTAGACTAGTAATAGTTACCATCATGTATTTCAACAAACTGTTAAGATCAACCTCAAATACAAATACGTTAAAAATAAACCATAGTGACAGGAATACAAACATGTATTCATTTCACTAGCTGTGCAAGCACAGTTTAGGCCCCCAAACACCCTGTCTGCTAAGTAAAAGGTGATTTACTTACTTTTATTATTCCAGTGCCGCACAAGTCTCGTCGTGGCTGGCTCCGCTTTCTTGATTGAGATCATCGAATTTGATGATCTCAGCCAATCCAATACTTTCTCATAGGTAAGCATTAGATGGTTATTGCATGAAGGGCAAAACACCACGCCGTGCCAGTCAGCATCTCTCACAGAAAGGAGTTGAATCAATGCATCTCTACGATGAACGTTCAGTGCCACAATGCAGAGCATGGAGATGCGGATTGTCAGTCATTGACTGACGATCATAGTCATTGACCATCTGAATAAGCGTTTCTCTAAAGCAATATTTACATTAAAATGCCTGATGGGACAAACTATTCACACCAGTACAACTACATTAAGTTGTAGTTGTTCTGGTGACAATATTTTTTATTTTCTAATAACTAGTCTGTTCAGGCAGTGAAAAATTATGTTGGTATATTTCTGATCCTAGCCTTTATTTCCAAGGAAACATTTTCAGATGTTCTTCAAACATTCGTGTTTCTGTCAGGCAATCTTTTGAATTCACTTAAGTAAGCAAATGGAAAAGATTTGTGTCTCCTGCTGCCTGATCCCCTGCCCTGTCTCAGACTTAATAAATAAAGACTTATACCTGTGCCTTTATTTTTTGTATGACTTAAAGGAATTGTTTCTAGGAGTAAGAATCAGTGGACCTGTATATGGTTTAAAATTAGAAAATCTGTTTCTCCAGTAGCAGGCGTGAATTTAAAACTCATACCTGAGGCTGCTCCACGACACTTACTAGCTCCGGTGGGATGCCACAAAGATTCCCAGTCCCACGACGCTCTAACCAAAGTGAATGCCGCGCTCCTGGATACCTCCTTTTATATGCGAGGGTGGCGTATTTCCATGGCGTCCTTGGAATTACAGGGCCCTTATACTTACCTTTGCATGATGTCATATTGTTCGACACCTAAGTCTGCCCTGCACAGGTCACACCTCTTTGTGTGTCCTGGTGCAGGGTGATGATGATGTGCAATAGTATTCTTCTTAGCCATATATAAGTTTCCCTTTTTCTGGTAATCATTGCCCTGTTGTGGTTCTTGTTAGCTTGTCAGTGTAATTCTGTATTTCCTGTTGCTGACCCGGTTTTGTATTTTGACTATTCTGCCTCTCTGTATCCCTTTAACCTTGGCTTGTTTTCTCATTCTTGTGTACCTCTGTATCCCTTGACCGTAGCCTTTTCTCTTACTACATTTTCTCGCCTTTTTAGGCACACACTAAACCCGGCCACTCTTACATCTGGTATACATACCCTGTCCTTTTTTCTATTTTGGCTACTATTCTCCCTGGGTGTAGGGGTTACCCCAACCTGACAAAAACACATTTTCATTGTTTTGTTGTTTTTTTTGTTTTGGTGTGTGTATGTGTGTATATCTATATACACGCTGCCTTGCCAAAAAAAAGTCGCCACCTGGATTAAACTAAGCAAATAGGTAAAAGCCTCCTATTGGATAGTTACTGCATGGGCGATTATCTTTCCGCTGGCAACAAGTTATTTAACGCCAACTGATGCAATGAGTAGCTTCTCATTTCTTAAACAACCATGTCGAAAGACACATCCCGTGGTTTTGGAAAAGATGTTAGTCTGTTTAAAAAGGTTCAAATCATTGGCATCTGTCAAGCAGAGAAAACATCTAAGGAGATTGCAGAAACTACTAAAATGAGGTTAAGAATTGTCCAACGCATTATTAAAAACTGGAAGAGTAGTGGGGAACCATCGTCTTCGAGGAAATGTGGTCGGAAATAAATCCTGATTGATCGTGATCTGCAATCACTTAAAAGTTTGGTGAAATCAGATCGTAGAAAAACAGTAGAATTCAGGGCTATGTTTTATAGTGAAAATAAGAGCGTTTCCACACGCACAATGCGAAGGGAACTCAAGGGATTGGGACTAAACAGCTGTGTAGCCTTAAGAAAACCATTAATCACTGAGGCTAATCAGAAAAAAGGCTTTAATTTGCTAGGGAGCATAAATATTGGATTTTGGAGCAGTGAAAGAATGTCATGTGGTCTGATGAGTCCAGATTTACCCGGTTCCAGAGTGATGGGCACATCAGGGTAAGAAGAGAGGCAGATGAAGTGATGCACCCATCATGCCTAGTGCCTACTGTACAAGCCTGTGGGGGCAGTGCTATGATCTTGGGTTGATGCAGTTGGTCAGGTCTATGATCAGCAACATTATGTGCCCAAAGAATGAGGTCAGTTGACTACCTGAATATACTGAATGACCAGGTTATTCCATCAATGGATTTGTTCTTCCCTGATGGCACGGGCATATTCCAAGATGACAATGCCAGGATTCCTTGGGCTCACATTGTGAAAGAGTGGTTCAGGGAGCATGAGACATAATTTTCACATATGGATTGGCCACCACAGAGTCCAGACCTTAACCTCATTGAGAATCTTTGGGATGTGCTGGAGAAGGCTTTGCGCAGTGGTCCGACTCTCCCATCATCATACATACATACACACTGTTGTAATAAAAAGTATTCAAACCCCATTGAAAATCAAGTTTATTGTTAAAATGTAGACTTTCACCTGTTTGCAGTAAACAAATCAAACAAAAGCAATTGAAACAGCTTAACACAACGAATGCTTCAAGTGGTTTCCCCAAAGTCAACTGAAAATACTACTTATGATTTCTCCAGTCTCAAAATTATCCAACCGCCGAACAGATTCCTTCACAACAGCACAAATAGGGAAAACAGATGTTGTCTCAAGCACACCTGAGGCAACTAATCAATGGTGTACTTGAGCTGTGGAACACTTGACTTACCTTAACTGGCTAGGGGTTTGTTGAGTGTCACGTTTGACTGCAGATGAGTGTGACGGACCGCCTGGGACCCCGACCGGTACCTCCGTCAATCGCTGCTTCCTGGTACTTGCGAGCACCATAAGCATCGAACTGGAACACCATAACCACCGTAAACCCAACAAACCGCTGGAGCTTGGTTGGGGTCTCGCTGTCCTCCACCCACCAGGATCCAAAAAATACCAAATTCCAGTGGGTAGACCTCTCATAGTCCAAAGAGTGAAGAAGATTGCTCTTACAAGAGCAAGTGTTGTGAGCCAAGGGAGTATAGGGATTATAGCAATCCCCAGAGTGAATATAGCTCTCCAATCCCCCACACATGAGCCTAGACTTCATGAAGGATAAAACGAATCTGTTTAATGGCAGCCACAACTGGCCTTGTATGCAGGCCCCCATGCAAGGGGCACTCCCCCATGGACCTAAGAGTAGACTACAGTAAAAACAAATACACAATTACATTGACTGTCAGGTCCAGGACACTCCAATACAAAATAGGTCAATCCCTCCCCTATGCCTTGGAGATAAATGAGTCCGCACTGTACTAAACTCAATTATCTCCAGTCACAGAAAACATAAATTGTTACAAAACCCCCAAAATACCTTAGAACACACAGAAACCCCTCAAAAGTTACATCCCCTGATAGCCCTGATCTCGGTGACCAACATATCCAAAAATCACCCAGATCAGTTCAGGGGTTCAGGAATTTCCTGGAAGTCATAATTTGACTGGTCCTATGCCCAAAACCGTTCCAGAGAATCAGGTCTTGCAGTCGGTCTAGTTCGGTAGTTTAAAAACTAACAAACTACTGAACCGAGTCAATAGTCTTACCCTGGAGCTTGATCCCTTTGTTCGTGGGAACGTTTCCACCGAATAGCGCCTTACTAAGTATTGTAGAACCGAATGCAGGTGATGCTGGAAGTCCAGCGGTGTTGGGGAGTTTGTTTTCAGTACCATGAAATTCATGCCCAAACACAGTAGCAATTAGGCTTAACAAGCTCCATTGTGGTCTCTGGTTCATGCGGCTATTCGGTTCCCAAACCTAATATAAAATCCCACGAACCAAGTCTGTTTACATAGTTTTTTAAAGGGCCAATAGTCTTTTGGTAAGAGGCTGGCCAGCAGACCCCCTCCAAGAACACGTGACGAGGCTCTGTTCGTCACAGTGAGAAGTATAGCTAAATCAAAAGAATGGTCCACAAAGTTATGAGAAGAGATCGTTGCTCTTCACAAGCAGGATACAAAAAGCTAGCGAGGGCACTGAATGTTTCCTTAGACATCGTTGGAAGCATACTTTGCAAGTTTAAAGTTGAAGAAACAGTGATTACACTACCTGGACGGGGCAGAAAAAGGAAGCTATCGGTGGCCGCAACCAGATTTCTGAGAAGGGAGGTTGTGAAAAAACCTTGAGTGACTGCAAACTACCTGCAGCAAGATTTGGTGGCAACAGGCACTGAGGTTTCAGTGTGCACAGTAAGGCGCATACTAAACACATAAGTTTTCCATGTCAGAACTCCATGACATACACAAATACTGACCCAAAAGCACAAGAAAAGTCTGCTATAACATGCTCAAAATCTCAATTCTGTTCTGTGGAGCGATGAAACAAAGCTGGAATTTTCTTAGCCCAATGGATCTGCAGTATGTCTGGAGGAAGAACATACGTATAGGCTGTTAAGAATACTCTGCCTACAATTAAGCATGGTGGTGACTCAGTGATGCTCTGGGGCTGCTTTGCATCCTCTGGCGCTGGAAACCTTCAGCATGTGGAAGGCAAGATGGATTCATTGATGTATCCAGAAATCCTAGGAGAAAACTTCATTCCTTCTGTGAGGAAGCTGTGAAGCTTGGGCATCATTGGACCCTCCAACAAGATGTTCCCAAGCATAACCTCAAATTCCACCAAGACTTGGTTGCAAAAGAAGTCCTGGAAAATTCTACAGTGGGCATTACAGTCATCTGACAAGATCTCTACAATCAGAGAAGAGATCTCTCATCTTTCTTCTTCCCCTTACAATACTTCCCCTAACTTCACTCCCTCTGCTGTTCTATGTTCATTCACACCCGCTACATTGAAAGAGGTTTCTGCTCTGCTCCAGTCCTCCCGCCCCACCACCTGCTCCATAGATCCAATTCCCTCGCATCTCATCCATACTCTGTCTTCTTCTCTTTCTCCACCTCTCACTAAAATTCTCAATTTCTCTCTCTCCTCTGGTATATTTCCATTGCCCTTCAAACATGTAACAGTAACCCCAATTCTAAAGAAGCCCAGTCTTGACCCTAACTCCCCATCCAACTATCGTCCTATCTCGCTACTGCCTTTTGCATCCAAGATCCTTGAAAAAATTGTGTATGCGCGATTGACAGACTTCCTCGAGTCCAACTCTCTGCTAGACCCGCTTCAGTCTGGTTTCCGTGCTAAGCACTCTGTGGAAACAGCACTGACCAAAGTATCCAATGATCTACTCGCTGCAAAATCTCGTGGTCACTACTCTATCCTAATTCTCCTTGACCTGTCTGCGGCTTTTGACACTGTTGATCATCAACAGCTTCTTCTCATCCTCCGCAATATCGGTCTACAAGATATTGCTCTCTCCTGGTTCTCCTCCTACCTCTCCCAGCGCTCTTTCAGTGTTTCTTTCTCTGGCTCTGCTTCTTCTCCCCAACTCCTCTCTGTTGGTGTTCAGTCCTTGGTCCCCTACTGTTCTCCATCTATACTGCCTCCCTTGGTAAACTCATTAGCTCCTTTGACTTCCAATATCATTTCTATGCAGATGACACACAAATCTACCTGTCCTCTCCTGATCTCTCCCCGTCCCTCTTGACTAGTGTCTCTGACTGCCTCTCTGCTGTTTCTAACTGGATGGCTGCCCACTTCCATAAACTAAACTTGACCAAAACTGAAATTCTGGTATTTCCTCCCTCAAGTGTTGTTACTCCTGTGTTTGTCTCCTTCCAAGTCAACGGTGCTACCATCAGCTCCACCACGCAGGCTCGCTGCCTAGGTGTTCTCTTTGACTCCAACCTCTCCTTCAAGCCTCATGTTCAATCTATCGCCAAATCCTGTCATTTCCATCTCAAAAACATTGCACGCATTCGCCCCTACTTAACGCCAGATGCGACTAAGGTGTTGGTCCATTCCACTGTCCTTTCTCGCCTTGACTACTGTAATCCGCTTCTCAGTGGTCTTACGTGCTCCCAACTTGCGCCGTTACAGTCCATAGTGAATGCAACGGCGAGGCTCATCTTCTTGTCCGCCCGCACCTCCCATGCCTCACCCTTCTGTCAGTCCCTACATTGGCTTCCTATAAAATATAGAGTTCAATTTAAAATTCTGGTTCTTGCTTTCAAATCTCTACATAATGCTGCTCCCACCTATCTATCCTCCCTTATACACAAGTATGTCCCGTCTAGGCCCTTACGATCTGCTGAAGACTTACGTCTATCTTCTGTCCGTACTCCCACCTCTGATGCTCGCCTTCAAGATTTCTCGAGGGCTGCACCGTTCCTGTGGAACTCACTTCCCTCCTCCATTAGATGCTCACCCAGTCTCCACTCCTTCAAAAAATTGTTAAAAACCCACTTCTTCATAAAAGCGTATCAATTAAACTGTTAATAGCTCCTGACTGATTCCTCTTCTGCAACTGTCACTAGTCTAATACTATCCTTACCTTTTTGTGTCATTTTACCCCACTCCCTCTAGCATGTAAGCTCATTGAGCAGGGCCCTCAACCCCTCTGTTCCTGTGTGTCCAACTTGTCTGGTTACAGCTACATGTCTGTTCGTCCACCCGTTGTAAAGCGCTGCGGAATTTGACGGCGCTCTATAAATATAATACTAATCTGACTTAAAGGATCACTATAGTGCTAAACCCACCATTTAGGTGGCTTGCCTTCTCCTTAGCCCCCGTATAAAACTTTAAAACTCACCATATTTCCAGCGCTGCGCGGGTCTGCCGGCATTGGCTCCGCTCCCTTTGTGACATCTTCAAAATGGCCAATTTTTAGCCAATCCAATGCTTTCCCATAGGAAATGCATTGGATTGGCTAAAATCGTCATGGGGCGGGGCCAAATGCCATTTTGGCCAATCAGGACCTCCTTATAGTGATGCATTGAATCAATGCATCTCTATGAGGAAAATTCAGCGTTTCCATGGAGAGCGTGGGGACACTGAGCAGCAGGGCTGCTTACTGTGCAGCCCTGAGCCAGGAAGCTTCTCCAGTGGCCATCTAAGGTGTAGCCACTTGGAGGTGTCCCTGTTCTCTGAAAGGGCAGTGTTTACATGAAAATGCCTGAAGGGAGCTATTATACTCACCAGAACACCTACATTAAGCTGTAGTTGTTCTGGTGACTATAGTGTCCCTTTAAACCCAGTAGAAAATCTTGGTGGGATTTGATGAAGGAGGTTGCAGCACTCAAACCCCCAAATATTACTGAACTGGAGGCCATTGCTTGTGAGCTATGGGCTAAGATTCCTAAGGAACTCTGCCAGAAGCCGGTGTCTAGCTATGCATCTTGTTTGCAGCAGGTCACAACAGCAGTAGGATGCTTTTCGAAGTATTAAAGATGCTTGCCATAAAGGGGTTTTATCATTTTGAGACTGGAGAAGTCATTATAAGTTGCATTTTCAGTTACAGTTGCCACTTTTGTTGTGTTGAGCTATTTAAATTGCTTTTGTTTGATTTGTTCATTGCAAACAGCTGAAAGTCTGTAAATGTTGACAATAAACCTGATTTTCAATCGCGGTTAAAGGATTTTGATTACAATTGTGTGTATATAGGTATAGATATATACTTCTTTTTTTTTTTTTTTTTATTCTTTCTTTTCGGTGCATTCTGTTATGTGACATACATACTTGCATCGCCTTATCAGCATAGACAAATTGGCAATCGGCATGGTTAATAGCTTTGTTCAAAGTTAGGCAATACGTTTACAGGTGCATATTGATAGGAACTAAGAGTAGATAGCAGTTATGTTGTGTTTGTCTTTCTGTTCAATGGTCGAAGGAGTTAGCTTGTGCCTATGTGGTCAGGGAGAACATAGTGGAAATGCGTCTGCACATTTTCTTTTTTCTTGTGGGTCAAGTGTGCCCATGCTATTGGTACCCATAGGGTGGTCTGGGTGTGGGTGAATATGTCGAGTATGTGTATGGTAGTAGAGTCTTGTAAATGGTTGATTAGCACCTTCCTTGGCAGTTTGGGGGAGGCATAAGGTGGTTAGTTATGTTGTAGTTTATCCCCTTTTGTGGTGGCGTGTATGCCTCGGTGTGGGCCATGCGCTTCTGTCAGTGTTTTGGTGTAGGTTGTGTGTCGGGTATGCTGTGCATGCTACAGTGGGTAGTGTCGACCACTAACCAAATGGGGTCACAGGGGGGAGGGTGTACATCTCGGTCTTTGTAGGGGGTGGCCTTAGTCAAACTTGGGGTGTAGAGAGAGTAGTAGGGTGAACTTAGAGGAGAGAACAGCAGAGCATGTAAATTTGCGGTATACATTTTATGTGGTGTTCAGGTCGCTGCCTCCTGTCTCCTGTTGCCCCTGGGAAAGAATGGAACAGTTCTCCCTGGGTCCCATGAATGGGGGGCTGTTGTTGTGCCCGGCGTTGAGGTGTTCTGTGTCAGTCCCAGTTTTTGGAGGAGCGCAGGGGCCTCTGAGAGTGAGGTGAGTTTTAGGACCTCTGTTCCGCTGATGACCGCCAAGGTTCTCGGCAGCAGCCATCTGTACTCCTCTTTCCCTTTCCACAGTTGTTCTGTTACGTCGTTAAAGACTTTCTCCAGAGTAGGGTTTTCCGCGTAATGTCTTGGAAAAAGGTGAGTTGTGAATCTTCGAAGGCCAGCGGCATCTTGTCTCTTACCGCTGCTAGTATGCTGCGTTTTTCTGTCATGGAGTGGCAGCGGACTATGACATCCCTTGGAGCCGTTGTGGGTGCCCTTTTGGCCTTGTTTATGCGGAAGTGGCTGTCAAATTCCAGCTTTTTAGCATGTGTGTGTGGCAGGATAGTTGCCGTAAGCCTCCTGTAAGGTACTGTGTTAGTTCTGAGGGTCCGACTGTGTCAGGGATTCCCCGGATCTTAATATGTGTGCGCCTACTGCAGATATATACTTCTTATATATTACTCTGTTAAAAACAGAAAACATTTAGAACATTACATATTTAAATTTGCATTCAGCATAGGGTAAAAGAAGCATTCTAAAAAATGTTTGATTAGAAACTAATATTTTGGTGAGAGGGAAGAAAAAAGGCCTTTACAGAGTGCATATCACATTATAAAATTAACTAATTAATTGTTTTGTAGACATTGTTAGAAATGAAAGAAACGAGAAGATCGAAGAAACCAAGCAAGTTTGAATCTCTCCGTCTTCAGGTTGTGGACTTCATAGACAATCTTGTAAGGTGCGTTTAAGACTAGCAAAACCCCCACAGATGTCTAGCTGGCTATACACAAAGCATTTATCATTCTAGAAATGCTTATGGCTGTTTGAGAAAGAAAATACAATACTGCGACCTTTGTCTGGATCTTTAGCAATTTAAACTAATCATGTGTGTTTAAACAGCCTTAATTGCTGCAGTTTAATCTTTGGTTTTACATTTGTGCCCCTATACAAGTATATGTTGTTATATGGCTGTAATTGTGGATTCAGGTCTTCACATTGCAGCTCACAACATTTTTGCCTGTCTTATTTTCAGAGCAATATTGATTTTAGGCTTGCTTTTTGGCTTGCCAGAATATTTGTGCCATGAAATTACCATTTGGTATATTAAAATGCTCAGAGATTTATTGGGGGGGTAGCATAATCTATGAATAAAGAAAAAGTGACCATATAATAACCCCTTCTTTAAGTTAGGATATTCCGTATTGTACTCAGTTTAGGACAGCATGGAATATCCTAACGATTTAGTGTGACCAGTGGTAAATCCTTTCTCACACCAGAGGGACTCAGATATCCGTTGATATCTGGTGCTCCACTCTGTCAGCTGTGGTCAATTTAATGTGGCCCCCGACTGACAGATGAGCTGTATAGAGCTCATTATGTAGGAATTGAAATCCCTACAGCTACATTGTGGTGTGAGCATGGTTAAATCTATACCTGGGGCTCCCCTTTTTCAGCTGGGGGACATATTTAGTGGCCCCAGGCTAAACTGATGAGCTATATGCAGTGCTCAAAGTGAGTGCTGCATACACCCATTTAAATGCATTGAGAACACCACAGCTGAGCAATAGTGCAAGCATAAGGTCTGGGTAGGACTGGTATAGTGTTTAGTGGGGGGGTGGTAAATGGTTAACATTAAGTACCTAAAATGAATTTAAATCCTAAACATACGAGGCATTTATCAGCCAGGACTGATACAGGAATCTGTTTTGAGCTCTTTAGTTGCTTTTAAAAAAATTAGTATTATATTCACACTTAATATTGTTTTAGGTATACATATAGGATAATAAAATAAAGCGCTTTCTGTCCCTTAAAAAGCAATATATAAAATGTATGGGGGAGGCACCTAAAGAGACATCCTTAAATTATGTGGAACTTTAATGCTAGGTTTTGTTTTGGTTAAGAATTACAATTGCCTTACTCCTTAAGGGATTAAAGACGACACATATACTTTTTTTACTCACTAGTTATTTTTTCCCACAGTTCCATAGTACTGGCGTAGTGGGTTCTATGCACTGTACTATTATGTAGTTTAGTTTGAATTCTGTAACCTAGTCAGTAATATCTTTAATTCCAGGCACATTTTTGAACACTGATTTTCAGGAATGAGGTAAAAATAAAAACCTATGTGAAGTGATGTTACATGCCCCTATTCATGTAATTTGAGGAAGAGCACATACACATTTTATTTTGTATGGTTTCCCTCTGAGAGAGCAGTTAAACATATCGAGAAAGTAGGAATCAGATTGGATCTTTAAACTTGCTTAGGCCATCTGGAGAAGTACCAGTAGCTTCAGTTTCCCTCAGGGTAGGAAAATTGTTTTGCAAAGTAATTTTATAGTTCGAGATGAATCATAAAAAAAGCTTTCGATCAGTCAAGCTGCAAGGAATGTGGGGCGCACAAAAGGCCAGAAAAAGAGCGCAAAACGGGGTGTAAACAGCCCAGGAAAACACCAGTGGGGCTTCTCTAACGATGGGGCGCAAGACCAAGAAGCCCCGGCAGGATCGGCCCAGATACTGTGCAGATATCGGAGATCTGCTGCGGAGGCCGCATGGAGAGGTGAGGCCTGAAATGCCGATTTGAGATTTCTCCCTCCACGACATGGAAGAAGTGGTCTATAAAGGGCCACTCAATCCACTGTGGGAATATCACTCCCTGTCACCACAGCCATACTCTCCAGCCTATTGGTGAACCTCCGCTAAAGTCTCTCATCTTAAGTCACATAGGTCAGGGAGGACATCAAGGGGTTCACTGTGCGCCTGGAAGCAGTTGAGAAAACTACAAAAGCTCACACATCACAGGTCCTGGAGCTACAAAAGAAGATCAATGATCTCACCTCGGCCCATGTAACCCTCAGCCACCAACTAGCTGCCATGGAAGACAAAAGAAGGTGGAAACACCTGAAAATTAGAGGCCTGGAAGACAGCATCACCGCTGCAGAACTGCCTCTTTTTCTGTGCAGACTTTTTACGGCCCTCCTGCCACGTAAAAAGGCAAAAGGCATATTGTTAGTGTTCCGCCACCCTAAGCCTCCATCAGCCGCGGCTTCGGCCACTAGCGACCTACTATTAAAATTTAAAAATGGCCAGGACAAGGCCGCCATCTTCAACGCAACAAGAGGGAAAACCCCATATCGGTTCGAAGACATGGACCTTGCATTTTTCTACGACCTTTCCCGTATTACGCTGCAATGGAGAAAATCAGTACGCCCTCTCACAACACTTCTGTTGACTCAAAGTATTAAATACCGCTGGGGTTTCACTCATATTCTTATCATACAGCACCAGAACGTGGATTACAAAGTGTCCGATATCTCCAAGATGGACGCTATCCTGACCAGGCTTGGTCTTCATCGCACTTCCATATCTGCAACTCCAGTATGGGACCCGACCAACATAATCCCATTCGTTCCAGCCTCCAAGAGCAAGACCACTGTTGCAGTTACCTGATTGCAGCCCCTCTATATGTTTCATTTTTTATGCTTTAACAATTTTTCTACCTATACAAAAAATGACTTACACGTTTTTACGTTTATCAGTTCTTATGAGTTATATATTTAGTTTTGTTTCTTAGAGTTCTACCCCACCAAGTCATTGGGAAATCCCTGTGGCCTTCCTGGATTATGACCGGAAATAACGCAGTTACGCTAGCTCCGCACTAATAATTTCTCACTTTACTCCAACATGTGGAGCTGCCACCCTTGAGTGCACCGCTTCCCCTATTTTAAGATCGTATTCACTTTTTTTTTTTCATTTTAAATAACGCCATGCCCTTATACTGAACCTACTGCTTCTAACACCTATACTAAGTGCCTAGGCACGGCGATTTACTCAGTTTACTTAGTATACTCTAACTTACTCTAATTGAATCTAATTGAAAGATTGAATGTATGTCACTAACCATTTTGTCATATCGCAACTAAATATGTATATATTATGTCATATATTGTAGCACATGTTATGTCTCTTATGTACCTGACTGCAGCAAAAATAAAAAATGTATATATAAAAAAAAAAAAATTATATATTTTTTTTTAAACTCTTTAACAATATGCCAGAGAGAGGCCAGTGCCTCAATATGTACTGTTACTTGCAGTGGGCGGCTATTGAAAGGTTGAGATAGTCAGCTGATGCTCTCAGCCTAATACTAGCACCCAAGGCAAGCCTTACCAGGTCACTAAGGCAGACAGAAGTAAAAAAGAGATTAGGCAGAGCAGAGAGATACAGCTGTGGACTACTTTGGGTTAAATTGTTTGTTGTCGTGTTGTTGGGGACTTCACCCCTGTAAATTAATTGAGATGAAGTTGTTATGGGGGCCAGAGTGCAGCCAGAGTGCTGTGCTTTGAGAGTTTGGGATGTTCCTTTAAAAAAAAAAAAAAAACATTAAGAAGATTGACCTGTATTTCAGAACTAAGCTCCTCAAGTGCATAGTGATGAATTCCATGTGGCCTAGTACTTTATCAATGTATTATCAGTCTGCACTTTGCATGCCTGACTCTTTTTTTCACATGTCAGAGAAGGACATGCTGTTGGAAAGTTAAGGTTATATCTATGTGTGAAAAATATGCGCCGCTGGTCTTTTACATAAAATATATCAATTGTTGCTTTCCACTTCTGTAACCAGTGTACCCATCTAAGTTTTCAGTTGTCCAGCATTTTCTCTATGCTTCCTGTGTGACATAAGTTTAGGAGACATTTAAAAAGTGATGCTAATACTACTCACTGGTACTTCTATCTTGAGTTTCTATTCTCCTCTGAGACACCTGATTGCATTAAGCAATTATCGTACTCCAAAGCGATCCTACTACCATATACATACACTCTTTCCATATTAACCTTCCCCCACCACCACTTCCACCAGCAAATTGACTGAATATTCACCATGGTAATAAGCATCCATGGCTTTGGATTGCCTTGCATTACTCTTGCCCTTTCATTCTACCAACGCCCCCCTCTTTCTCTCTCTCTCTCTTTTTTCTTTTCCTACTCCCTACTACTTTTACAGTATTTTGCATGTAGTTGTTTTTCTGTGGCTTATCTGTTATTTTTCCTGCTATTTATATACATTGTTGTAAATTTAATAAAAACTGACAATAAAAAAAATATTTCCAGGGTGAAGATGGCTATCAGAGCAACTCTCACAGGTTTATACACTAACCGTGTTATTCACTTTAATGAGAATTCACATTTAAAGGGATACTAAAGTCACCTAGACCACTTTGTCTTAAGAAAGTGGTCTGGGTGCAGTGGTCCTGTGATTTTAAACCTGCAATGTAAACCATTAAAAAAAATTAGGAACTTAATTTTATCTTTTGCAGTGTTAAATCCACCTTTAGTGGCTGTATTTCCAATAGCCAGTAGAAGAACTTCCACTGACTAAGAAATGTGATGCAGAAGCATTCCTATTTCTTGCTAATGCTGTAGTGTTCCTTTAGGGACAAAGTAGCCAAACTAAAAAGCACAACTGACTTAAATAATTTTATCAATTTGACTATTTTGGCCTAAAAGGGACACTATAGTTATTAGAACGACTAAAGCTTAAAAGACAGTATAGGCACCCAGACCACTTCAGCTCCTTGAAGTGGTCTTGGTGCAATGTCACTTTTGCACTTACTGCTGCAATGTTAAACATTACAGTTCTTGAGAAACTGTAATGTTTACATTGCAGCACTAAGTCCGCCCTCTGTGGCTGTCTCCCAGGCAGCCATTGGAGGTGCTTTCTGGATACTAACAGACCTTTGGTCCAGTAATTGACGATAAACGTCCTCAAGCTCTGCATGAGGACATCCACTGTCAGATTTTTTTCCCCATAGGAAAGCATTGATTATAGAAAAATATATTGTATTTCAGAAAATATTTGGCTCCCCCAGAATCCAAGCCTCTATATGAAGCAGTATATTTTAGTGGTGCAAGTGCTATCCGCAGGCATCTGAATGCTGTTCCTAGAATTGCGCTGCACACAGCACTCAACAACCCTGCAACATACCTTAAGGTAAGCGCTTCTATACCTTTCCTTATTATACTGCAACATGCATCCAATAACTAGTAATTTACATTTTAATAAAAATTGGTAAACCAAAGATGCAGCTAAACATGTATCCATATTTTCTTCTATTCTGGCAAGGGCTGAAGAATGCCTAGGTTTTGAAGTTGATATCTCCCTCCTTTGTTGTAGTTGTACTGTTTGGCACTTGACCAATATATTTGTTTCTGCACTGTGTTTTACATATAATATATAGAATATTATTTAACTTGTTTATCTCTACAATTTGCTCTGGTGTGTTCTTTACAATAGCAATGTGCTGCTTTCAGTTAGTTTTCTTCTCTGGAGTGATATCTGGTGTGTAGAACAGGATGTGCTTGCTTGTTTTGTCCATTCTCTAATATCGCTACGACTTCCTCTAAAGGCAAAACAGAACTCCCATCAGAGAATTCTGGAATAGTACAATTCATGACAGCCAATGGACAAAATATGGGGATAACAGAAAAAGACAATATAGTATAAGACCTTTATGTAAGCCGCTAAAAACAAGACAAATTACAAATAGGAACTCGCAAGAGCTCCTGTCCGTTTTGCTTTTATACTTTTTGCTGCTTACTTAAGGCTGTTACACTATCTGGTCTTTCTTTTTCTGTTATTCTCCATTACAATATTCCATTATTTGTGTCTTTGAAGATTATTTTTAGATGTTGGGATGTTTTTTGTTTTTTACATATGTGTACACCCTTTTTTCTTTTTTGATATTGGAAAAACATTTTTAGCCTTTTTTTTTTTTCTTTCACAAATACCAATGGATTATAACTTTGTGTAAGTATTCACCTTGTAAACACGAATAGATGTTAGCCATGTCTAGAATTATTTTCTATACATTGAGATTTCCTATATTGATTAAGGTTTTTCCTGCTAAAAAGGAGGACAAATACTGGGTTATTCAGTATAGTGTGAATTTTTAGGGGATTCATAGTGAATTCAAGGGTGTGGATATTTTTTTTTAATATGCTTCTCACAGGAAGTAAAGCAGTAGTTTAATTTCCTGACAAGCTACTTGACCCGTTTTAGAAAAAGGGTCCAGGAACTTCAATGTCTTCAGACAACTTTATTAGAACATGTGGAACACTGCAACGTTTCAACTCCCAATGGAGTGTTTGTCAAGCTTGACAGTGCTCCAAATGTTCTAATAAAGGTACCTGAAGACATTGGAGTGCCTGGACCATTTTTCTAATGCTGGTATTTATTATCTTCTGGGCTTGGCTGGCCCTTTGTTCAGCTAAGCACCCTGTCTTAAGTGAATTGAGTCGTGTTCCTTTTTCATTTTTGCAATTTAAGCTACTTGACCTGACCCACAAAAAAATGTAATTACAAAGATTGTACTGGCTGTATGTCGTAAGTGTGCATGTGTTGTGTGTTTGCTCTATGTAGTATGGTGTGTGTGTGTGTGTGTGGTGTGCTGTCTGTATGTACTGTGCGTATGGTGCGTGCTGGCTATTATGGGTGAGTTTTGTGCTGGCTGTGTTTAGTATGTGTGTGTTGTGTGGTTTCTGTGTGTAGTATTTATGTATGTTGTCTGCTGTATGTGTTTAGTAGGTATGTGTGTTTGTATTTAATGGTAATGTAAGTTATGTCCACCTATTGCTTTCTATACAGGGGCACCATAGGGGCTATGATCCCTGGTGGTTTAGCAGGCATTAAAAACGCAGTGAGTCAGAAGCTATCAGGAATACTTAAGGCTGCTCTCTGATTTATAGGTGAACACTGGACCAAGAGGCAGAAATTACTGCGGCAGGGCTCAGGTTTAAAGAAAACAAACTGTCCGGAACTGCATGTCCTGTATATTGGGCGATACAAATTCCGCATCCCTGGGACCAGAGGTGTAAATAGAAACAACAGGGCCCCTAAGCGAAAAGTGCCCTGGGAGCCCCCATGCATCTCCCCCTGCCTCCCCACCATTTTTTATAACACATACAGATACATACACGGACACACATGCTAATACACAGACACACAGAATGACACACATACAGATACACAGAATGACACTTGTACAGATACAAACACTGACACACATGCAGATATACAGACACACACTGACACACATGCGGATACACAGACACAGAATGGCACTCATACAGTTATAAACAGTGACATACAGATACATAGGGGCACACACTGACACACTTGCAGATACACATGCAGACAAACAGATACACATACAGACACACATGCAGAAAAAACAGATACACATACATAAAGACACAAATGCAGACGCAGATACACATAGAGACATACAGACAGATACACCTATAGACACGCATGCAGATACACACACACTTAATGACAAACATTCAGATACACATACAGACAGAAACCTATGCAGATACACAGACACACACAGACATAGAGACACACACACAGATATACTGATACAGACATTCTCTATCACACACACACACACACTGTTAAAAAAAAAAAAAAAAAAAAAGTTAGTGACTTCCCTGGGGTTCAGTGGCTGTCTCATGCTGATGGAAGTCAGAGCTCCCACTCTGACTCCCTCCTCTCCTCCTGCGCGGCGTTTTGTTTGCTGGGAGGAAGTGACGGCTTCCTCCCAGCTCTGACATCATCAGTTTCGCAGCGCTGACCGGGCTCCAGGAAATCCATTGCCATCGGGTGGCACCAAAAGCATGGACCACACGATGGGCTCTTTCAATGCGGCCCAGGCATTTTTTTCCGCGCGGGCCGGGCCACACCAAAACGCTGGCGGGCACCCCGGACGACAGGGTGGCCGGGCTTCCTGGAGTGACGGGCCCGGTCGCAGCTGCGACCCCCTAAGACCATGGTGGTTCCGCCAGTACCTGGGACTCCGTATCAATTCCAATAATTTAAGCTAAAAGGACCAAATTGAAAATATTCTCCAAGTCTGTTATGCTTTCAGTTCTGCCATTTTGGCAAAACATTTGAAATTCACTCTGAATTTGGTTTCAGTTTTTGACAATCCACACTTAACCGAATAACACTGAAAATTGTCTTCTGCAACTTTTTAAAGTGAGTGATACATAATGTGTTATTGCATCATACTAGGGAAAGTGTATTTCAATACGTCTTAATCAAACATATGTTAGTAGTTAAAAGAATACTTAATTTAATGTTTTTAATTATCACATTTTGCACATTATTATTTTGATTAACTCTGACAATTATTCTCTCTGATTAGTCCTTAGAAAGTGACAGTGGGTCGCTTTGCAGCATCTCTCCTGATATCTGCATTGCCTACAAATTACACCTGGAGTGCGGGAGATTGATTAACCTCTATGATTGGCTAGAGGTAGGTACAACTATACAAAGTAATTATGATTATTATTATTAGAAGTGCTTTACAATATAAGGACTACCAAACAAGTAATTGCAACAAGACATATTAGACACACAGAAGGTGTACAGGGTCCTGCTCAAACGATCTCATATTCTAAGGGGAGTCGGATAAAATGACAAGAGGGAAGAGTAAGATGTATTGCATATAATGGAAAAGTAGGTTGCTAGAATAGTTTTCAATTAATGCTTGTTTTTTTTAGATGATACAGTAGCAGGAGATAATGTGGGTTAGTGAGGTGTGGGGAGGGAAACCTGTTTAACTATAGGTAAAAAAAATAATACTAAATGAGCTGCACTCGAAGTACATCCAACAAGGAAAGGAGTTTTCAATTAGGAATTCCATATTTAGTAAGGGTTTAGTAATAAATTTAAAAAAATACAGACCAGATACGAGTATAGATAGCAAAACGAATCATACAAGTGCTCATAAACTATACACAACTCACTCAACGAACTTGGAGGCAAATGGTAGTAGTGAGATAGTAGGATGGGGAGTTTGGGTCAAGGTTTGGCTATTTTAGAATCTGGGTTATGGTGGCATGCTTCAGTGGTGCAGAACACATACCAGAGTAGAAGGAAAGATTAAAAATATTTTACAAGAGGCAGGGAAGGAGAAAGAGTGGAAATAAAATGTGAGTAAATCGTATTGACAGATATGAGCTCAGTGAATGAGCATAGGATAGGGGAGGGAGTGGAGCTGGCCGAAATATTGGTACAGGTATTAGGTGATAATGTGCTTATTGATTTTAATTTCAGGAAAAAACCAAACACCTGCCAGTGATTTAATTCCACTACATACATGTGTAATGCACTTTTCATTTTTGTCTTTATAGATTTAAGTGGCAAGTAGCAATTTTTATATCGTAAGACCGTTTTATAGCTTGTCTTCTTTGTACAATTTAGATTATTTAGGATTTGTGGTAGGGTCCACTGTTACCAGTAAGACCCGTTCCCATCCATCGCCATCTGCGGTCTAGTTTTTAGAGCAAGAAACCATATAAATGACACCGGATGAGCAACACAAAGTAGTATTCATATAGGTTATCCAAGCATAACATTATGTTTATTTCCCAAGACATTTGCATTTGTTTTCCTTCGGACATCTTCCGTTAGAGGAATAAAATGTTTCTTCAGCTGCAGTCTCCCTTGTTCTAAAATAAAAATGCTTGTCTGTGAGACTGTTATTAGAATACTCTGGGCTATGGAAGACCCCCACACAAAAACTGGACGGAATAGATAACCAAGCATACTAACTAAATACAGCTTAGAAATCAAGGAAAACATGCAGCATATAGAAATACAAGCAGAATATAATAATACGTGAACAATAAAGCAATAAACAGCCCAGAGCAGACACACTCTCTGAGCCTGTCTGAGTGTTTTCTTATACTGTTCTTTGTTCCGATTGGTTGTTTCTGAAAAGTTATGTTAACTATTTCTTTGCTGCTGGAGGTTTCAGTAAAGAAGGTAAGGCAAATATGAAACCTCCTGTCTTGCCATAACATTGCCTAGAGCACCTGTCTTGCAAAGACTTCTTATTGAGCTGCATTGAGAAGTCTGTGATTGGAGAGTCTCATAAAGTCTGGGCGGAGTTAGAATGTGAGAGCTTGCAAAGGCAGCAGACAAGCGAACTGCAGGTTTTAGAAACTGCTTTTACATAGATCTTTAATGAATAAAAAGCATAATGAAATGCATGTAAGTTTTCATTTGGGGTACTAAACATAGAATTTTATTTATTTTGTATTTGGGCTGTGGAGTGTTTCTTTAAGGACCAAGGCTCTTTTGAGATGTGATACATTTGTGACCAAAGCATTTTTGGCACTTTTGCCATGCTTTTATTGTACCATAATTGTATACTTTATGCTTAAAGTTACACTGTAGGCACCCAGACTACTTCAGCCCATTGGTCTGGGTGCCAACTCCCATCACCCTTAACCCTAAGCATGTAATTATTGCCGTTTTTATCAACTGTAATAATTACCTTGCAGGGTTAAGTCCTCCTCTAGAAAGCCACTAGAGGGACGTCCAGGTTCTTAGACGACTTCTGGTCATCTAAACGACACTGAATATCCTCACACTATGCATGAGGACCTCCAGTGTCGCTGGAATCCCCATAAGAAAGCACTTTACAATGCCTTCCGTTCATCCTGTCCATAGTCCTATCTATAATCCTGCTCTTAATTGAACTCCCATTCCTACCCATTATCTTACCAATATTCGAAGTTAGTCTTCTCTAAACCTCCTTAGACGTACTGCCTCTGCTGACATCATTCCTTACATCAGCAGAGGGATTTCCCAGCTAACACCATACAAAGAGCTCTGTGATAATTCTGTATTGTGTATTTTACAGCAAAAGAGTGAGAGCTCTTTCTCATGCTGCAAATCCAGTAACTGTGATCGGTGCTTGTCAGCTGGCAAAGCCCAGCACAAATGACTAGGCAAAGAGGCATGCAAGGAATTATTACTGGTATTTATATAGCGCCAGCATATTCTGTAGCACTTTACAATATTATCAAAGGTGGAGTGAAGTGGATGAGAGAATAGAGTGCTGCCCTTTAGGAGAGAGCAAGGGACAGGTATGTGAGATAGAGGTTACTCTTGGAGGTCATAAGCTTTCCTAAAGAGATGGGTTTTGAGGCACTTTTTAAATGATTGAAGACTATGGGCAGAGCGGAGAGACTGAGAAGGTACATACCTGCAGATCAGTGAAGAGATATAGGAGGGGCTAGAATTGGTCAGTGCTTTATAGGTGTGGATTAGTACCTTAAATTGAATCATATAGGATACAGGAAGCCAATGTAAGGACTTGACAGAGGGGAGAGGCATGAGAGGAGAGGAAAATCAGTCTAACTGCAGCATTCATTACAGACTGTAGCGGAGCAATATGACTTGTGGGAAGACCTATTAGGAGAGAGTTACAATAATCCATGCAAAAGATTACTAGAGCATGGACAAGCTCCTTAGTAACATCTTGTGTAAGAAAGGGGCGGATGCAGGCTATGTTTTTAAGGTGGAATCTACAGGATTTGGTAACAGACTGGATGTGTGGCTCAAACGTGAGGACAGAATCAAGTATAACGCCAAGACAGCGCGCTTGCCAGGATGGACTGATCTCCCTTGAAGGGAGAGCGAAAGAGGGTGATCAGTATTAGGAGGAAGAAAGACAAGGAGTTTCGTTTTAGAGAGATTGAGTTTCAAAAAGCGGGAGGACATCCAATCAGAGATGGAAGAATGGCAAGCAGTGACACGTTGCAGGATGGCAGGGGAGAGGCCCGGGGAGGAGAGAGATATCTGGGTGTCATCAGCGTTCAGGTGGTATTGGAATCCAAGTGAGGTAACAAGTTTGCCAAGACAGGCAGTATAAAGATAAAATAGAAGGAGACCAAGTACAGAGCCTTGGGGAACTCCAACAGAGACAGAACGAAGGGAGGAGGTATCATTAGAAAAGGAGACACTGAATGAGCGTTGGGAGAGATAGGAGGAAAACCAAGAGAGTCACAGAGACCGAGTGATTGAAGAGTTTGGAGAAGGAGAACATGGTCAACAGTGTTGAAGGCAGCAGAAAGGTCAAGAAGAGTTAGTATAGAGTAGTGACCTTTGGATTTAACAGTGATTAGGTCATTAGTAACTTTAATAAGAATAGAGTGCAGACGGCAGAAGCCAGACTGAAAAGGGTCAAGGAGAGAGTTGGAATTGAGGACGCAAGTCAGACGGGTAAAGACAAGTCTTTCCAGAAGCTTTGAGGAAAAAGGGAGCAGGGATATGGGACGATAGTTAGAAGGGGAGGATGGGTCGAGATGTTTGTTTTTTTTAAGATGGGTACTACAGTAGCATGTTTAAGGGCAGCAGGGACAACGCCAGAAGAGAGAGAGCAGTTGAAGATGTGTGTTAAGGAAGGCACAAGACAAGAGGAGAGAGATCTGATAAGATGAGATGGGACAGGATTTCTAGCAGGAAACCATCCAAAAGACCTACCTCTGCATAAGGCGTGGTAGCTGAGTCCTTGGAGCTAGTTAACGTTCTGTTTGGGACCCAGGCTGCAAGAAAGGATCTGGTTTAGATCAAACAGCAAATTAAGGGTGGGGGAAGACACAGATATTGAGGTGAGAAATGGCAGTTAATGAGGAAAAGAAAATACAGAACAGAGAAGAAAGTATTTGAGATTTAAAGATATAAGGGTAGGTCATAAATGGTGAACATAAATTAACAATTGGGGGCAGTCTCACAATCACCGCGGCTGAGTGCTGCACAAAGCTTATCTGTCAGTCAGGGGCCACTAATTGTGGATCCAGCTGACCGAGGGGGCCCTGAGTTATCAAGTGATACCAGGGGCTCCTTGGTGCCCTGCTGGTACTTTTAATGCATGACGTTCTATGAATAACCGCATAGACCGTCATGATGTGGTCATTAAGGGGTTTAAACCTCTACACATTCAAATGCCCTCTACCATCAACTTACTATGACATACATATATGAACAGGACATCCCATAGCCATGTGGAAAAAAAAGTTTGTCAAGACAAAACAATATGAAATTTAGTAGATTATCAATGGGGGGGGGGGGAAGCTAGTTCGGGGTGATTACCTATATATGTAAACATGTTAAGTATCAATCTAATACTCTTTCTAATATGACTGTACATTTTCTAAATGGTGCCATTATTAATGGTAACTTAATTATCTTAATTTGTTAAACAGAAAAATTATATGGCTCATTTGGTATCATAAGCAAAAACACCCAAGCTGCGTGTAATTAGAATAGTACAAATATAGCAGAGCTTGGCATTTCCAAGCATATGAAGTTGCAGCTTGGCTAGCCTAGTATGATGTGCTTGGAATACTATCACAATATCCAGCAACTCAACCAAATTAATATGTTTTGTCCTGTACTTGACTTAAAATATGCACACATTGCAGAGAAAATATTCACGATGATATTATGTTGATGGTATGTAGCTCTTCAGAAGCACACAGTAAGATGCATACATTTTCAATACAAACACAATTGTAGCTATTATAGATCATGCAAGATATGTAAGTATTTTTTTATTATTTTTTTTTATTTAAAAATTGTGATTTCTTAGTTGGCATCTGCCAAGCAGACACAAAGCAGTGCAGGACCACCTCATCTGGTGAGTGTGTGCTGATTGTTCTCAGCCAATATATTAAGCCCTGCACCAGCAGACCCCAGGATGTAATGGTTATGGTGCTTATAGTGTTCCTCTGATATATTTGCCTCACAGAGACAATGCTACAAAGGACTGTAGTACAAAACAGCAAGTGTGTCCCCAAATTCACACAATGAAAATTGGTGTTAGCATGATTAAACCACTGTACAAAGTTCTCTCAAAAGGTCTACTTTCATAGAACTTCAACATTTAAATTAAAGGGACACTATAGGCATCAACACAGCTTTGCTTTATGAAGCAGTTTTTTGTATAAATAATGCCCCTTTAAGCCCTTAACGTCGTTACGGCGTTCTATGCCGTCGCGGCTTTAAAGGGCTTTAAAGCCGTTGCGGCGGCATAGAATGCCGTAACGGCTTAAGCCTCCAAGTGATAGGAGGTACTTACCTCCGCCGCGATCCTCTTCTGGAGGGCTGCCTGACAGCCCAGGCAGCCCTCCTCCGGCAAGTGAGGCCCCCGGGGGCTATGTGATATAGCCAGCTATAGGGGGCCATGTGATCAAAGAGCTATCACATGGCCCCCTATAGCTGGCTGTGGATCTGCCAGCAGGGGGGCTGTCTGAAATATCAGACAGTCCCCCTGCTGGTAAGTAGTGTAAAAAAAAAATAAAAAAAATAAACATGCTTAAAAATAAATTTAAAGTATTTTCATATATATATATGTATATATATTATATATATATATAAAATATATATATATATATATAAAATATATATACATCTTATATATATGTAACGTCATACAAAGTGTATTTTAATACTAATATTAGTATATATATTAATATTAAAATGATGTTACATATAGATAATATGTATATATATATTATATATATAATAGATATGTACACATATATTATATATATATGTATAATTACAATAATAAAATAAATCAAATATTGAAACAAAATTTTATATAAATTGTATATTCATATGTAATTTCATTCTAACTGTATTTTGTTATTAATATATATATATGGGTAACAAAATACACTTAGAATGACATTCTATATATATCTATCTATATATAAAATACAAATAACCGCAAATATATATATATAGATAAATACATATAATTACATAAAAGATTACATTAGTATACATGTAGAATTTAAATACCTATAAATGCATATATATTAAAATTCTATGTGTATATTTAAGTAATCTTTTAACATAATTATGTGATTTGATTAATTAAAATTTGATTGACATGCCTGACAACACAGGGAGAAAGTGCAGAGAATTTAATTCACAAGCACTATATTTGATCCTGTAACTCTCCAAGACACCATAAAACCTGTACATAGGGTGTACTGTTTTACTCAGGAGACTTCGCTGAACTCAAATATTAGTGTTTCAAACTGGTAAATTGTATTACAACGATGATATTTTAAATAAAAGTGACGTTTTTTTGCATTTATTACAAACAAACGGCACTTTTATGGACTATATTATTGTTGTAATATGTTTTACTGTTTTAAAACACTAATATTTGTGTTTAGTGAAGTCTCCTGGGAATAACAGTACCCCCCATGTACAGGTTTTATGGTGTTTTGGAAAGTTAGAGAGTCACATACAAGGCTTGCATTTCATTTTTTTGACATTGAAATTTGCCAGATTGGTTATGTTGCCTTTGAGACCGTATGGTAGCCCAGGAATAAGAATTACCCTCATGATGGCATACCATATGCAAAAGTAGACAACCAAAGGTATTGCAAATGGGGTATGTCCAGTCATTTTTAGTAGCCACTTAGTCACAAACACTGGCCAAATATTAGTTTTTTGCTTTTTTTCACACAAAAACAAATATGAACGCTAACTTTGGCCAGTGTTTGTGACTAAGTGGCTACTAAAAAAGACTAAACATACCCCATGTTCAATACCTTGGGTTGTCTACTTTTTCAAATGGTATGCCATTATGGGGGTAATTCTCATTCCTGGGCTACCACACCGTCTCAAAGGTAACATTACTAATCTGGCAAATTTCAATTTGAAAATGGAACGTTCTATATTTGACCCTGTAACTTTCCAAAACACCATAAAACCTGTTAATGGGGGGTACTGTTGTACTAGTGAGACATCGCTGATTACAAATATGTGCATTTTTTTGCAGTAAAACCTAACAGTATTATGACATTTACAGCAAAAATGTCAGGCGGAACTACAAATTGTTAAAAAAAAAAAAAAAAAATTCTGTTTTTTTTAATTTTATTCATAATAAATTATGTTTCATATTAATATTTGATATGAAATGAAAGCCCTGTTTCTCCTGAACAAAATGATATATAATAAGTGTCGGTGCATTTAATATGAAAGAGGTGAATTACGGTTGAACAGATATATAGCGCAAATTCTAGTTTTTGTTTACGTTTTGTTTTGAATGTGTACTATTGACTCCTTCCTGAAGGGGTTAATCTCACTGCTCAATTCTCTGCCATTTAGAAATTAAATCACTTTTGTTTCTGTTAATGCAGCCCTAGCCACACCTCCCCTGGCTGTGACGGACACATCCTGCATGAAAACAAAATTGTTTCATTTTCAATCAGATGTTAACTTGTTTTATACGTTTTTATATTCTGCTCTGCAAATTTCCCATAGGCACTTGCCGGGTCTAGCACGCTATTTACAGAGCAGGAGGAAAGAACTTTTAAATTAAACAGACTGTGCAATAAATAAAGGAAGTGTAAACATTTGATCTCTCTTTCTAGGGAGTGTGTAAGAAGGCTGTGCAACTCACATGCAGGGAGGTGTGACTAGGAATATGTAAACAAAGTTTTTTAACTCCTAAATGACAGAAAAGCGAACATTGAGACTTGTTTTATACACCAAAACTGCTTCATTAAACTAAAGTTGTCTTGGTAACTATAGTGTCCCTTAAAGTTGTAAAAATGTGAGGAAACACTTCTTTTACAAATCAATATTACACTATTTTAAGTTGCAACGTTCCTCTTCATTGTCCTGGAATACATGTCTGGAGTTAGAGGGATTTCCTTCTACTGGAGTCAATCTACAAATCAAGTGTGAAACGCTCCACTTATATTTATGAATGTATAAGATTTATTACACTGTTTGCTTAATTTTTTTCCCTGTAGTGGTTGTTTATCATGTACTTATGTTTTTCATTTATATGAAGATTAATAATTCTGTAAAATATATCTTATCTCGTGTATCTTGGTTTCAGTATGTAATGCCGATTTTCTGTCACACAGTCATAACCACGTGGGAACCACCCAGAAATACTATCAACAAGATAATTTCTATTAAAACATATAGAGAGTATGTTAATTCACTCAGGATAGTTACAAATGTCATTGTGACCTTTTAGGAGCAGAGGTCTATGCATTGGCACAGGCCTAAGTTATGCCGCCTTTGTAATCGTATGATCTCTGTAAGTAAGGTCCTATTTGGTGCATTAAGACTTAAGAAGAACATGGATACAGCCAATATAATTTCCCGAGGATGCTTTTGCTTACTCTGGGTATAAGGAAGTTTAATATTCTATATAAATATTATATTGTATATAAAACTTCATGTCCTGTGCTACCAGCATGGCCTTAAGTTACTCTCCATTGCAAGCCTGCAGAGTCCATGGTGCACTCAGCAATAGGAGTGTTTGTATTCACCACAACTAAATTATCAATTGCCAGTGGTTATTGTTGATTTTGAGCCCTGATAAAGGTTTATTTTTTAGTACTTAGAGGTCAGTAGTGCCCTGCACATGATATGAAGTCACTCTTTTAAATCCCATATTCTATGATTTATGGAGATAAAGTAAATGTGTTGTGACATCATTTGTAGGAAGTGTTATGTTAAAATAAGAGTCAGAAAAAGTGTGATTAATCCGAGACTTTGACACAAAACAAAAAAGATGCTGCTGTCGTTTTTTTTTTTTATTATTGACAATATGCACACATTACTGGAACCAACAAACATCTTAAGCCATAGCATTGCAGCAATTGAAGATTATGCTAGCGCAGTGTACTAATAATCTTAATTTTAATAATGACAGGAGGCGAGTATTTGCATAAACTTTCTTTACTAGCTCCATAGCAGCAAAGAAAAAAAAATCATTAAAGAAAGAACCAATCAGAGTAGAACAGAGGATATATAAGTCCCAGCGTAGCCATCCATTTCCTCTTGACTACTGCGACATCACAAGATCCAAATGTAGTAAGAAGTCCGTAGTAACTTAATTCCAACTGTCATAACGAAATCCAACATGGTCATAACAATGGCCTCTTCAGCCTTTCCATCGTCCCTGTGGTTTGTCAAACTGAAAAGAGAGAGAGAGTAGTATCACTGATACGGGAATGACCAAGGAAAAAACCAATTGTCTGTAACGAATCAACTAGTTAATAAAGACGTCTAAAGATTCACCATACCAACTAGAGCAATAGCCCTATAATAAATATATCTGTATAAAATGCTAATCCAAATAAATGAGTCCAGATAAAGAACCAATCTACTCCCACCAACTACTTACCTCCATCTGGGCGGGGACTTTATGAGAATGAAAAGGGTGGGAAATACTCGCCTCCTGTCATTATTAAAATTAAGATTATTAGTACACTGCGCTAGCATAATCTTCAATTTTATAACATGACAGGAGGCTTCGTATTTGCAGTTTTAACGCTTAGGTAGGAGAGCAAAGCGGCATTGGACGACTGGCGGAAATAGAAGGTCCGAAAGGTAGATTCCCGGGACCAATCTGCCGTGTGTAGGATATCCGCCAGAGAGGCGCCTGCTAAAAATGCCGATGATGCCGCTGCCCCTCGAACGGAGTGTGCGCCAAATGAGGCGTCTACCCCGGCTAGAGTGAGAATCCATCTGACCCATCTGGCCAATGTGATGACCGAGACCGGGCCGTGTGGAGTCACATATGATACCAAGAGTTGTCGTGCGGACGGTGAGCGCAAGCCTTCCGTTGCTGACACGTAGGCTCGGAGGGTCCGGACCACGCATAGCTGGGGATCCGAATTGAAAAACGGATAGAATACTGATGCTGTATTGGATTTATTACGTTGCGATATGTGGAACGTGACTCCTTCGGGTCCAATGGAGAAAGCGTCCTTATCGAAAGTCCGAACGTCCGCCACTCTCCGGAAGGACACCATGCACAACAGGAAGGTGAACTTCGCCGTCAGTTGTTTCAATGAGAGCTGGTCATTGGGAGGCCAGTTCCTGAGGAAACGAAGGACTATCTCCACATCCCAGAGATGTTGGTATTTAGGTGCTGGTGGTCTCCTTAGTTTGATGCCCCGCAGCAGGCGGCATATTAGCGGATCCTGTCCGACTGCCCGTCCTTGAGACGGCACGTGCGCCGCCGAGATAGCTGACCTCGTGACATTTATGGTGCGGTATGACTTCCCATCCTCGAATAGGGTCGAGAGAAAATTCATGACCTCGGAAACAGGGGCTGTAAAGGGATCCAAGTCCCGTCCCACGCACCAACTGGTCCAAGTTCTCCATGCGGATAGATAGCTTCTCCGTGTTCCTGGGGCCCAGGAATCCCAAAGGAGGTCCTTAGCCGTTGACGATAACTCGTCGGTACGCCAGGTTCCCCTGAAAGAGTCCAGGCCACTAAGGTCAGGCGGCCGTCCGACACCATCGGATGTGCGTTCCCCGCCGGGTCCCTGAGTAACATGTTGTCGTTCGGTAGGAGGATCGGGTCCTGATAAGACATTTCGAGAATGTCCGGGAACCAAGGCTGACTCGGCCAGAGGGGCGTCAGCAGGGTCAGTCGAACCCTTCGTCTGCGAAGGTGATTGAGAACTCTGGCAATCATGGCGAATGGGGGAAAGGCATATGCCCCTTGTTGTGGCCAGTGCTGAGTGAAGGCATCTACCGCTAAGCAATCCGGGTCCGGTAGCCAGCTGTAGAATTGCGGGACCTGACGGTTGTTTCGTGAGGCAAAAAGATCCAGTATGAAGGGTCCCTTCTGGTCCTGTAGGTGTGCGAATATTCGCGGATCCAGCTGCCAGTCGCTGGCATCCCTCCAATGACGGGAGTACCAATCCGCCGTGAGGTTCGTCTCCCCCGGCAGGTGCTCTGCCCGTAGTGAGATATTGCGCGGGAGGCAGTAGTCGAAGATTTCCTTCGTCAGATGCGCCAGGGTTCTCGACCGGGTGCCCCCCAAGCGGTTGATGTATCGTACCGCGGATACATTGTCCATTCTTAACAGTATACAGCAATTGGACTGCCCTTTTGTGAGGCTGCGGATAGCAAAGGCGCCCGCTAGCAGTTCGAGGCAATTGATATGCATCGACAATTCCTGTGGTGTCCACGTGCCCCCTGTGGCCGTTTCTCCATCCGTGGCGCCCCATCCTAGGCGACTCGCGTCCGACTCCAGGATGAAGTCCGGTTGACTGCCGAATATGGCCCGACCATTCCAGGCCTGCATGCAGTGGAGCCACCACTGGAGTTCTTGGTATACTTCCTCCGACAGCGGGACCGGCTGGTTGTATGTGGGATTTTGGCGGAGGAGGTTGGCCTTCAGCCGTTGCATCGCTCGGTAGTGAAGGGGTCCCGGAAATATGGCTTGTATTGAAGATGATAAGAGACCCACAATCCGCGCCAGTTGGCGGAGCGGAATGGAATCCAATTTGAGAACCCTGCGGATCTCCTTCTTGATGGCCGTCACTTTGGCTGAGGGGAGATGTAGGGTGCAAGACCTGGAGTCGATCTCGAAGCCGAGGAATTGGATTCGTTGAGCAGGCGTCATTGCGGATTTGGCCTTGTTGACAACGAAGCCCAAGGATTCTAACAGTCGCACTGTATACGTAGTGTGCCGGATGGCCAGTTCCTTTGTTCTGCAGAACAAGAGAATGTCGTCCAGGTAAATTATGCATCTGATCCCGCGTGTTCGGAGGTGGGAAACCACCGGTTTTAGCATCTTTGTGAAGCACCACGGTGCTGAGCTCAGTCCGAACGGAAGGCACGTGAATTGCCATGGTGTGCCGTTCCACAGGAAGCGGAGAAATGGGCGGCTGTCTTTGTGGATTGGAATTGTGAGATAAGCGTCCTTGAGGTCTAGCCGCGTAAACCAATCCTTTTCTTGGAGGAGATCCCGCAATAAATGGATGCCCTCCATTTTGAAGTGGCGGTAGGTCACGAACATGTTTAGCCCTCTCAAATTGATCACTGGCCGGAAATCCCCGGTCTTTTTGCGGACCAGGAACATGTTGCTGAAGAATCCTCCCCTTGTGTGCGCTGGTTCTATAGCGCCCTTTACGCGAAGCTCGCCCCCATGTATGAGGCGAGTGTCCGCAGCCGAAAGACGCAAAGGATAAGGGGGAAACCTTTGAATGGGCTGTGATCGGAGTTCTATTTGATATCCTTGGACGGTCTGTAGCACCCAAGCGTCCGTGGACAGCAGGGCCCAATTCTGGGAAAAAAGTGAAACACGGCCTGCAATCACAGTTACAAGAGGTACCGAACAAAGGTGGTCTCTTACCTGTAGGGAATCGTGCACGGCCTCGTCCTCGACCGCCCCGTCCTCTGTCAGAACCCCTCTGGTAGTAGGGGAATGGTTGTTTGGCTCCGCTGCCTTGGTAACCTTGTTGAGGGAAGAATTGGTGCTGAAAGCCCATACGGGGGCCTGAAGGCCAGAAACGGCTGGCGGCACGGCCCCGCTGCCGACCAGCCCTTGAAAAAACACCCTTTGCGGAGGTACCTCGGAATACCTTACGCATAGACGTGCGGGCTCTACTCAAGGAGGTAAAGACGTTTACGTGCTTGTTCAATTCTTTCATAAAAGCTTCACCAAAGAGCTTGCCCTGTGCCTGTGGGCCCAATTCTTTGACCCCGAGGTCAACTAATTTGGGGTCGATACGAAAAAGTGCTGCCCGGCGCCGCTCCGTAGAGAGGGCCGCATTTGTATTACCGAGGAAACAAAAGCCCCTCTGGGCCCACTCTCGGATATCATGTGCCCATTCTCGTATCATGTCTGCCGTGAAGGAGTCCGCTCTGGCGTATGCTTCGTCTGCCAGGTACATAACTCGGGCCAAAGGGCCCATTGTGTCTAGGAGTTTATCCTGAGCTCCTTTGAAACTCTTCTCAATCCCCCTCCGCGGGTCGCGGCCCCCTTGTTCCATAAAGGTCAGCATAAGCTGATCAAATTCCGGCGTATAGGCCACTTTATCTGGCAGGGTAGGTCTCGGGCACTCTGCCCGCATCCTCTTGCGGACGTGTTTTTCCAAAGGTTTCCTGATCCAAAAATGCATGAAGCGGAGGAGATGATCCGGAGGGGCCCACTCACTCGAACGAGGGTGGCGAATCTTCCTGGGATCAAACATTCTCTGGCCAGTGGAGTCCAGGAATATCTCCTGTTCCTCCGTGGCCGTGGCGGGGGGTTCCGCATCTCCTTTCTGCTGGGGCTCACCCAGAAAAGTCTCGGTGACGTAGGCGTTGGAGCCCCAACCGCCTTCGTCCGAGTCGGAGGATCCAGCCTGCCACTCATCCAGAACGGAGAGAGAGTGGGGCACGTCTTGCTCCTCATCTGAGGAGACCTCCCCAGTGTACACGGGAGGTATCTGAGTAGTGCGTTTATCACGCTTCATAGGGGCCTTGCCTTTGAAGGCGGCTTTCTTGGAACCTTCGCCCTTCCAGTGGCGTTTCGCCGGGCGCTTCCTTTCTCTAGTGGAGTCCTCTGACTCATCAGAGTCTTCGTGAGCCTGGTGTGGCTTGTTAGACAGCGCGTTAGATTCAGCGGGGGCAGGAGCCGCCTTTGCCAGCGCCTTCTCCAGAGACGCAGCTACCGCTGCGTTGATCATTGCTTGAAGGTCACTGGTATTAATTGTGTCCTCCATTGTGGGCACCAACAGAGACTAACAGGCACAGGTATAGGTATGAGAGGTGAGGGACCGTGCGGGAGGGACTCAGGTTAAAACGCTCAGTGGCGTGGTACCGGACTCCTAATCGCTGGGGCTCACCCAGGGTCACAGGGAACTGCTTGGACAGTTCCCGCTATGCAGCACTCAATGGGGGCTCACCCCTAGCCAGGATAATGGGGTAAACCCTACTGGCAGTCCCACTCCCCAGGGGGTAATGACACCAACCTGTGAAGGTCCCAACGAATTCCACCTCAGAATTAGAGCAAACGAGCTTCAGAGCCTTATCTTGATAGGTGTTATACTCCACAACTAATAACCCACAAAATGGCCGCCAGGGTCTCGCGAGATTAACGGGCGGAAAGCCCGCGAAAATGGAGCCCTTGAAGCGTTCGGCAGTTTAGCCGCGAACAGCCGTTCGCCTGGCTAACCGTCGAATGCAAGGGAGACTGATCCGCGAACGGACCCGCGAACGGAATGGATTCCCTAGCAATTCGGGAAATTGTCCGTTCGCGTAGTACCTGCGTTCGCGGCAAAACCCCGCGAACGGCTAGAGGGAGCAAAGTTCCCGACCGCCCGTTCGCGCTCTGTTGCAGCCAATTGCGCGAACGGGACGGCCGCGAACGCCAGACTCCCTGTGTGAATGAGCGTCCCGTCTGTTCGCGCGAGAGCGCGAGCAGAGCGCAACGGTCGGGATAGAAAGGTGGCGAGCGTAGCCACCGGAAAAAAGGGGGGGAAATAGGGTGGGGGGGGGTAGGCTAACCTAACACCACCCCTACTGAAGTGGGGAGGGGGGGGGGGAGCTGGGAGAGGCAGTTCCCAGATACCAGAACAGCCTCAGCCCAGTACCCTGCATCAAAATGAACGCAGCTCCCCTGACAGGGAAGGTGAACCTTCTCAGTTTGTCCCCCTGGCACCCAAGCAAATAAAGAATAAAAGAAATATAGTAGAAAACACAACTATATATGAGCAGAGAAAAACAAACATCAATAACATCTAAAAGAAACCTGACAGGAATCTTAAAGAAATAGTACTCTGACCTGACTTGTGATGGAGCAGCAAAGAAAGAGGAAATGGATGGCTACGCTGGGACTTACCGGTATATATCCTCTGTTCTACTCTGATTGGTTCTTTCTTTAATGATTTTTTTTTCTTTGCTGCTATGGAGCTAGTAAAGAAAGTTTATGCAAATACGAAGCCTCCTGTCATGTTATAAAATTAAATCTCATATAGATCATGAGATAGAAACCCCATTTTCAACTCCTATAGAGAAACAAGCAGTACTGTGAGCTTACCATCAAGATACTGTGCTTTGGGATAACTAAGCAGGCCACAGCTCTCCTCCTCAAGTTTGTATATATGTGTTTGTTTGCAAAAAGGGTTTAAAAAAATAAAATTAAAAAAAGGATCCTGTTTCCTTGATCTCACAATAACCTACTCTGTTTTACTCTCTATTATATCTTCAGGCATTTGCAACAGTAATTGGAGCTACTGAAGAGAGTGACTTGGATCCCTCAAAGCAAGTTGATGAGATTACTCAGTATCCTTTCATTTTCTTGTCAGCTGCTAACCTCACCTAGTGCCAGCAGCTGTGCAGTTAAAATAGTGCGCATGTCCAGGCCTGTCCACGCACCTAAACTGATTCTGTTGTTTGTTCATTTAATAACCTGAACATCAAAAACATGCTGTGTGATACTATCTATTAAGCTTAAAGGTCAAGTTGCCCTGGACTTAGAGTACTTTGACTTATTTTACAAAAGCTGTTAAAATCATTTCCATAAAGACCATACATTTCATTGGTTTGTCATCCATCGATGTGATGAATGTGAAACACTAGCTAAGAATCTAGTTTGGCGTCTTGGCAGTAATATGTCTGAGACATGATTCTAGAACAAAACTCACTCTTGACAGCTTAATAAGGACCTTCAAATGACCTGTCCTCCAGTTGTTCATTGGCCGTGATTTCTGCCACCTTACATTAGACTATTATATGTCAGCTAGGTTTATGTTAATCTGTGTATGTGTGACACATTCTATATTGTGTTTTTTTCCTTTTAAAATTTATTTAAACTGCACAGAACCACAATTTCATTCTTGTGTTTGTGTCTAAATATACATTAGTTCATTAATGTTTCTTTTCATCTGCCCACGGTATTAGCAGTCTTTCATTAGCTGTCTTTGTCTTCCAGGAAGTCTTCGTAAAACTTAGGGTGATGGGTGTAAATGTTTCTATTGGAGAGCTGTTGTTTTTATAGGGGTGCAACTTACCTTCTGCTGTATTGTCTGCGTCTATCTGCATGCATTGAATTTATAATTTCTGTCAGATGATATTCCTTCACCACTTCCTCAGTGCCCGTTTTATAAGAGCCGTTTCAGAGTTGGAGTTATTAGGATTTGTGAAGCCCACCAAGCAGAAAACTGATCATGTGGCACGATTGACATGGGGTGGCTGCTGAATTAAACTGGAAAATCAAACCCTAGCGATGTCACCAGAATAGTAGACTTCAGCATTGTAATTATGTTTTACTTTTATATTAGGATAAAAATATCTTTTGAATGGAAATTACTAAATAAAAAATATGAAAAGGACAACAATGTTTAAAGTTTTGTATTAAATTGTGAATGTCCAGCCATTTCTGCATCACCCAAATTAGCCAAAATGTCAGGAAGTCCCCTGTTGCAAGCATAGCTTTATTGGTGGATAAGCATAATGGGCACTGCAGTCCAACAAATTACCTGGAGTTATTGTTCTTCCGTATTTTGTCATTTAAAGGAACACTATAGTCACCTAAACAACTTTAGCTCAATGAAGCAGTTTTAGTGTATAGATCGTGCTTCTCATGTTTCACTGCTCAATTCTCTGTCATTTAGGAGTTAAATTGCTTTGTTTCTGTTTATGCAGCCCTTCTCATACCTCCCCTGAATCTGACTGACACAGCCTGCATGAAATTTTTTTTTACCTTAAACAATTATATCTCTTTCTCTGTAAATTGAACTTTAATCACATACAGGAGGCTCTTGAAGGGTCTAGCAAGCTATTAACATAGCAGGGGATAAGAAAATCTAAATTAAACAGAACTTGCAATAAAGGAAGGATAAACTTTAGATGACTCTTTACAGGAAGTGTTTAGGAAGGCTGTGCACATCACATGCAGGGAGGTGTGACTAGGGTTCATAAACAAAGTGATTTAACTCCTAAATGGCAGAGAATTGAGCAGTGAGACTGCAGGGACATGATCTATACACCAAAACTGCTTCATTAAACTAAAGTTGTTTTGGTGACTATAGTGTCTCTATAAGGTGGCATAACCTAAGGTCCTGATTTTATTGAATGTCACACTAGAAGTTGTGTAAAATACCCTCAAAGCATGAGACACATGAATTGGAATGAAATAAAGGAATCAGGTTGGTCCCAGATACCTATACCAGTGGTAAGAGGTAAATTGCAGATCTATGTTACAGCAATAAAATAAAAACATCAATACAATTGAAAACATATGCTTCAATATAAGCAATAGGAGCTGTGATTGCATTCAAATCAGCAAGGGAACAATATATTACTTTCTTTAAAAAACCTGAAGCACATCCCAGGGTTCCTGGCAGAAAGGAAAGGCCCAAACCATAACCTTTACTTTCCCACGATGGAGTGAGGGGTTAATCATGAACAGATTGGAGGGGGCGTGACCTGGACTCCTAACATGGCGGCTGCCTAATCCCTCGGCTCCACACCACCCAGCTGCAATAAGCATAGTGAAGCCCAAACCCTGCACGCAAATGGGTCGCTCTAAGAAGCTAGACACTCCACAGACCAACAGGAATAAACTGCCACACTCACAGACAGGCCCAATGGATGGTTTCCTGGGCACACCGAGTAGACACTCTCAGGAGACCCCTGCATCCAACATGGCGCCAACATCCCCGACCTCATCCTGCTCGGGCGGAGAACAAGTGTCCCTGGCCGACATCTGGGCAGAGCTGAGGCGCATGGCCGCCCTGATGGTGACAAAAGAAGACCTCCAGCAACAACTTACATGCCGCGCTGAAATCAGAGGTGGTGGGCCTGAAAGCAGACTTCGCGCTCCATGACGTGCGCATAACTGCAGTAGAGCAACGAACCGACGCCGCTGAGAAACACATCTGGGCCTCGGACACCGCCATCCAACTGCAGGGAGACTTGTTACTGGCCATGCGGTGGCAATTAGAAGATCTTGACAATAGGGGCCGCCGCAACAATATCAGGGTACATGGAATCCCGGAGGCCGCCAACACGGGGGAGAATGTGGCAGAAACGCTCACTCAGCTCTTCCGGATCATCCTCCGCGAAGATGCGCCTGAACACTTCAGATTTGATAGGGCACACAGTGCCCTCAGACCGCGAACGGCTGATGGGCTGCCCCGTGACATAATCTGCTGCCTCCATTCGTACCCACTCAAAGACCAAATTATGCAGAAAGCTCGTACCCGCACGCACTGGACCTACAGGGGAACGGAGGTAGCCCTTAACAATGATCTGTCTCCCTTAACTTTGGACGCAAGACGGGCCCTGCGGCCAGGGACCAGTGACCACGGAATAGAAATATCCCCTACAAGTGGGGATTCCCCTTCAGTCTCAGTGTCCGACATCGCAATGAAACGGTATCAGCCTGGAGCCCTGAAGAGATACCAACATTCCTGCAGAAGTTGGAGCTAACACCGTACAGAACTGGATCCTCCACCCACTGGAGCTAAGACCACAGCCACAGAGGCCACCACGTCGACGAGGCAGAGACCCAGCAGGACCTGGATGGAGACCGGAATTAGCCCACCCTGAGGAGTAAGCAAGCACCGCATCGACTGAGGACTGGGCTCCATGTGGGCCGCGCAACTCCCCGACCCTCCACTGCACGCCAGAGGCCTTCCATGCTGCCAGAAACCCCCACCTAGATAAGGGTACAACGCCCCCCGGAGAGCCACACGACCTTCCCCCGACAGCAGATACTCCAAAACCTAAGGTACAGACACCCCACTAGCACAGCATTTGGGAGAGTATGGGGTACTGGGAGCACCTATCACCCGTGACCTGGGCCCAAGCTTTCCCCACTCACCCAATACCAAGGACCGCACAGGGGGGCAAAGCTGGTGGGACTGAGACACCCCCAGAGGGGAGCAAGAACCGAGGGGGACATTGCAGGCGTTGGGAAGGGAAGAGAGGGGACATCCAATGGAGGGACTGGACAGGGCAATGAAGAGACCAAAACCCGGAAAACGGAGATGGACACATAGCCGGTAGACGAACCACACTCACAGACGCCCACAGAGGCAGACAATGGAAACCAGAGAGTAGGGGACTCATAGGAGCACACAAGACGGAATCTCCACTAGACCGACAAGGGGGGAAGACAACACACCTAAGGCATGTAGTTGGGGGAAACGGGCGCAAGCACAAAAAAAAATATATATATATATATATATTAAAAAAATAAAATACATGTATATCTCTATACATAGTTAAAAAAAAACATTTGTGTATTATATAAGGGGGGGGGGGGAGACAGACAGTCCTCAGTTTATAGCAAATGATACTACCGCAGACCCCATAGATCAGCTAACCTCAAGATAAAGGCTACAATACTCTTACGACTAAATATGGTGGTGTGAACCTCAGACCAAGGCTCAAACCTCTCACCAGTACACAGACCAACCGCGCGACTTACCCAACTCAAGACTCACACTAGCTAGCCGCCTAGATGGTTACAGGCACGCACCCCACCCCATCTGTGTGAACAATTGTTATGGCGGTGAACGAGTGTGCCCCGGGCCGGTTACCCCTGAGCTCGGCACCGCACCCGCGGTCACACAGAACACCTCGCCAACACGAGGTCACAGACTTTTATAGGGTTGACAAGGGACGCATCGTGACCACTTCCCTAGGCCCTTCCACCCCCCCACACCGGGACCAACACACCTCAACACACTCGACATACACCTTCACAGAGGTCCTGGGACCGATACCACACCGTAATGGGTCAAGGGGAGACACGAGACGCAGGAGGAGCCCTCCTCGCCCACCCAAACGCAGACTGACGCAGGAGGCTGGCGGCCGCATATGGCATGGGGGTGGCGGGCTGCTCCCCTCTCCGCCCGTGCAGCTCGCACTCTCCGCAACCCCTCCATGTAAGGGAAGGAGCGTACCGCACTAGGCCACTCCGCGTATTCACCCAAAACTGCAGAGGACTGAACATCCCGGAATGCAGGACCCACCTACTCAGGGAACTCTGACGAAAACAAATCTCAATAGCCCTTCTTCAGGAAACGCACTTCCGAGAGGACTTGGCCCCAACTCTCAGGGACAGAACATACTCACAAACGTATCTCCACAACCACCAAACCTCCAAAAAGGCAGGGGTAGCAATACTCCTAGCCACGAGGCTCGGATTCACAGAAACAGACAAAGATCTGGACCCGGAAGGACGACATATCTTCTTAAAAGGCACGATAGCAAACCGCACCTACACCATGTCGTGCATTTATGCCCCCAACCGGAACCAGTCACAATACATCCGCAGAACCCTAACCACATTCACAGAGGGCACCCTCATAATGGGAAGTGACTTCAACGTCCCCCTGGACACCTCCACGGGTCGAAGCAGCATCCCGCAATGGGAAATTCGAGGCATACTGAGGGCTCTCAGACGCCTGAGGCTAGTGGACTGCTAGAGAGCCTTGCACCCCACGACAAAAGACTACACACACTATTCGAGGATCCATGCGAGGTACTCGAGAATAGATTTCATATTCCTTCAACAGGAACAACTCCCCGCGCTAAGGGGGTCAACCATCAAAGCGGCCACATGGTCCGATCACGGGACAATAACAATGGAAATGGACTCTCCACTGATGAGACCTAAAGTGATGACCTGGAGACTAAACGACTCCTTATTGCTGGACATGGGGATTAGAGACCGGATCCCGCAAGCTCTGGAGTCCTACTTTTTAACCAATGTAACGGAGGAGGTCTCTGATACCACGGTCTGGGAGGCCCATAAATGCGTCCTGAGAGGTCTGATAATCCAATTGGCGACAAAGAAAAAAAAGGAAGCCCAGCAACAGATGGTAGACCTTCTCGACGGAATAGGGGAAATAGAGGCACGCCACAAAAGAACACACTCAGAGGACAGATACATAGAACTAGTGGGACTCAGGAGCCAGCTACAGGCACTGCTGGTTAAGAAACACTACCGGCAATTACAAAGATCGAAGTCCTTTTACTACACCCACGCGAACAAGGGAGGCAAACTCCTAGCTCGCATGCTCAGAGGACAGCAAGCAGACACCCAGGTCCATAAACTGAAACAAGATAGAGGGCGAACAACACAACACCCAGAAACTATAGCGAATGACTTCCGCACCTACTATGCAAAACTATATAGCCTGCAACAACAGCTCCCCACTACTCCACCGCACGCCAAGATGACGGCGATACACCAATACCTAACACAACACCCCACTAAAACGATAACCCGAGAAGAAGCTGAAATTATGGATGTTCCCATCACAGAAGATGAACTAAGGGCGGCGATCAAGACAGCAAAGACGGGACCAGACCGGTTCACACT